AACAAATGTAATAACAAAAAAAATACCTTTATTTTACGACACATATATTTATGAAATAATAAAAAAACACTTAAAGAAGATATGTACATATAAAAGATGAAAATGAAATAATAAAAAAAACTTAAAGAACATATGTACATATAAAAGAAAAAATATCAACACTGTAAACGACATATGTACAATTTATTTTCACTTAGTCTTATTTATTTTGGAAGGCAAAATAGTTTTATGCTAATTAAAATAGTGAGGAATGGGTCCTCTTCTTTGTGAAACCGCCGCCACAAAAATTCGCACAAATATGAATGTACTTCATTTCTCCACTTCGCTCAGCCCCATAATCGTTCTATGTGTCGAGTATGAACCCCAGTTGATGGATCGACAAAATTATACAGGTGATTCATTTGGAAATGGTCATAGTTAAAAATACGGTAAATCCCAGAATGTAACAAGATTCATAATTTCATAAAAACGAAATCCTCCAACCATGTTACTTTCCTTATTGCAAGTTTAATGTCACAAGTGCTACGACAGCATCTCCATTTGGCGTTCCTGATTAACTTCATTTGATGACCTCGTTCACACAATTTCACGTCTGCAAGTATCCCAACGTTTTGAAAATATTCAATAGCCTATTCTTCTGAAGACAGTAAATCTCAGAATGTAACGAGATTCATAATTTCACAAAAATAATCTTAAAAAAAAAATGAAAAATAAACACAAACGGACCAAAAATAAAGAACGTAATAAGTTAATAACTGAAAAATAAACAATGTGATAGTTTTTAATATTTTTTTTTCTGTGAAACATGGTTATATTTTACCATTTTGGGAGGGGGGCTTCAGCCCGAAAGCCTCCCTCCCCCCTGTAGATCCGCCTGTGGTAAGTACCAAGAATTGGCTATCGAAATAAAGGAATTGTAACATTCGGAAAACAGATTGGTTACACCAATAATAATATCAACAAATAGTCTGATCCCAAAGCCAAAGTGGTTGGGTGAGCTCGGGCGCACTCGTATCCCTTCGTTCCCTTCATTTCAACTATTTTCTGTTACGATCTCTTATTTCTCCTTTAGTTAATTATCAAATTATTTCATATTTAACTATTGTTTATATTAGAGATCAATGTGAATTGTTTCAAATAAAACTTCAGCGAAGTTTCATTGAAATCTGTACATTTGTTTAGGAGCTACAGTCTATAGCAACGCAGGTTTTTCGGCCGAAATTTTTTAAGTTAAAGGCGGAGAGTAATGTCGATGAAGGAGGATCATCCTCGGTTGACCTCTGATTCTATATCAAAATTTGAAAAAAATCGGTCCAGTAGTTTCTGAGAAAATGCGCGGACGACGGACGGCGTACGGATAAAAAAGTTTTTATTCGTTTTTCGAATTCTACGCGTCTTGAAACGTGAAACCTCAAATTTTGAGAGAGGGTTATGTTTTTGAATTTTTTGGTCGATCACAATGTTTCATTATTGAAAATAATAAACCAAAAAATTAAAGATAATTTAGAGGAAGCTAATATTGAAAATTAGCCATTAAGGCCCTGTTAGAGAACATCAATGAGAACAAAACCTGCATAATATTAAAAACTGCTTAATTATACACTGAAATAATGAATTTAATCAAAATCTAAATAATGAATTTGACGTTTTTGAGAAAATAGTAAAAATGTGTTTCATCGATGATATAAAGTTCACATCCGGTTAGCCGATTTTGAGTTGCTGTAACATCCCAGCTATATACAAACCATAAATATGCAATTTCACTTTCATAAGCCTTTTCGTTTTTGAGCTATACCTGTCACTTACATACAGACATTCACGCACACACTCACACAGACCATTTGCGGGACTTAGTTATTTGGACTCAGAAGATTACAAAACATGTATTTCCGTTAAACACTCAGACTCGAAAATTTTCACGATCGCAATACTATCCTTTACTATATATTTCATATATAAGTAAGTGAAAGTAAGAAGGTTTTAGGTGTGAGGATTAGAAGCCCCTCTACCTGAAGCTTATATTTTGCCGAAACCAAAATCATCCTCCTATATCAATCGTCACAAATGGAAACAACCCAGCAACTCCTGTAGGACCTTTAATCTCAGATACTGGAATATTATTTTTCTGGAGCACTGAAACTGCTCCTTGATGAAATTGACCATTTCAAACTGGACAAAGTGGCCATCCAGATCAGATGGATTGGCCACGGTACTCTTCAAAATAGACGACACACCATATATTATAAATGCAATGATACCTTTCATGAATATGGAGTAGGATTTGTTGTTAAAGGGCAATATAGGCAATTGGCTTAAAGCATGTAAACCCGCATATCTGGATGCTAAGGATTCATGAGAAGTTTTATCATTACAGTATTATTAGTGTGTGCTCTGACAGAAACTTCGAGTAAGGAAGATAAGGACGCCTTTTATGAAAACCCTTGATCAGTGCCAAAGGTATGATATGAAAATAATTGCTGGAGACTTTAACAAGAAAATAGGGATAGAAGAGGTATACATTCCAACCATAGGCAAACATAGTTTCCATGACCATTCTAATGATAATAGAACTAGACTTATTAATTTTGCTGCCTCCAGAAACATGATCATTGGAAGTACCTTTTTCGTATACAAGGATATTCATAAAGGCACCTGGACAACACCAGATAGAGAACACATTAATCAAATAGATCATATCCTTGTCTATATAATAAAATGCACAAGTCCAGCCTCCAAAACATGAGAACATTTCAAGCAATGATGTGGATTCTGATCACTTTCTGTGCATTGCTCACATTACTCTCAGGATCTTCTTCAAAAGGTAGGACTAGAGACCCAGTTATAAAACCTAAGCACCATAACCTTGGAAAGCTGCAAGAGCCAGATGCCAAACTGCTGTACACCGAGCAACTAGATGAGAATCTCCGTGTTCAGGCTTTAAATAAGGAAAACATAGAATCCCTCTGGTCTAGCTGTGTGACAAAAATGCAGGAAATTGCTAATAATGTACTAGAACTGAAAGAAAAGGAGGTGAGGACACCATGGTTTGACGGAGAATGTGAGGCAGCCACTAATACGAACAATGTAACATACAAGAACATGTTGAGAAAAAGGACTCAGAGAGTTGTCGAGGAATATCAAAAGAAGAGGAGAGAAGAAAAACGACTTCATCAAAGGAAGGAAAGGCAGAGAGAGAAGGATGAATTGGAGAGGACTAAAAAATACTGGAAAGAGAAAAAATCAAGGGACTTTTTCAAGAGCATCAATAAGAAGAAAAGACATCAAAGAAATGTACCTGAAACTTGTAAAGACAAGGATGGGAATATAGTGGCCTGCAAGGGTAACGTTCTATTGCAATGGAAAAGCCATTTTGATGAGCTTCTCAACTCAGTCCCACTCAACTCAGTGGAACAAACACTGGATCTGACACAAGAGAGGACTGGTTCCTGGATATCAGGAACTAGAGTTCAGACCTTGAACCACCTGATCATGAAGAAATAATGGACGCCATTAATTGGTTAAAGAATAATAAGGCACTTGGATCTGATGAACTGCCTACTGAGCTTTTCAAGAACGGAGGTGAGGAGCTGAGATAAAAGATGATAAACCGCACAGACTGAGTCAAGCGAAATTGGGTAATCGCATTAGAGACCTTGTCCTGTCAAAGGAGAAGGCAGAAATTCTTGGGTTTCGACTACAGCAATGAAATCTTCTCAAAAGTGATGTCAGAATCTCACAGTACAGAAACTGTCACAGGGAACTGCTTCTCTTTTTTGAGAAGAAAAATAACCTTGTTGTTTGCTGTGACATTAATGGCTTGATGAAATCTTTGAATTTGAATTATGATCCAACTTAATAATGGAGGCTATTCATAGACTCCTACAAGCTTAGTTTGAAAACTGTGTTATTTCACAATGGCAACCTTCTTTCTTCTATTCCTGTTGGTCATGAAGTTCACATGAAGGAGACATATGCAAATATGACAGCCCTCTTGTACTCACTCAAATATCATGAACACAAATGGAAAACCTGTGGTGATCTAAAAGTCATTGCCATACTCTTAGGGCTGCAACTGGGGTATACAAAACATTGTTGCTACTTATGTATATGGGACAGTAGAGATAGAAAATTGCATTATATTAAAGGAGACTGGCCTGCAAGAAATCTCAATCCTAGCGAGAAAAATGTCAATGCTAAGCCCCTCATGGACCCGAAAGGTATTCTACTTCCACCCCTGCATATTAAGCTGAGTTTGATGAAAAATTTTGTCAAAGGTAAGAACCAAGAAGGACGGGCCTTTAAGTAGATAAGAGAGAAATTTCCGAAATTAAGTGATGTAAAAGATAAGGAAGGCATTTTTGTCAGGCTACAAATTCGAGTACTTGTAAAAGATTCTGCATTTGACCAAGTTTTGGAAGAGAAGGGAAAGGAAGCTTGTGAAGCCTTCAAGGGAGTTGTTCGCGGATTTTTAGGCAACAAAAGGGATGACAACTACACGCATATGGTGACAGTGCTCCTGCAAAATTACCATAACCTTGGATGCAACATGGCCCTTAAAATCCATTTTCTTCACTCCCATTTAAACTTTTTCCATCCTAATTGTGGAGCTGTAAGTGATGAACATGGAGAAAGAGTCCATCAGGACATTTCTGTTATGGAACAAAGATATCAGGGCCATTGGAATGAAGCAATTCTTGCGGATTACTGTTGATCTTTGTGTAGGGATGCTCCGGAACTTCCTTACAAGAGGCAAGCTAATAGACGACGATCTCATGAAGCCACCACATAATCTCTTCAAACATGACCATCTTCGAGGTATTCTTTCAGCAATTTAGAACTCTTAGAATGTAACTACTATTTTGAAAAATCAAATGCACTTTCAATTTTGTTAGCATATATAATTAAAATGTATCTTTTTCTCTTAATCCATTAATATGAAATATCTGAACTATCGGTTAAGTGTGGTTCTACTCTACACACAAACCATTGAAGAAAAAAAATTATAGTCACCAAAATTTTATTTCAACAGTCAATAAGGAAACTCCTAAATCAATAATCATAGATAGTTGTAAATTAATTTCATGTAACAATACAACAATTGATGGAAATGTTTAAATAATCTATTTATCAAGGTGAGTGTATTTTTACAAAACAGCTGGAGTTTTTTTAAAAATTAAATAAATAAATAGCAATTAATAGTTAATTGCAACTGTAAATATTAATATCAAACAGTATTAGATGTTTCTTTGTTCCATTTTTTTTCAATTGCATTTATACTATCTTCTATCCATTGTATATGTTCAGTAACATTTGTAAATGCAGTTATTTCTGTAAACCTGTCCGAAGGCCACAAGCTAACGATTCCATAAATATAATGCTCTTCTTCAACACCAAAAAACCTGGGAAATGTCATGCCACTACCACTGTCTCCTGGCTGCAAGCTGAGACCTTTAAAAAAAAAAAAAAGATCATTTTAAATATAAGTTTATTAGTTAACTTCAATAAAAAAATCTTACCTTTAGTTATGTCTGTACAAAACTTATCGAAAGAGATAATACCAGGTTTTCCAGCATTACTGGATATTTCAACACACCTGCGGTACTCCATAAGTGGGAACTTAGCACCTCTTAACTCTTCACTTACAGGACCACCATATCGTGTTGGACCACTAGCCACAACCTAACAACAAGAAACATAATTTATTTCATTGCTTACTGACACGTTCGATGAATTTCCTGATTATTCTTTGAGTTATCCAAAATAATGAAATTTCCTAACTTTCCCCAGCCTGTAGACATTCTCCCTTCAACTTGATGGCTAACTACTAGAACAGAAATTCCCAGTGGCACCATTTGGCCTGCATGATGTCATCTGTGCCTCCTTGACATAACTGCCCTAGGTGTCACTAAGGTATCTGTTAACTGCATGATGTGATCTACTGCTTTTTAACGAATTTTTAATAAAATATGTAATATAAATTATTATTATTTTTTAAATCTAATCATAAATATGGTGTATAAATGTATTTCTTTGAAAATAGTCATTTATTCATGTCACAGTATTCAAAAAATGTTTTTTCTGTCAACATTTATTATTCCTTTTACTACATTTTTAAACATTGTAACGATGCCACTCTTGCAAAAGATCTGCTCTAAATTAGATGTACAGGAGGAGGGGTCCCAAAACCAGGTAAGATTTGGCTTGGTGCTGAAATTGTGCCAGCAGAAAGAGTGAGTTACCTTTTTTCACAATGCATATCCCACAGTCCACTCACAAATTATTGTGTAAGTTGCCTGATTTTGAACTTATTAAGGTTTATTTGCCTTTTTTTTTTTCTAAAAGTCATTATTTGCCTAAACACTCCTCATTCAAATGGCTAAGTCTGGGAATGACAGAGTAAAGTTGGTGATACTCTTGAGGCCCGATATCAACTCACCTAATAAGAAAAAAAAAATAATCAAACAAATAAAATAAGCAAGCGGAACAAGAAACAGAGCCAACAAGAATTCTATTCTAGATAAGTTATCAAACAAGATTCAGGAGTTTCAAAATTTGTTTTATCCTGAGCTGCTAATAGTACATTGCACTTTACTAACTGTCAAAACTTAGTTTTGAAGTCCCAGCTTTGCCGACTCCTCCACCCTACCTCGTCATCCAAAAACAACCATCCATCTCACGAACTCTACGTTTCTCTATGATAATTATATTCAATTGACAAATTTAGTAATGATCTGGAAAATAAAATGGACTTAAAAATTCCACTTAAGACAAAACAAGATATCTATATAGGGCCTTTATAAACTGTAATTGTTAACAGAAGTCATGTTCATGTTTTGTTCTTTTATTATTTTTAAACTTTGTTAAAAGACGCATTTATATGTAACATATTTACAAATTCAATTTATTGCTATGTATTTTATTAAATTTTAGTTGTGATTTAATTTTAAAAAGTAAAAACAATACTAACATTTCACTAGTGATAAACATTAAAAGGTACGACGTATTAGAGCTAACGGACGAGAGGTCCTTCTCTGTCAAAGGTAAAATAGTAAATAACTTGTGGTAGGGTGTACTGGAGGCAGTGTTACCGCGCGCTCTGTGACAAAACCTCGTACTCAAGCCTCGTACATCCTCGTACGCTTGCTCATTCATAACTTGCACTGTTATAATCCCAGTGTTATTGTTTTTTTTATAGTAAAATTAGATCAGAATTTTTTATTTTTACCTCCATTACAATTAAAGCCTTTTTACATTACTTTTTTTAAAGTTAATTGGTCAAGCAGTAAAATTAGCTTAATAAAATATATAAAAAAGTTTATATATTTTTATAAACTACTGAAAACGTTATATAAAAATTAAAATAGCTAAATAAACTTCTTAAAGTACTCTTCATAGTAGTATTCATTAGTGGATCCAAGATTTAATTTTGGGGAGACTAATTTTTTTTCTTTTTTCTAAAAACAAAACAACTACTTTTATGAAAGGATGTTAGTGGTTCTGGAAGGACAATAAAAATTAATTATGGGGCATTGATGCTTTTAGAGATATCCATTATGATATAAAAAAATAATAGATTGTGATTGTTTCAGTATTTAGCTTACAATTATATTTCGCACAAAATAAATGTGGACCACTAAAAAAATACTTTTTTTTTCATTATTTAAGATAGGTTCATTATGAATACTAATTAATTTTTCAATTAATTAATTTACTCGATTAAAATCGAAAATAATTTTTTTAAATTACGCTAATTTTTAAAAAAAATTAATTTATCTAGAATATATTTACAATTGCAGTTTTATGAAGGAAATAATAATTAAGAAGGAAATAATGGATATACTTTCTCGTATTTTATTTTATGCTCGATAAAAATGACGGTAAAAATTTCTGTTTAATTTTCTATTACAAAACATTTTAAAAAATTTATATTTATAAAAAAAAAGTTTTATGAAGGAAATAATGGATATGGTTTCTTATATTTTATTTTATACTGAATAAAATTAAAAAAAAAAAATTTCTAGAAAATTAAAAAAAAAACATATATATACAATCATGGTTTTATGAAGAAAATAATAATCATACTCTAATTAAAGAAGATATAATTGCAATTTATATGTCTAGAAAGCAACAGAAGTTCAGTATTTCATATCAATATAAAAATAATACAGTCAAAATAATCGTAAAACAATTCTAAACTTCATTCATAAAAATATAACCTGGCATTGCATACGTCAGCAAAACTTATGTACGAGGTACGAGGCTGATCTATCCTCGTACCTCGTACATTACGTCATAACCTCGTACAAATACGAGGATCCTCGTACAAACGGCAACACTGACTGGAGGATGTGCAGGGCACCCTCTAGGGTTTGTTCTAATTAACTATGTCATTCATTAATGCAAGTCATAGTTTGTTCTAATAATGATTAATAATTTTTATAGAGCAACCTATTAGTTGGCCAGTGAACTATGTATTTCACTTTGAACCTCTTTATTATTTGTTTTTGTAATTATTTCTTTTGTAAACAATTAATGTTTGTAATATTTTTAATAAAAGTATTTATGAACTATAATTAAATAAAAATAAAAGGAGTTTGGACTAAGAGATCTCAGGGCCTAATTAAAATAATTGTTACTAGTGTTGCCTCTCACTAACCTGAAAACAGATCTGAAGGCTGGTTATTAGTTTAAATAGGAGCCTCGTCCCTATGGCAGGCACTTACTGTATATTATTTGTAACATATTTCTTAGAGAGAGTAAGAAAGAAAAAAAAAAAGAAGAAGGACAATCTCTTCACTACCTCTTCCTCCACAAAGGCTCCTGGAATCTCTCTGTCTAACAGTTTGATACCAGACTGCTGTGTTATTTTTTTGCCTCATCTGCTCACATTCCTCTCGCTTTCTGCTCTCTCCTAACCTATCTCCTCTCTCCTTTCATAGGATTAACCTGGTTATCCTGCATTTTCTTTCAGTTCTTGTGTCTTCCAGATTGTCCCTGGGAGCGCGAGATCACCTATTCTTTCAACATCTGGGGATTGACTTTTCGGGTTGCTAAGCCCTGGATGTGTAGGGGTTGTTTCTCTATCATTCTTTGCAGTCTTACCTTATATACCTTATCCGTCTCAATCTATCTAAACTTATACACTCCATCTTTATTTAATATGAGGGTAAACAGATACTTAAACATTGGGTTACTTGACTAAAGGACAGAGAGAGTAAAAGTTAGAAGGACAGATTACATATTTTTAAAGAAGAACGACAATAAATTATAAAGAATAAGAGAGGGAAATTAAAGTATACATATATAATGCTATACTCCGATCCACATATTTTTCTGATCCATGGAAAATATATATTGTCAAAATGATTCACATACCCAAAATACCCATCCTATCTCTCTTTTACCCATCACGAGCAAAACCCTAGAAAAACTTATCTTAAAACACCTGAACTCCATTCTACATTCTAATCATATAATCCCAGATAACCAATTTGGATTCTGCTCTTCCCATTCCACTATACAGCAAAGTCATCGTGTGGTAGACTCTTCTGCATTGGAGCGTGGAATATTCTGTATGGGAGTCTTTCTCGGCATTGAACAGGATGTATAAACTCCGAAAATTCCTACCATCAACATACTTTCTCATTACTGATAGATACTTCCTAGTAAATCACATCAATAATAATAATAATAAAAGGCTTAGCGAACCCGAAGGTTCGATGCCGACAACACCAATCACTTATTACACACCTCCCTCCACCGTTCGCCGTCCAAACCCAGTCCCATCAGATCGGCTTTAATGCAATCCTCCCACCTTCGCTTCGGTCTACCCCTCGGACGCTTACCATTCGGCACAGCAAATATCAACCTTTTAGGAATTCTCTCGTTAGTAAGTCCAACAACTTTACAAGCCCATTTGATTCGCCGCGATGAAATTACCTCAATTATATTCTCCGGATACAGTTCACGCAATTTGGCGTTGTGTAACCGTCTGAACTCCCCGGTTAACTCATCCTTCTCCGGTCCGGATATTCTATGCAATACTTTATTTTCAAAAACCTTAAGACGCTGCTCATCCCTTAATGTAAGCGGCCAAGTTTCGCATACATAAAGAACTGTAGGCAAGATAATTGTTTTATAGATTCTAATTTTTAAGTTCCGGGACAAGAGGCGCGAACTAAGTAGTTTTGTCACAGAAAAATAACAAGCATTTCCCGCCTTCAGTCTAAGCTTAATCTCTTCCTCAATTTCGTTTTTTCTAGTTATCGTAGAACCTACATACCTAAATTTCTCTACCTGTTCAATCATATTACCATCTTTATCGATATCACCAGTATTATCGCCTTTTTTGCAGCTAACCATATATTTTGTTTTATCCACGTTTATTTCGAGTCCTAGTTCTTTACTGGCTTTCATTAACGTCGCCGTATTTAGTTTTATAGTTTCAACGTCTTCGCTTAATAGTACCAGATCATCAGCACATCAATGCATCCCTATTTTCCCAGCCTGCATTGTTCCTCAAGGTAGTATCCAGCTGACCACAGGCAGATCTACGGGCTGAAGCTCTCCCCAAAATGGTAAAATGTAACCATGGATGTTATGGAAAAAAATATCTCTTAAAGTATTATTGCTCATTTAATTACATTTAATAGGACTTAAAGAATCACTTAAACACCATTTCATATAGTTAGTTAGTATCTTTATCTATTTTTTAAAATAATTATCGATATATATATATATATGAAAAAAAAAAAAAAATGTCAGGCTGAAGCCCACACAAGATTAAATCCTGGATCCGCTAGTGCAGCTGACATCCCATCCCAACACTGTCATCACCACGTAGATTCACAAACCTTGAAGAATGGTGTCAAAACTGGAGAATTAATATAAGTTCCATCAAATTACATCTACCCTTCGTCGTAAACCTATGACTTCCTGTCCTACAGTATCCTTTAACAATACCTCACTTATCCCTGATAGACAAACCCGTTACCTAGGACTACACCTGGACAAACGTCTAACTTGGAATCATCATACCAGACTCAAAGGGCAAGAAACCACTCGACGTTTTTTACTACTTCAACACTTACTCAACAGATGCTCTAACCTTCCAATTGATTTCAAAAGACTCAGATACATGACTGTAATAAAGCTTATTTGGATTTATGGAGTTGAGCTATGGGGCTCTACTAAACCATCGAATTCCTCAGATTCGGTCCAATCCCAGATACCTATCCTTCCATAATAATAAACTCAATAACCATTCCAACCCTCTTGTTTCTAACCTTGCTACCTCTTCAATTCCTGATAACCCTCCAAGGCGTCTGAAAAGAAGATGGCTCTGTGATCTCCTAATGTAGACATATTATTAGAGTGCTACCATTATACTTATTTTATACTTATCTTTAATTTAAATTTATACTTGTATAATACCCAAAGCGAGAGAGAAATAAATCTTCATACAACAAATCTATAAAATGAACAAGATAACTTACAGTACCAACTGCATTAGATCTTTGGTCCATACGAAGAAATTTTTTTCCTTTATCTAAACAAATTGGCATAACAGCAGAGCTAAACTCGATTGATTTGTCAAGGTTGAGTATTGCTATATCATGCTCATATAAAGTAGATTTCCCTTTGTATCGGATTGGCTTAATTATTTCAGACACCTAAAATTTAATTTGATAAAATATTGGTATAAATATGGATACAAACAATAAACATGAAAGAATATTATTATAAGAAATACCCTAAATATCTGTTCGGTTAAACTATCATTTTTGTGATTCCATTTGCTCCAGTGCTTGCCAACAGTAACATACATTTTATTTGTATTTCTTAGCCTATTCGTGTTGTCATCAAATACACAATGGGCAGCTGGAAATAAAATGTAAAAATTAAATCTCTAAAGTTAGTCTTATGGGATGCAAGATATTAAAAAATTATTCAATTAATAAATTCAAATATCTGAGGTTGTGATGGTCGAGTGTGCTTAAGTATAAACTTTAACATTCTCGAGTCTAGTGATGCTGGTTTGATCAGGGTTGGGCGGGTTCAAATTTATTTCATGGCGGTACCGCGAAATGAATCCCACTCTGGTCAGGATAGATTGGGTTGTACCTCTAGAACAAATCTCCATATGCCAGAAATGGCGAGGTAGGGTGTAATAGAAAAATAAAAATAAATTCAATTACCAGCTTTATAACATAGGCAACTATCTCAGCCACTTTCATTGTGTGCCATGAATATGTTACTTTCACTTACTTATATGTGTAATATATTGTAATGTACATATTACATAGAGATTTTGAATAATGGCACGAAGGTAGTAACGTCACCAACTACTGCCGAAAATAGACAAAGAATGATAGATGGTGGGGGAAGAAGAGCCAGATAAAACTCCTTTCCAAAAAAGTTCCAACTCCTTCATCAGCTTCCGACTTCAGACCCATCTCCATCCTATCCAATCTATCCAAGCCTCTAGAAAGATTAGTTCACTCTCAGTTGAACAGCTTTCTCGAGCAAAACCATCTCCTCAATGCCTTACAATCTGGTTTCCGATCCCAGTATTCCACCCAGTCTGCCTTGCTAAGGATTACCCAAGACCTCCAATCCGCCATGGATAAACAGAAAATCTTCATCCTAATTCTTTTTGACTTTTCCAAGGCGTTTGATTCCGTTAATCATGAGATCCTTCTTTCCAAACTCCAAAGCCTGCCCATGTCAAACAGCGTCCTAAAATGGTTCCTATCCTTCCTATCCAATCGATCTCAGACAGTTACAATACCGAATAAACCTCCATCATCATCACTTCCATTAATGCGAGGTGTTCCTCAGGGTTCCTCACTCTCCCCGACCCTTTTCTCCATCTATATTAGTGACCTTCCTAATGCCATTCAACACTCCAATTACCACCTATATGCCGATGATTTCCAAATATACCAATCATTCCAACCTTCTGAGATGCCTGAGGCTGCCCGGAGGCTACAAGAGGACATCGACTGCATCAACAGATGGGCAGAAATAAATTAATTAAAGCTGAATGCAGATAAAACCAAGGCTATTATCATCGGGTCCAAAAATCTCATCAGCTCCCTTCCTTACTTTCCTCTACTTTACCTCAATAACCACCCCATCCATTTTTTCCCCACAGTCAAAAACCTAGGAGTAATTTTTGACCAGAACCTCTCCTGGGATAATCATATCTCCCAGATTACCCGAAAATCCATAACTGCCCTTAAACAACTCCTAAGATTCCGTGATTGTATTCCTCTAAAAACCAGACAGCTCCTTGTAACCTCCCTTGTATTCCCCCACTTCGACTACGGCTGCTTGGTGTATGGAGGGCTATCTGCCAGGCTGCAATTGAGACTAAAAAGACTCATGAATTGTTTCATAAGATTCATTTTCGGGATCCCAAGACGTTCACATGTTTCACTATGGTACACCGAGTTGAAGTGGCTTTATCCTACTTCCCGATGACAATTCCTTCTTGGCGTTTACCTTTTCCAAGTCTTCAGAACTAAAAACCCTCCCTACATCCTGGAACTCCTTACTCTGCACTCCTCTATCCACTCTCTCAATACTAGGTCTCAACCTATAGACTTGTATATTCCCTCCCATAAAACTTCCTCCTTCAGCAAATCCTTCGTCATTCTTGCTGCTTCCTTATGGAACTCACTTCCTACCCCCATGCGTCAATCCTCATCCACAAATTCCTTCAAACAACTCCTGTTCCAACACCTACTCCACATTCAAACTTCCCCTAACATGTAAAATTACTTGCATCTATACAATGTTTAATTTCAATCCATTGCACAATTAAAATAAGAATTAACAATAAATTAGTTGGTATTTTTATTATGTCAGACTAAGATACATAAATTTGTAACTCTGTTATTATTCTTAGGGGCCAGTAATCCCAGAATAAAATTATTTTTTCATTTTCATTTTTTCATTTCATTTCATTCATTTTTTCATAAAAGGCAGAAGGTAACCAGCCGGCTAGTAAAGAGGATCGAGAGAAGTTGTAGATAGAAGATTGTAGAAGTTGGAGACAACAATATAGAGGAAGATTCACTGCAAAACAGGGCGAGTGAAATATAAATAGACAGTTTAAAAGCGTGCCAAGATTAGACCCAGAGAAAACAATGGACATTCATAAATAAGTTATAAAAAATTAATGTATGCCTTTGTATTATATATTTGAGGAATGTGTGTAAGTTGTCTCAACCCAACCTGGGAATTAATTATTGTGTAAAAAAATAAATAATATTTGATTAAGAAACTGTTGTGTTTACTTTTCAAAAGGAATGTAACAACATAGTAAGGGAAAGTATTGCGATCGAGAACATTTTTGAATCTGAGTTTTCAATGGAAATACACGTTTTGAGGTCTCCTGAGTCGAAATAACCAAGTCCCACAAAATGGTGTGTGTGTATGTTAACAGCCCAGCTTAAAAACGAAAAGTAAGAAACTACTATTACGTATTGGAATGTTACAGCTACTTTTTTCTGACAATCGGCTAACTGGAAGTGGCACTTTATATCAACTATGTTACACATTTTTACAATTCTCTCAAAAATGGCTATAACAATTATGATTGAACTCAGTATATCAGTGTATTATTAAGTGATATTTAAGATCAGCTAGGTCTTAAATATCACTGAATAATAGGTCTTATCCCCATTGATGTCACTTTACAAGGCTTAAATGCCTAATGTTCAATAAGTCTTCCTCTAAAGTACCTTTAATTTGGTTTATTTAAAAAAATTAACTGTCTCTTATCATCATTAACAATAAGAGATGACTGAATATAAAGTATGAAAGAATTTGTTAATTGGCTAAATAGCCATTGCCTACTTATTGCATTGGTTGATGAATATAAACCAAAATTCAAAAATATATCGTTCAAGGTTTAGCTCCATTAAAAATGTGGTTCAAAAATTTCTTGTAGTCAACCAATTTTGCCAGACAAGAGTAGCTTTTCGAATTAGAGCGGTAAGTGAAAGTTATGTATTGGGTGCACCAGATTTTTTTAATTTTAACTAGAAATAAAATTTTGTTAGAATCTGCTTCCACTTAAATTCTGTCACTCAGGGCAAGCACTCTCTTTGCATCTTCTCTGTCCACAGCCCATGACCATCGCAATGGAAAAAAGTCAAGCTAACTGTGAAATATAATAGACTCTGCCAACAGTGAGTTACCTATAGAGTCCCAAGTTGCATTTTACATTCTTACCTAAGAAGCAAGATGTTTAGTGTATGATGAATGCTAGAATACTCCATATTGAGATGAAGGTAAATAAGGTGAATTCTTTTAATTAATTTTGTTCCTTGAAAACCGTGTCTCAAGAAAGAAATGAAAATAGCTATAACCATTTCGTGAGGACATAACCATTACAGACATTTAAAAAATTAAAAATACAAACCTGTCAATACAGCTTTGGGATGAATTATTGTTCCACCACATTTGTATTCAGGAATTTCTCCGTCCTTGAGATAGAAACCAGCGTGCCATGGGAATTCGGACGGCTTGACAACAATGCCACCTTCTATCAAAGGGGTAACTGCAAACCTTTTACCACAATCTAAGAAATAATGAACAAACAGATTAAATCAGAACAATCATTTTGAATTCATTAAGTTTCATTCGTTCAATTGTATTGATTATAGTTTATAGCTATTTAAAGTATGGTGATTTATTATTGTTATTTTTTTCTTTATTTTAAATATCATATAACAAAACATCATGTTTTTTCTGTAGCTATATTCGGGGAGTAATTCTAGATTTTTCGAATCACTCTTGATACTCAAAACAAATTATTATTAGATCATTATTTAAAAGAAAATTTTACACATGAATCATTGAAGTGTATGTAGAATACATAAACCATTAAATACATTATATATTTTAATGTTTTTTATAAAGAATTTAAAAAAATTGATACATGAAAACCTATCATCAAATAATCTTGATAATGAATAAATTAATAATATAAGTACAGTCGGTGTATTGTAGTAAACAGCCCCCTGTATTTATTCCTTTATGTGACATGTGAGGGAATGAGAAGAAATATATAGGAATGTGAGGTTGCACTGTGAATTGTACTCAATTGTGCAGTGGACAAAGTATTCATGGAAAAGTCTCATATCGATGAAGAAGGACGCTGGAAAAAGGTCAGAGCAGGTAGCTAGCAACAGCTGGCAGGAGGACGCCGAGAAGAGCACTTGAGGCCTGGACACGAAGACGAGAAAACGTCATCTGGGAAGAGAGGCTTACTACATTGAAGACTAAGAATATCAAGGCTACAGTTATCAAGACTTTTATACATTAATTTATTACAGTTGTTAAAACAAATTGTTTATTTTATTTAGTTGTCCTATATGCCTCACAACTGAAGAATAACAAACCAGGTGAGTCAATTCATTCAAAGTGTGTTTACCAAGTCCCACATTTCATACATGTATTCTTATTGTTTCTTCTCACTCAGTGTCACAAAAGGTATTAGATTCCCGAATTCCCAACGACAGTTAAACACCCCCAAAAAGTCTATATCCAGTGCCGGGGTTTTGTTTTAATAATCACGAGTATAAATAACCTAGTTCCCCGATATAAAAGTGGAAGGCTGTTTGCAATTCCCGCCAAAAACATATTATTTAAATTAAACTTATATCAGGTTATTTACAGGATGACAGGATTAAAAGAAGATGGATTACCCGGGAGGCAAGTGTATAGTTTTTTATGCCAATTTCCGTCTGATAAGCATTCCGTTTTTTTGAACTCAGCATTGGAGTCACTGGCGTGGTAGGTATTTTTACATTCTGCTTTGAGTACAGTTCCTGGCCTCATGGCTTCTTTACAGCTCACTTCTTTGTCACCGTAGCGACATTCTAAGTTCAAAGAATGCGAATGTAATCCTCTGCATAGTTCTAAAAAAAATAACAGTAGCTAATTATACAAATTTAAAACAACACATTAATATTCTCTTCTTGCCATTACTAAATATTAATAAGATTAAGATTAAATAAGAAGGCAAAAATAAATGATAATATTTATTTTGACATTTGCCGACGTTTCGACCTGAAGTTCAGGCCTTCATCAGGGCTAAGAAAAGAACCCGATAACAAGGTATGAGAAACATAACAGTGTAGGTAAAAAAAAATTAAATAGTATTAGTCATCTCAGTAATAGTATTAGCATCTTGGAATTTGTTGTTTGGCAGAGAGACTAGTTGTTTGGAATTACAAGAGAGAGGATCTCCCAAGGAGTTTAAGTTGAGTAGAAGAAAGTGTCACCATTTTGGAAGATGTGTTTGGCAGAACATAAGAAAATGTTAGAAGACAAATGAATTTAGAGCAACAAAGGAAGAAAAAGTATCTATAGAAAAAAGGTTAGCTTGTCAATTCATACTAGATTTTATTTTAAAATCAGTGTTTAATATTAGTATAAGTAATAATAGTTTATCTGAGTGTTTTGATCTGATTTTCAGTAACCCACATCTGAGGTAAATAAATATATTAATACTCTTGTTTATCATTTAATAACCTCTTATTTATTTTGGAAATATCCCAACAGTATAAAGTGAGCTTCCATAAGGTCATATTATTATTTGTAAAATATAAGAGAGATATTACAATATAAATAAGATAAAGGTTTTGTCTGTACATTGAATAGAATCAACCCGTATCATATCTTTCCTTTTCATATATTACAGACAATAAATCCGCTTTTAAAAAATTTTTTGTCTCTAGAATTTAGTGGAATTTTGTCAGGGGTAAGCTCAGCAATGGCTAATGGTAGACTTTTAAAATGTTGATGTTATACTTAAGTTTGCTTGACTTAAAACACAGGCTTTCAATGAAAACAAAATATTGAGTAGAACCAAAGTTATGAATTTTTGAGTAATTTGTCTTACTTCAATTCTCATCCCAACCTACTCTACCGCAAGCCACATTTAAAAGTTGTACTAATCAACTGATGGAAAAAATTATCACAACTCAATGAGAAAAATCCGAAATCTTGAACATCTGTAACATGTTGTCGTTTAAAACAGAGGAATTTTTCAACTTTGTCCGATCTTCCTATTCAAGGTGTCATTCGATTCAACTTCCCGAGCTTTTGTCATATACATTTTTAGGATTAACCAAACGGACTAGCCGGAAATCGGAAAAAAAAAATCCTAAAAATTTCACCCCGCCCGCCACAATATTCAGATCAAGTTCTAATTTTACACAGATGAAGGCGACTCAATGTCCAATGTTATTTTGATTATTTTGCCAGCGATAAACTCAACAATGACCATGGGTAGACTTTTGAAATTTTCACATTATATTAAGGTTCGTTTGACTTAAAACAGGCTTTGACTAAAAACCAAATATTGAGTAGAACCAAAGTTATGAATTCTTGAGTAATTTGTCTAGAGATCCCGGTCCAGAACCAGCAGGAAAAATACAAAATCCTAGACTTCTGCTTAAGCGTCAACGCACTGTTTTAACAGTCAGTAATTAAGTTTATCCACACATATGAATTTTCAATTTTAAATCAATATTTTACTTAGTTTTTAAAGATTAAATTAAATTGATAAATAACTGTTGAAACCTCCAATATAACCTCCGAATCCTGCAGGAAGAATTAGAACTGTTCAACCTGGAAATAAACAGCCACAAGACAAAAATTAAGAGAAGGAAGAGGAGAAGAGAGGGGAGATCGAGTACTTCGATTGAAGGGGGAGGAACTGGAGCACATCAAAGATTTTAATTATCTGGGAGCCCATCTAAATGAGAACGGTTGGATAGATGGTGAAATCAGAGAAAGAATAAAACTGGCCAGCAAATGCTTCCATTCACTAAAAACAGGCTTCTTAGCAAAGAGAGAAGTGTCAAAAATGTCAAGAAGACGGTGTATAGAAATACATTTGTTCCTGGACTATAACCTCAAAACATAAAAGCAATATCCAAGCATTAGAAATGCGATTTCTGAGAAGAATAGAGAGGAAAACTAGGAGTGACAAAATTAGGAATACAATGATAAGAAGCAATTTGGGAATAAAACCAGCAGAAAACACAATTGAGGAAAACAGGCTACGCTAGTTTGGCCATGTCAAAAGAATGCAGGAGGGAAGAATGGCCAAAACTATATATGAAGTAAAAGTGGAAGGAAGAATGCCGAGAGGAAGGCCCAGAAAGACCTGGGAAGGTTCAGTCAGGGAAGATTTCGATAGGAGAGGAATGAATTGGAATAGACGCAGTCAGCTGGTGCGGGAACGAGATAAATGGATCAAGCTCTATAAACAGGATCCTCTACACTGATCTAGTGGTAGAAGAGAAATTGATTAAGGAGAAGAAGAACAACTGTTGATATTCAAATAAATTATAATAGACATAAACAAAATCTAAATACATAACAGAATTCATTTTATTTTAATTGTCTGATTGCAATTTACTAAGTATTTGAAAACAACGATGCAATATTGATTAAGTTTTTATGCATCAGTAAAAATCTGAATGAATGAAAATGATTGACGGCTTGAATTCGTTCAATCTAAAGCTTACAATTTATTTCAAGTTAATTGAAATTAACTTGGAATCAACTGGGAACAATTAAATTTAGAAACAAGTTTTATTCTATTGAAGTTATTTTGATTGTTGAGAAAAAAACCGAAGCAACAGATCACTTTTTTTTATATCCAGTCTGTCTCACCCCACTCTGTTATCCCTCCCCCATTCTCCTTTCGTTTGTTGCCCCTTTCTTTATCATTCTCAATATAATACCAACAATTAAACTGTAAGGAATTAACCCTTGATAAAAACTGATATTATTTGGAACTTTTGGATATGAATAGGCTTTGATTATTGGTATTGACTTTAATTACTGATTTACTGTTTCTTTATAATTTATTGAAACCGTATTTGGTTGGGTGATTATCACAAACTTAGAATTCGATCCGGCTTCGTATATTGAATTATTTGGATTTTGACCCAGCTTCGTATTTTGATAATTTGATAATGAATTATAGTAATAGCATTTGGTACGAATTTCTTTGATTTTATAATTATTTTTATAGGTACCAATTTTTTGAATAGGTACCAGCCGCTTTTTATTGAACCTAATTTTGTGGGTTTTTAAATCATTTCTGCAGACCAAATTCTGTTTGTTTTTTGTTGCTACAGACAAATTGTGTAGGATATTTTAAATTTGGTTTTAAAATATTTTCTATGGAATATAAATACCTTTAAATGAGATATATATCTTTCTGTTGATAAAAATTCCTTTTAAAAAAATGCAATTTAAGCTAATAAAAAATTTCAAAATAACCCTTCCTCATCCAATTTTATAAAATTAAATTTGGATCCCTCCCCCCACCACAATACAAAATCCATCTAAATAAATATTCTAAAATTTTAATTATATACCCATCAATGACATGTACGTCAACTAGTATAATATAAATAAAAGTCTAAGCTATAGAAATTAAATAAATGTAAAATTAAACCAACTTAGGCAAGTTGGAGGCTGAGGATCCCAGTTTCCATGTTTGCATACTAACAACTTCTGTTCCATTGATAATACGTAGCCAGGATCGCATGAAAAATTTAAGGCATCGTTTTGATTGCACTTGCCACCTTCAATACAGCCAGATATCACTTTATAATCTCCATTATTAGGTTTCTCAGGCAATGTGCAGCCACCACTTAAGAAACAAAAAAAATAAATATTTTTATATTAAAGTTACAAATAAAAATTATTTTAAAAAGTAACAATAATTACAGAACCATTTTAAATGGCCAAGTAGTATGCTAACTAAAGCTAATCATAAAAAAAAACAAGACATAGAAATAAAGTTAATTTATTTTTAAAAGATTTACAATTGAGAATAAAAATGGAGATTAAATACAATATAATGAGAAAAGAAGAATATTTAATAAAAATTGTACTTACGAATAAGATTCGGGAATGTTAACTGAATAAACAAGAAACATAAACATAGAATTGTTTGCATTTTAATGCTTTACTTTCATTAATAAAACCATTCTATTATTTAGGTATAAATGTGTTTAGAATTTTTTATTTGTTTATTTTTTCTTATTTCTTTGTCAGTATTATTTATTTACTTTTTTATATTTATAGTTATTTCTTTATTATTTGTATATATTGTATGAATGAGAACGTTTAGCCTTTTAACACTTATAGCCCTCCAAAAATGGCTGATTGTATTATTATTCAATAAATAAAGCTTAAAAAAAAAAAAAATATTTGAAGCAGAATAAAATAAAAATCATTCTATCACGGTAATGGAAAATTAAATATTTGTCAACAACTAATAATTAGTCAGTTTCTTTAAAGTTTGAAAACTCAAATTTACAATTTAAATTTAGGTTTATGTATATTTTATTTAATGCATATTAAATTCAAATCAACATAAATTGATGTATATTAAATACATGCATGATATGTTTAATTTGAAATCTTCATCATAACAGTTTTGCATTTGTGTATCATCAGGATGGCTATCAGACAGTTAACCCTTTGAATGCGGACGGGACACATGCCTTCCAATTAAGAGTTGGGTCACTTGTGTGGATAGGATATATGCCTTCCTGCCAGAGCGATCGCCACTTATACAGGTAGTGACAAGCCATTTGACTTGTGGCTTGGTTGGAGCATTCATTAGTCCCCTGTAGCTGACACAGTGCCGTTGTTCCGGATTCTGACCATTTGGAAGCTATCAGTTACAGATTCATTCTGAACCCAAGGTATGTCCTTCCTCTGTTATTTGCGTCATATCCATGATCCTATTTATGTTCTATTGAAATTTTTTATACATCAAACAAATATTAATAAGTTAATTTTATAATTTTTTCTTTTTACTTTCACTTACGCATATATGTAATACATAGTAAGGATAAGTATTGCAATCGTGAAAATTTTTTAATCTGAGTTTTGAGGTACCCTGAATCGAAATAACCAAGTCCCGAAAAATGGTCTGTGTGTATGTGAACACTAACTAAAAAACGAAAAGTCGTACGAAACTGATATTACGTATTTAAGATAGGTATATGTTATAGATATGAGGTATATGTCTTAGATGTCACAGCCACTTTTTCATTAAAATCGGCTAACCGGATGTGCCACTTCATATCAACGCTGAAACACATTTTTACAATTTTCTCAAACGGCACTAACGATTTTGATTATACTAGGTGTATCATTGTATATTGAAGTGGTCTTTAATATCAATTAGGTCTTATTACCATTGATGTCACTTTATAGGGCTTAAATGCCAAATGTTCATATACGTTTTCCTCCAAAGTACCTTTAATATGGTTTGTTTTAAATAATTAATCATCTCACATTATTTAGAGTTATGAAAAAATGCTAAATATAACTTTTGAAAGAATTTGATAATTGAATCAAGGAGACAAAAATAAAAATGCTTATCCAGGTCAAAAATGTATCTTCTGAAATACTAATCAGAAGATATACGTATAATATATCGTTGGAAAGTGAAGAATTTTAGAAAAAACAATATCTAATATAGAAAGTTGTAGAAAGTAACGCAGAGTGGCAAAAATATTACAAATAATATTTTTTGAAAACTAATAATATTTAACGTTTTCAAGGAAATTAAATGAAATTTACGAATTTTAAATTTATGAAGTTTGAAAAAAATATTTAAAATCCACCTAATTGATGCAATGACATTGTTTAAAAAACTATTTCATTGTACTTGTGTGAAAGAAGAAGTAAAATACAAAATCATTTCATGGATGTATAAAGCATATGTTTATAACCTTAAATACATTTACTGTAGTTTAATAATTCTATATCTGATATATTTAAATAATTAGCTATCTATTGTCCGTTTATTCTGAAAAAAATATCATGTAACCTTTTAAAAAATTAAATTAGTGAATAGTTTGATGAATTTTCCCTTTGTGATATTCTAATAGTATCCACTTACAATTAGTGTGACAACTTTTGATCTGTCTATGACAGACAATTAAAATCTCTTAATTCCATTTTAGTAATAGTCCGTGGTACAGACCCCTTTTTATCAAATTATTAACAGCCACCTGAAACTTCGTAAATAGTTTTATCTCATTGTAACCTACAACTACTTTATTTATGACAACTCTTGGAATTGGGGCGTTTTGGATCTGGAGGGGGGCAAACTTTGTCTATTTAATTAGGTACTAAAAACTCGTAAATACTCATCTGCTTTCTACTTTATTCGTAAGATAATTTGATCACCAAATCAATAAAAAAACGCTGCAAATGGTTTCACAATGGTTTATTATTTCCAAACAACTATAAATCTAAAGTAACATTACTTTCCTAGTTACAAAGAAAAATAAATAAAAGGTGATTCCAATTAATAAACATTTTTTTAATCATTAGTAACATTTTAAAAAAGATAGCATTGCTTCAGTAACACATTCAAAATTTAAAAACTAAACAAAGGATATAAGTAGAACATATAAAAAAAAACTGGAGACCATATCTTTGCTCCTAAATGTCCGATTTTAACAATTTTTTTTTTTTAGGAAATTCCATAAACTTTTAAAAAACATACACAATATCGACAAAGAAGTGTATACTTTTTGAGTTATTCGGAATAAAATTTTACCATCCTTCATAACTTTTAATGCAGCTTCTTTTTGTTGAAGTATGTTATATAGATAAATTTAAAGGGCGTCAAGAAAATGACTTTAGGGAAGTTTCATTGAAATCGGTACATTCGTTTAAGGAGCTACAGTCTATAACAACACAGGTTTTTCGGCCACCATTTTGAAAGTAAAAGGAGGATATTAATGTCCATGAAGGAGGATCATCCTTGGGTGACTTCTGATTTTATATCCAAATTTGGAAAAAATCGGTCCATTAGTTTCGGAGAAAATGCAGGGACGGATAAAAAAATTTTAATTCTTTTTTCGAATTCTACGCATCCTGAAACCTAAAACCTCAAATTTTGAGAGGAGGTTAAGTTTTTGAATTTTTGGGTCGATCACAATGGTTGATTATTGAAAATAATAAACCAAAAGGTAACCTACAAAAATATTGGGCGTTTGTTCTATATAACCTCGTTATTTTGAAAATTTGGGGATGTAGGCCAAACGGCTCAATATTTTTGAAGGCCACATTTTTTCTCGATTTTGCGATCAAACTATCTTACGATCCAAATAGAAAGCAAATGAATATTTACTAGTTTTTAGTACCCAAATTAAATAGACAATGTTTGTCCACTTCCAGATTGAAAACACCTAAATCCAAGAGTTTTCATAAATAAAATAGTTGTAGTTTAAGATGAAATGAAACTAGTTACGATGTTTCAGGCGGATATTAATAATTCAATAAAAAGGGGTCTGTACCACGGACTATAAACTTTGAATAGAAAATAACAGTTTAATAACTAATAGTCGTACAATCCATAATCAACCGGTAATATAATAAATAGGACTTTTGTTATTTTAATGGTATTTATGATTTGTTAGCTGTAATGTTTTATTTTTAGCTGGGTTAAAAATGTTCAAAAATTTTATAATAGCCAGACATTGCCAGAAAATTATTTTTATTAAAAGTAGAGCGGTAAGTGAAAGTTGTGTGTTGAGCGCACCAGATTTTTTTTTTTAATTTTGGTTTTGACTGAATGCTGATTTTGATCGAATCACTGACCATTAGCACTGTGAACTGATTGATCCTATTGGTATCAATAGGTTCGCAAAGGCATCTGGCATGTTTTAATTGAGTCTAGGACGACGCACAATAGGCCTTTTTGAGGGCTCAGTGCACCCTTATGTCGGAGCTTGAAAAAAAAAAAAAAAAAAAGCTTCTACTTTAATTTAAATCTACCAAGCTAGTGACCGAAATTGTTTCGGATTCTTCTTAATGTTCTGTGCTCCTAGCAAGCCGGAAGTTGAAGAAAATTAATAAGAAGAGTGTGAGAGTAACGGCGAACCGCAGGCTCCCTCTGACTTCGTCTTGATATTGGTTGGGATTGACCTTGTTATTGAGGTAATCCCGCTAGGTTAATAGCTTAAGCTGGTCAGAATATAAATACATCTGTTTTTTTTTTTTGTTTTGTTTTTTTTGCAATATGTGACCACAACAGAAGCTTTAGACAAATCAGAGGTGTCTATTTCAGCTTATTTCAAACTCAAAAAAAGGAAGAAAAACCTGATGTTGATAGCATTCAGCAAACCACATCAATAAGCGACGAACTGCTTTGATAAATTTATAAATAAAAGGCTTAGCGAACCCGGAGGTTTGATGCCGACACCACCAATCGCTCATTACACACCTCCCTCCACCGTTTGCCGTCCAAACCCAGTCCCTTCAGATCGGCTTTAACGCAATCTTCCCACCTTCGCTTCAGTCTACTTCTCGGACGTTTACCTATTTGATAAATTTACAGGTTAATATTTGAGAACAAAATTTACTAAATTTAAATACCCAAAATTCCATTTTGGCGGTTTTATGATTGGTTTTGGAGTTGTACTAGCCTCCTGGATGCTGCAAATTTCAGGGTCTTCATCAGAACCATCTTTACAGTCTTCTTTGTGATCACATTTCTTTTTTTCATCGATACATCCACCATATGCACATTGAAAGCCATATTTTGGGCATCTAAAAATGAATACAAATTATAATATCGTCAATTATAAATAACAAACATTTATTTGTTGTGTGAACCTAAAAACCGTATAATCCAATTTTTCAAATAAATTAAAAAATAAAACCTAGGAAAAATAGATTATATAAAATAATTCCACTGAACTGACTAGTTATAATCAATTCTAAATTTATAGTTATCATTTTTATCAGCTAAATAATTGCATAAGTTGGCAATAGCTGGTAGTGACTTCCAACTATTGCTGACTGTTGGTAGTGACGCCAACTAATGCTGACTGCTGATAGTAACTGTTGCTGACAGCAGGTAGTTACGACCAGCTGTTGCTGATTGCTGGTAGTGACATCCAACTGTTGCTGACTGCTGGTAGTGACAGCCATCAATTGCTGATTGCTGATAGTGACTGTCAACTATTGCTTCTAATTGTTACTGCTCATGTTTTTATAATGGAACTGCTCAATGTGGTGGCTATCTCCTCTCGCATTAAATGCGATAATTTAAAATATCGTTAAAATGCTAGGCTTAAATTTTATGGTTTTCAATTGTTTAGCAAGGGCAGTAATAGTCAGCTAGCCTAAAGTGCCACTTTGTATCATTGATGTCTAAACTTTTACAATTTCCGATTTCGATTAAACTCATAATATCAATTAACAACCAGATAATAAAGGTCATTAATATCAGATAGGTCTTATTCTCTATGATGTATCCGAACTTAAATATTGAATTTTCAAAATTTTCTCCTCTAAAATAACTTTAATTTATTTCATTTTAAATAACTAACCATTTCTCATTTCCAGAAGTAATAAAAATGGCTTAATATGAACTATGAAAGAATTTAATAATCGATTAAAGGAGGAAAAAAAAGAAGATTTTTTTCAGATTTAAAATAAATTTCCGGAAATGATTGTAAATAACATGTTAAAAGTTAATTTTAAATAATTTGTTTTTTGGCGAATAGCGAATAGCCTTCCGCTTTTATATCGGGGATTCAGGTTATTTACACTCGTGAATTATTAAAACAAAAACCCGGCACTGGATATAGACTTTTTAAGAGTGTTTAACTGTTGTTGGGAATTCGGGAATCTAATACCTTTGTGACACTGAGTGAGAAGAAACAATAAGAATATATATTTGAAATGTGGGACTTAGTAAACATACTTTGAATGAATTGACTCACCTGGCTTGTTATTCTTCAATCGTGAGGCATATAGGACAACTAAATAAACTGGCTTTTCACTCTTGTATAATAAAACAATTTATTTTACAACTGTATAAAAGTCTTATAACAGTAGGCTTGATATTCTTAGTCTTCAATGTCCTGCTTCTCTCATCTCAGGTAACGTCCTCACCCCTCGGTGTCTCAGTCACAAGTCCCCGGCGTCGTCTTCCAGTTGCTGCTACCTGACCAGACCTTTTTCCTTCTTTATCGATTGTTTATCGATATGAGATTTTCCAATGAGCAATTTGTCCACTGCACAATTGAGTACAATTCACAGTGCAACCTCACATTCCTATATATTATATATTCCTTCTCATTCCCTCACACAACTAAATATTCTAAATCAACTTCTTCTTCTAAATATTCTAAATAAGTCAACTAAAGGAGTAAATACAGGGGGATGTCTACTACATGATAATCAAAATGAAGGGCCAGGGGGAAAAAAGATGAAAGTCACTTTCTCTTCGATTTTGAGATATTAGCGCTATCCAGGGGCTATGAAGTAGTAATATCATCTGGTAGAACAACAAGGGGAAAAAAAGATGAGAATCGATCGAAATGCGAATGAAAAGATTCGGAGTAAGGGGGAAAATAGATGAATGTCACAAGCGCGGATGGAAGAAAGATGAATGTCAAATTAAATGCCCGGGCTACCGGTAGTGGCCAGCAGTGTTGTGGAAACCTCCTCGCAATCAGCTTATCACTTGTTGAATCGCGTTTCGCTAAATTTGTATTGTTTTTGTGGCTTATTGTTTTTCCTGAATTGTTGGTGTATAAAAAAATAATATTGAGTACCAGCATCATGGATACTCTGGATTCTGCAGAGAGTAATGATGAGGTTGGGAAAGTTCCGACCAAACTGACAAAAAAGAGGAAACCGACTGGAAGAATGAAAGAGGTTATGAAGAAACTAAGGCTCTCTTCGCATGAACCAGGACTTGACTGTAAGTGTTTTCAGCTTAAATGTTTTCAAACTGTATCTGAATTTGCGAGGATGAAATTGATCCAGGAGTTCAACGAACTTAACTCCTATGACGAACAAAGTTCCTTTCTTTCTGGACTCATTACTGTGCTACCCGTGCAGAAACGAAAGAGCATGGAAGGCAGTAGTCACGAAAAAAAGGCTTCTTATGCTTTTAGAGTAAGGGTCGATGTTGATGAGACCAACAGAGATTTACCTGTTTGTTTCAAGGTGTTCATGTCTATTTTTGGTATTACGCCTAAACGAGTTCAGACCTTTCAACAGTCATTAACTGAGAAGGGTAGTAGTCCCAAAGATAATAGGGGTAAACATGCAAAACGACCTCATAAAATCACGGATCAAACTCGTGATCTTGTGAAGGATTTCATAAATTCGTTGAAGGGACGGAAATCCCATTATTCTTTAAACGGTTCAGACAAAATATATCTACTGGATCTTAATTTGTCCAAATTGACCAAGATGTACAATGAAATTCACAAAGAGAACATCGTACATTATGACACATTCCGATCAATTTTCAACTATGTATTTAATATATCGTTCGGCTATCCGAGAAAGGATACCTGCAGCACGTGTGATGCCATCAAGTCTCAGAAATCAGCAATTGAATCAGGCACCACAACCACTCTTCCAGACTCGCAAAAAATATTTGATCCCAAAATTGGAAACAGCACAAACTTCACCTATCGAAAGCTGAAAAATTCTAATCAATTAAAAGGAATTTCAAAAAAATTAGTAAAAGAAATTATGCTGTTACTGCCATTGGCATGGACTTTCAGAAACATCTACCTACCCCAACATACAAGAAAACGTCCTGCTCCACTAGACATTTAACTAACCTGTATGATGGACCATTGCCGATTTCTCAACCAAAGTTCAACGACTTGCAACAACTAAAAAAATTTTTGGTTAACCCTGCTGGGAAGGCGTTCTTTGAGAATTTGTCCACCATAAATCCAGCAGCTGTTCACGATGACAGCGAAGATGTATATCTGGATTACCCAGATGAATAAATTTTTGTAAACATTTTTTGTTCATTGCCAATAAAATATAATTTGTTCATTAAATTCATTAAGTTTTTTTTCCACCTTCATCATTTCACCTAGGAGCTACATGGAACTGCTTATATTGATTACTAACATCTATTAGGAATTGATACACTAAAAAAAAAAGGTATGATTATATTACAAAAGGAGTTAATAGAAATCAAACTTTGTTTTTCATTTTTCTCGAAATCACTTTTTGGTCACTTTCATATTTTTCCCCCCTGGCCCTTCAAATACATATAATACAGAGTGACAGCTGCAGAGATGAGGTTTCTCCAAAGAATCATGGGTAGAAGAAGATACTGCATCAGCAACGAGAGGATCAGTGATGGAAGTCCTAGAGGCTCGTCACCTGGTTCGGCCATGTTGTCAGAATGGATGATCATGGAAATCCACTGAAAACAATGGATTATGCCTCTGACAGTAGAAGGCCGACCAAGGATGTGCTATATGGAATCGTAGACCAGATCAAGCCAGGAACCCGGCAAGAAACAGATAATAGTGGTAATCCTGGTTAAACGCTCACCTACGCTGTAAGTAAATAACCTTTCGTTTGTCGGGGGTCTTGGTCATTTACCCGTGAATTTTAATTTTAAAACAAAAACCCTGGTTCTGGGATTAACTTTTTGATTATGTTTACTATTGCTGGGAATTCGGGACCTAATTCTTTTGTAACATTCAGTGGCAAGAATATACATGAAATATTGGGATTAGTAAATACATTTTAAATGAATTCAGTTATATGGTTTGTCGATCTTCAGTTGTGAGACATATAGTACAACTAAATAAAAGGGAATATTGACTTCTGTATAACAAAGATAATTTATTTTTGAGTAACTGTGAATAATGAAATATTGAAAAGTCTTATAATTGTAGGCTTCATCTTCTTCTTAAGCTTCAGTAAAGTGGGTTTCTCTCACGCTGTCACATCCTACCGTCTTCAAATCATAGCCTCAAGTGAAGTCTTTGTTCTTCTCTCTCCCAGTGTGCTTCCACGGCTGCCGCCACCTATTGTTTGTTCTTCTATACCTTTTTCATCAATTATTTATACATTTAACACTCTTCACTAAACAACTTGTCCACTGCTTAATTAACTCTAATTCATAGTGCAACCATTCCATCTCTTCTGCAGATTCATCATTCCCACACTCAATGTCAGATAAAGGGGTACGTAGAGGCCATCTACTACATGATGATAGGCACAACAGGATGACACAAAAGAAGAAAAATCTGATGTGGTTTCCCTCCCTCTACGAAACGTCTACAATAAGCATTCACAAGAGGAGGCCATAGTCTGTAGTAGACATCCCCCTAGTATTTACTCCTTTATTTGACATTGTGTGAGGGAATGAGAAGGAATACATAGGAATGTGAGGTTGCACGATGAATTGTACTCAATTGTACAGTGGACAAATTATTCATTGAAAAGTCTAATATCGATAAATAATCGATGAAGAAGGAAGAAGGTTGGAGGTACCGAAAGGAACCAACAGGTAGCAAAAGCTGGAGAGAAGAGAGGGCATTCTAGGCCAGGACAGGTAGAAAGGAGGTGGTCAGAAGAGAGGACGGACGCACTTGAGGCTGAAATATTGAGGCGGAACGACATATCTGGGAAGAGAGTCTACTACAAGATTTAGAAGATCAAGTCTATAGTTATAACAATTTAATAGAGTCAATTTATTACAGTTGCAGAAATAAATTATTTTGTTATACAGGAGAGAAAAGCCATTTATTTATTTAGTTGTCCTATATGCCTCACGATTGAAGAATAACAAACCAGGTGAGTCAATTCATTCAAAGTGTATTTACTAAGTCCCATATCATGTATATATTCTTATTGTTCCTTCTCACTCAGTGTCACAAAAGGTATTAGATTCCCGAATTCCCAACAATAGTTAAATATCCTCAAAAAAGTCTATATCCAGTGCCGGGGATTTGTTTAAAATATTCACGAGGGTAAATAACCTAGTTTCCCGATATAAAAGAGGAAGAATACTTACTATTCCCACCAAAACTAAGCATTTACAATTAACTTTTATTAGGTTATTTACAAGTCAGTGGGTCAACAATTTCAACCTAAATTTTTTTGATAATTTCATAAAAAATTATGTTAATTTTTGGCCTTTTACTTTGCCCAGAATTCCAGATTGTTGTATACCAATAAATTTCCTATTTTTAAACAGAAAAAGAAAAAAAAATATGGCCTACAACACTGAATGAGTTATATCATAGGTGATAAATAGTCAGGAGGCAATCATTTTAAGATTTTTATTGTTGCCAACGTTTCAACCCAAGCATATGTGGGTCATCATTAGAGCAAGTTCAGTACTTAAACACCTTCAGTGCTGGTAACATGCCCTGATGATGACCCGTATGCTTGGGTTGAAATATCGGCAACAATAAAAATCTTAAAATGACTGCTTCATAGGCATATTTATCACCTACGATATGCAGAACAGTCGACTAACTTCCTTCAATGAATGAGTTATAATGTATTAAAGATTGCAAAAACCAAAAGACACTTCTTCTAAAGCAGATCAAATGAATTTTTGTCATAAAAAAAAGCTAGTTTGATTCGTTGTTAATGTTCTTTAAAAATCTTAAATATATATTTTAATATAAATAAAAAAGTACAAATTTTATGTTATTTGATTTTCTTGAAGGAATTTTTTTCTGCCCATTAATTAAAGCATTCATAACTCCTCTGGATTTTTTCTCTACTCAAATTAGAGTGGTAAGTAAAAGTTGTGTGATGCGTGCACCAGTTTTTTTTTTTTTTAAACAAACTTTTGACATCGCTCAGTTTTCGTTATTTGTCTGATTTTATTTTTTATTTTTTTTTTAAGAAATATTTTAGACCATCCATGAGAACATTGAAATGTTTGCAGACTTGTTTCTATGGTTTAGCATATAATTTTATGTTTTCTGTTTCAACATTTATCAAGATCAAAACCCACAATAAGCCTATATATAAGCCTGAATCTCATATCCTTAAGCATCAGATGATAAAAAATAAAAAAAACCCTCAATGAAGTTATTAAAGGTAAGACATTAAAAAAATAAAAATATAACCCCCAATAACTTCAAAATCTTTTTTTTTAAATATCACACTAAAAATTGATACAAACCGAAAAGTAATACACTGAGTGATACTCTCGTCAGAACCATCAATACAGTCACTGCGTCCATCACACATTGAAAGTTCGTCAATACACTGTCCAGAATCACACTGAAATTCAAGAGACCTAAAAAAAAAATTTTTAAAAATGGATATTATTTTATACATGTAATACGAAAATTGGGGTGTGGGATAGCTTCGTGGGTGAGCAATAACTTCCAGAGCTCAAGGTCTCAGGTTTGAATCCAGCTGATGATTAGTAATTTTTCATCAGATATGAATCGACCCTGGAGTCAGGAGACCCTTTTGGGGCACACCCATCTACTTTAAAGTGGATACTCTTAATTAATAATTAATTAAGGGGGTAAACCTGGCGGTTGAGAGTGAACACCTCCCTGCTCAACCGTTGGCCTTATAACAATACTTCATCACAAAGTACTGAATCTAAGAGCCTTCATAGGTTGTAGTGGTACAGGTTTTATTTTGTTTATACAAAAATGAAATTAATAATAAAATAGAAGAGAAGAATGGTTGGGTTGATCAGCCAAAAAAGAAAAGTAAAAATAAGTATGTAATTTATTTTTATTTTTTCCGACATTTCAGCCTAAAGTTCAGGCCTTTATCAGGGCTGATCGAATGAAAAGATTCCACAAGTAATAAAATAAATCACTAATTTATTATCTAATAAGTTATAGTCATTGAATATATGATCAAAGTATCAACTTACTTGCATACTTTAACAATAGAACTTGAATTGAAACACTTTGGCAAACTTTCATCAGAACCATCAGCACAATCTTGAGATCCATTACAAGTTGCTTTATAGTCGACACAAGCTCCATAACCACAACGAAATGCATAGCGAGGACATCTATAACCATAATAATAAAAATTAAACTTATTACAATTTGTATCTACCTGAATAGTCTATATCACAACGCAAACTGATAAAACGTATTTTTTTGATGGATAGAATAGATAAAAAAATAACTTTATTCTGGGACAAAGCCCCTTGAGAATAACAAAATAAAAAGATTACATCTGGCAAAAATAAAATTAATCGAAAAAAAGAAATAATGTAAAGAAAATATAAGGTAAACATTCTATATACAAAACAATTAATACTATGACAAGACACTTGAAGCTATTTGCACTGATATACCAGTATACACTCTTAAGAAAATAATAAAGAATTAAAAAATAAAAATGTATCAAATTCAATATTAAAATCAGCTCGAATGGTTGGCAACTATCTGACTGTTTTTTGGATAAGAATTGGAATAGAAGGGTTTTGAATGTGGATATGGATGGGGAATGTCGAATTTTGATAGGGAGGGAATTCCAGAAATTGACAGAGCGAACAATAAAGGAATTTTGGAATGAAGCAGATCTGTGAGAAGGCATGTAAAGGTTAGAAGGTCGAGATCTTGTGGACAGGGAATGGACTGAGGATTTGAACTGGATAAGGTTGTAGGCGTAAGAAGGACGATGGTTGTTAATGATTTGGTAGAGGAACGTACCTAGGAAATATTGCCTTCCGAAGGAGGGGAAAAGCCTCTTTAACTCAGCGTAGTGGTGAGAAACATGTGAGTATCTTGGGGCTCCGATCATAAATCTTATGCAGCTGTTCATTAGTCTTTTCAGTCTATCGCAGAGCTCCACAGAGAGGCCATCATACACCACACAGCTATAGTCAAAGTGGAGGAAAATGAGAGAGGAAACTAGAAGTCTACGCGTATGTTGAGGTAGGAGATGGCGGAAGCGATAGAATAGTTTGAGGGTGGAAATTGTCCATCGAGAGATATGAGAAATATGGTGTTAAAATCATTTTTTTCAGCTAACTTCATTAAAACAGGAAATAATAATAAGACTTTTAAAATTATTAAATGTTTAAATCATTTTATCAATGAGATGAAGTTTGGGCATGGGTCTTAGTGTGCCCAGTTCTGAATGTCATGGGTTTAATTCCCACTTCGGTCAGTTAATATTTATTTCTCAGCAGCTCAGGGAAAATAATCTTGACATTTCCACTCTACTGGGTAACCTCAAGGTAATTGTAATGGGGGGAAAGGGAGGAAGGGAGATCTGTAATAGAGAGACATGTGGTTTTAATAGAGTGGAAGAGAGGTAGAGGGGGGGGGGGTTGTAATAGAGAGCAATGTGGGAGGCTGTAATAGAATAAAAGAGTGAGGCTGTAATAGAGTGGAAGATAGGTGGGATGGGAGTTGTAATAGAGAGGTATGCAGGAGGATTTTTTCTTTTTATAATTATTTATGAAATTTACAACTGTACAAATTAATATACATTCAGCAAATGTGATATAAAGAAATATATGACATGACAAGGCTTGTAGAGAATCTACCCATTGGTAGCACCCTAATAAAGTATCTAAATTAGAAGATCACGAGGCCATTTTCTTTTAGACGCCTAGGAGGATATCAGAGATCTAGGTGGAAGTAAGGATAGAAACAAGAGGATTAGGATGGTTCTGAAGTTTATAATGGAAGGATAGATATCTGGATTGGGCAAAATCGGAAACATATGGCACAATCAGGTCATTACGGATTATTTTATTTGTAACTAAGTAAGGAGGATTTTTCGAATATTACAAACGATTTTGGATTGTAAAGATTGGATACGATAGGAATTTGATGGTTTAGTGGAGCCCCAAAGCTCAACTCCGTAAGTCCAAATAGGTCTTATTATGGTCATGTATATGAGTCTTTTGTAATTAAATCAATCATTGAAAGGTTAGAGCGTTTGTTTAGTAAGTTCTGAAGTAGTCTGAAACGTCGAGCGGTTTCTTGTTGTTTCAGTCTGGTATGAGGATTCCAAGTTAGACGTTTGTCCAGATGGAGTCCTAAGTATAGGATTTGTTCAACAGGGATAAGTGGGGTGTTATTAAAGGATACAGTAGGACAGGAAGTCATAGGTTTACGACGAAGGGTAAAGGTAATTTGATGGAACTTATTTTAATTCTCCAGTTTTGACACCATTCTTCAAGGTTTGTGAAGAGGGATTAGGCGGATGTAATAGAATAAAAGAAGAGAGTTATAATAGAGAGGAATGGGGTAGGCTGTAATAGAGTGGAGGATGGCCTTTAATAACTGGCCTTTAATAACTAGATATAGAACAGAGCTCTTATAATGATGATATAAAATAAATAAAAAACGTGATTTCATTGATTAAGTTTTCTTTTGTAGTTTTCATTTATGTGGGTTAAAACTTATTCATAAAGAAGAATTAACAATATATCTATTACTATTATTGTACTCATCAGCACAATGAACCAAATATAAGAATCAAATAAACTTTAACTAATTTTATCACTTATGTACTCACACATAATAATTGTGACACAAAGCATAGGTTTCATCGCTACGATCCCTGCAGTCTACTGCACCATCACAAACAGAAGTTGATGGAATGCAATTCCCATTTGTACAACGATAGGTATGCCTACAATTGTATGAATATTATTGAGTGTTTAATAATAATTGTTCTAATTAGTTCAAAATTTAAAAATATCTTCATAATAAAATAAAATTTTCTTGTATTAAATTAATATTTTTAACATGCAGACGTTTGTAGCAACATATGTCCCGCAGACCTTTATGGAAATTCCAAAAGAGGTTTCAACAAAAAAACTGAAATTTATACTAATTATAGTAAACTGTATTAATTTAAATCAAGGGCATTTCCTTATTGACATTTTATCAAGAATGAAAGACAAATAGGTTTGACCTATAACATTGATTAAAAAAAATAATGAATACAACTGTTTTTTGTTTAATTATTTATATAAAATCAACCTTTTTTTAAAACATACAAATTAAAAAAGTAAAATTATAAACAATGATATATTTACCCCGTGCATCCTGATCGACTATTTCCTTTAAGATCACAATATATATTAGAAATACCTGAAAAGACAAATATTTTGCTAAAGATATTTTCACAAAGCGAACTATTAACAAAATAAATACCATCTAATGGAAATCTATAAACACTGATTAAAAAAAAAAAAAACTATAATACAACGCAGCCTATATGATGAATAAAGTTAATTTACTGGGCTAATTGGGAATAAACATTGAAATTAGAGATTGGAGGAAACCATGGAGGAGCAGTATCTGTAATAATTGAAAATATCAAAATAAAAACAGACTTTTCAGATACTTATGTAAACATTTGCCCTAAATCATAAATCATAAAAAATATTTTGGTTTCTAACTTAACAAAAAAAAAAAGTGGTTGATGCATACTAGAGAATGTCCAATGCGAATTTCACTCATAATATTGTAAAATAACTTTTAATGTTTCCAATCATAATGATTCATTCATAGAGCTAAGGTTATAAAATAACAAAATAAAAGAAGTCAAACTGTGAAATATTCCCTTTCATGACAATTTTATAAGAAAATGGAAACTTGTAAATAGTTAAGTTCAACTATTTAAAATTTATAAAACAGTAATAAGTTTTTGAACAAAGTATATACCATTTTAAAAATAGTTAAATAAACTTACAAAGTGAAATAAATATGAACAAAATATTCATACTGCTGAATCAGATAGAAGTGATAGAAGCCTTACTAGTGTAAACAAGGCTCACTTTAGTGGGCTAATCTCAAAAACATTTTCAAACGAATAGGCACGATGGCAAATCGGGAGTTACAGGAAAAAACGCTTCTAGTTATGATAATTATCCGATATGGAAAGAATGATGTAAGACTCACGGTTAGAGATTTGGTCAGTGAATCTTTCCAGGGTCTTCCCAGGCCAAACAGACTAGGAGTCACCGCCCATTTCATTTCATTAAAGATAGTAAACATTTTAAATTCTAGGTAAACTTCATCTGAACATACAGCTTCGGTCAGTCGGGTGAAAACCGTCACTTTCTATAAGAAAATTTAAATAAAAGAGGCGAAATCTGACGGTTCATTTAACGGAACAACTGACAGCTGAAATTTTTATATGGTGTAAAGAATACAGCCTTAAAAGAAATTTCACCTTGACTGACGAGGCACTCGGTTGCGTTTTGGAAACTGGCGAGGTCAAAGACAGCAAATTAAACCAGTCAAGTTGGATGAGGAAAAAATTCAAATAATCGGTTTCTCTTGGTTTTTTATGTTTTTTGGGATGCTGAATCTGTATTTGAAGTTCCTGAACGAAAATTTTCATTGCGTTCCGAGATATATAAAAAAAAACAACGAAATTTCTGAGATTTTTTTTTGGTTTATTTGGACATCACTCTGAAACTACACATTTTATCGAAATTATTATTACATATAAAGTTAAAGAAGATAAAATTTACTATCAATTTTATAAATAGCTCTTTGATGTAGGACCAATGGATGAGGAGTTAAAGATGTTTGACTGCTTATTTCACAAGAAATATCTGTTCAGTATGAGAGACATCAACATTCATAAAAATAGAAGAAAAAAAAATCTAGTGCGCGCAACACACAACCTTCACTTACCGCTGTACTTTGAATAGGAATTATTTTCTGGTAATGTTGGACTATTGTACAAATTTTGAAGTGCATTTTTATCGGAGCTTAAGCTTAAATCTTACAGCTAACAAATCGTTAAAACCAGTAAAATAACAAAAACCCTATTTATTCTATCAACGGCAGGGTTGCCCAGAGGGGAGTTGCATGTAAAAATTTTTTGAGGGCACATCATGTTTTAAATTTTAAGAGAACTTTTAAACCAGGAAATAAAGAAAAAAAAAGCACTCAGATGTTTGCGTATATATAAAAATATCTGGAGCGCACAATACACAAGTTTCACTTCCCACTCTACTTTGAATAGAAATTATTTTCTGGCAATGCTGGGCTATTATAAACGTTAAATTCTTTGCATTCCAACAATATATAATACGTATACCTTCTGACAGTTATTTCTAGAGATTAATTTTCAACCTGAATAAGCATTTTTCTTTTCTTTTTTTTTTCCGATTCCCAAATATCACATTCTTTCAAACTTTATATTTAGCCATTTTTTATAGTTATTGTCAATAAAACACTATACTAAAATTATACAATGATACACCGAGTTTAATCAAAATCGTTAGAGCCGTTTTTGAAAAAATTGTAAAATTTGTTCACCGTTGATATAAAGTGGCACTTCCGGTTAGCCGATATTAAGGGCGGATCTACGGGAGGGAGGGCTTTGGGGCTGAAGTCCCCCCTCTCCCCCCCAAAAAAAATGGTAAAATATAACCATGTTTTATGGGAAAAAAATTATGTCTTAAAGTATTATTGTTCGTGTAATTACATTTAAAAGGACTTTAGGAATCACTTAAACACCATTTCATAAAGGTAGTTAATTTCGTTCTTTTTCCAAAGTAATTATCGTTATTTTTATGAAAAAAAAGGTTTCCAGCTGGATTCTCCCCCCCCCAAAAAAAAATTAAATCCTGGATGCGCTAGAGGCCATATCTAAGGCTTATACCTATCTTAAATACGTAATATCAGTTTCGTACGAATACTGGTTTTTGAGCTAGGATGTTCACATGCACACATACCAGTTTGCGGCACAGGCGGATTTACGGGGGGAGGCTTTCGGGCTGAAGCCCCCCAAAATGGTAAAATATAACCATGTTTTACAGAAATTTTTTTTAAAAACTATCTCTTAAAGTATTCTTGTTCGTTTAATTACATTTAATAGGACTTCAAGAACCACTTAAACACCATTTCATATAGGTAGTTAATTTCTTCCTTTATTTTAAAAATTAATTATCGTTATATGTATATGAAAAAAAAATCTTTCGGGCTGAATCCCCCTCTAAAATTAAATTCTGGATCCGCTAGTGTTTTTCGGGACTTGATTATTTGTACTCAGAAGACCTCAAGGCGTTTATTTTCGTTGAAAACTCAAATCTAAAAATTTTCATGATCACAATACTTACCCTTACTATATATTACATAAATAGGTATGTGAAAATAAGTAGCATTATCTTACGCATTTCTAGTTTCAGCATTGACATCTAAAGGTGCTGCTTGTTTGAAAGACCGGTATGCGGTACCTTTATTGTAAGAAATAAATGCCTTATCTTTGGCTATGAGGCACGGAACAAATTTAAAATAAAGTAGCAACAAACAAAAAACTTATGAAAAATTATCATCACTGACAGGTCGATTGATAGTATTATAACATTCTGGAAGAAACTAATTATGAAATAAAGATTAATTTTCCCACCCCTACTTTAAAAACACATAATCAAATATACTCCTTTTTGACAACGCTCTTGCGATATTTAAGGTGAAATTCTTATTTAAAAGACAAAAGTATTTGAAAAAAAAATTATAACGATGATAATAATAATAAAATGAGAATAATAATAATGAATTCCCCGCATGAGCGTAGAAAAGGGAGGGTATCGCTCCCCTCCCCCTAATTTGGAAGCAAATTAAACATAATATAAAACAAAAGGTTTGCCGAAAATTCAAGAAAGTTAATTTTTAAAAATTATCTTTCTATGTATACATTGTATTTCATATAAAAATATTTATAAATTGTAATATTAATAAACTTTTCCGAAAAAAATATCCTTATTGCTCCTTTTCTCTCCTCCCCCAATATGAAAGCTGCTTAGGCCTTTGGTTCTCGCCATGTTTCAATTAGTTTTGGCATAATTTAATTATTACAAATCTGGTGCGCGCATCACACAACTTTCATTTAACACCCTCTTAGCAGAAATAAGTACTTTCGGACAAAGGGGAAGTGAAAGTAAAAATTATTGATGCTATATTTATTTATTATTCATTGTGGGTATTTTTATTTGTTTAAATACCCTTACAAATTTTAATTTTTACAACAATGTATTCTATACAATTAAATATTAAATAATACCAACCATAGCTTTTATGAAAACCACATATGTATATGAACATAATATTGTCGGAGTCCGTATTATATGAAGCTCATGTTAGGTATGGAAGTCTGTTGTATCTTTCGGGCAAGCTCCTATTCCTTTGATTCCTCTATTATAACTATTATCAGTTACAATCTCTTATTTCTCCTTTAGTTAATTATCAAATTCTTTCATATTTTTATATCAACTATCAACTATTTTTTGTATCAAATATTAATGTGAAATGGTTAATTATTTCAAATAAAAAAAATAAAGGTGCTTTAGAGGAAGTCAATATTGAAAATTAGCCATTTAAGGCCTTATAGAGAACATCAATGAGAATAAAACCTACATTATATTAAAAACTGCTTAATAATACACTGATATACTGAGTTTAAATTACCTATGATGAAACAAATAATTTTTGTTCTAAGTCTTTTTTCTCAAACACTTTACAAGCTAAAATAATCTTGCACAATTTTTTTTTTTTTTCTGAAGAGAGGGTGTCATAATTATCTTAGTGTTTTGCTAACAATAAAAATCCAAATTTTTATGCTGTTTTGAAAACAAAAAAAATCTATTTAATAATAAAAAGCTTGAGCAACTCACTTGCTATAGAGTTAAAATTCTACTAACACAATGTAAATAAATAAATAAGAAATAACTAAATATAAAGCTTGTCAGAAATAATTTTATTTTTAACTGAGAAATGTTCCAGGTCTTCCATTGTAGGTTATCCTTTCACTAAATATGTTTTATATGCTTTATTATTGTAGTTATTCTGATTATCTCGCCTAATTAATGCAAAGGATTAATAGATTTTTCCTAAGAAGTGATTTAAAATATTTAATGATTTCTTAAGGGTTTTTTTTTTTTTTTTATTAATTTCATGAAATTAATTTTCTCCCTCACTGTCTCTCTCTCTCTCTCTCTCTCTCTCTATATATATATATATATATATATATATATATATATATATTGTAATGTCAACATTACATGGCATTTGAATAGTGGCGCGAGGGTGGTAACGGCGCGAACTACAGGGAGGAAGTGGGGGAAGCAAACCTCATATAACTCAGAATGTGACAGGCCGCCGAGAGAGAAGGTGATGGCAGCCAAGAGAGAAGGTGACAAGCTGTCAAGAGAGTAGGTGCTAGCCAGCAAGCTGAGAAAATAGAAAAAGGTTGATATAACAAATAGTGTTTTTGTTATTTGAATGGTATTAATGATTTGTTAGCTGTAAGCTCTAAGCTTTAGCTCAGTTAAAAAGGCACTTAAAAAATGTTGTTATAGCCTAATATTGTCAAAAAATAATTTCTATTCAAAATAGAGTGGTTAATGAAAGTTGTGTAATGCGCACACCAGATGTCTCTCAGAAAGTTCGTTTCACAGTTGAAGTGTCATTCATAGAATTTTTTTTTTATCACAAGCCAGAGCCTACGGAACTTGGTCAAGGTCTCAATGTAGCCATGGACCAAAAAATTTTGAGACCCCTGCTGTGGGGTACGGAAGAGTGAGGTTTGGGGGAGCAGGCCTTTAGTCCCACCAGTTGACAAATACATATATAAATCATTATTTCACTATGCAAGTATTTTCGTTTCTTGTTTTTGATATTTTCTATCAGCTGTCGGTATCAAGAAAAATAAAATAAATATATTGGTTTAGCAATATGTCGCTGTTAGTTAAGTTAGATAATTCTGTTTCCTGTAGTTTGTGAAATGTCTAAATGCACCTTCATAGTTCAAATCAGTGTCTGTGTACCATAGGTGCAGACTTCGGAGAGACGAAAGGGGTGATGCCCTCTCTACAATAAAAATGTTGAAGGGGCGAGAATATTGTTTCGCCCTCCTCCAATAATTTGAAGTAAAAAAAAAAATTAAAATTCATAACAAATAAGCTACATGAATGAATAAAATATGTAAACTAAAATCAAATAAGAAAAATCTACTATCTGGTTAAGCTAATGCCTCTAAGTAGGTATATAACTATCTTATCATGACCTAAATATTGCTATTATTATATTTTTCATTCATATTCAGGAATAATAATATAGAAACATATCCTTGGATTTTATGATTCATTCATCTTTCAAACCTCCATTTTCACGTGATTTTCTGCCAATAAAGTTGGAAAAAATATATTTGATAACTACAAGTATAAACATATTTTATAAAGAATATTTTTATAGACATTTTTATATAGCTAGACTGTGAAAATGTTTTATTTTTATTTGATGATTGTATAAATTAAGAAATCAAAACTATTTTTAGTTAACATTATTCATTTTTAACTGCAAAAGTTATAGAAATGTAACTATGCTATTGAGGCTGTACCCCTTCTTTTGATGTTTATGGATTGTAACATATCCAATTGTTTTGTTCAAATATTTTCAAGTACATCCGTAAGCAAATACAAAAAATTCTACAACTCTCAAAAAATATATATACATTTATTTTTAAATATCCAATATTATATTTGTTCATTTCACAATTAATATATTGAATTTATACACATTATATGAAATACAGTTTTTTTTTTTTTTGGTAAATCGCCACCCCTTCCTCCTCTCAATCAAAATGGAAAGTCTGTGCCTTTGCTATGTACAGTGGCGGATCCAGAAATGTTCTGAGGGAGGGGGGCTCATTATTAAATTAATTAAATTAAAAATAGTTTTTAAGGCAACATAGCACTCTAGTAACTACTTTCAGCTACAGTATTCAGACATTTCGCCAATAAATGAAGAATTTTTAGAGTAATGCGTTACTTTTTAGAGTATATAGTATTAATACAAATTATTTATTTAACATTTGTCAATTGAAATAATAATAATATAAGGGCCCGTTGGACAGCTACTTTTTTCAAAATAAAATTTTTTCTCACCTTCCTCTAGTGCCTATGCTTGTTAATAATTAAGACTGCTTTTGATAGTTCAGTTAGCTATCTTTCTTTTTCACTGAATTAATTTAACTTCAATTAGTTTAATGTCGGTTACAAATGTATTTTAAAAATGACTATGATTAATCCTTGGAAATACATAAACAACACTAGTACAATCTATAAAATACCCTTCCTTGTATCCACTAGCAGATTTAATTTTGATGGGGCTTCAGCGCGAAAATACTTTAATTTTTTTTTAGAGGAATACGTCATAGTTGAAGTATATTTTATAGACTTGATAACCATTAGTTTTCTCCAAGTTTCCAGGGAACAGGGAGACTGGATTATGTTTTCCTTTGAGGTGATAGGCTCACATATGTTTCCTAGGGCTTGGGACCAATCTGTCATCAAGAAACAATAAACAGTGTTAGTGAAAAGCGCCATTTAAAAGATACTGGGGCTCTATGTTTTATGAGATATTTGTATTATTTTTTTTAAATTGTTTATTTCAAATATAAAAATTATTTAAACTGAAATATTGATCTGAGGCACAAACATGTTAGCACCTACCCCACTATCTTTTTTTTCTTTCTATTGTTCATCAATAGTTAGTGTTTAGGGCAATAGGAAAAAGCCTCCATTACTCAAACATCTGCCAGAAGTTAAATAATTTCAGTCAATACAATGGTAATCAGGAAGATCTTAATACTATAGAATTGTTGAAAATTTAAAGGGGTTGATAAAATTGTAGATGAAAATTAGGGATGAATAAATAGTATAATAGAAAATCGGAGATGAAAAGAAATAAAAATAACCTCTTTATAATGATCTATTATATTACAACTAGATACCAAGGCTAAGGAAAACAAAAAGTGCAGTTTTATGCGGATTCCAAACCATCTTCAACAATATAAATGGAAATAACCTAGACTATTACAACATATAACAAATATTGTTTTGTTTAGGAAAAACAAAAATTGAGTATATAAGTAATCCAAAAATTTCATTCATCTAATTAAAATTTTCTTTTCAATTAGGGAGGCCATCTCTCACCTCTGGATTTTGATTTTAATTATGTTATTAATTTCAACTGATTGGTAGTTGATTTTTTAATGGAGCAAGAGTGTTATGAGGGGTAACTCTCATTTTTCTGTAGATGTTTAAAATTTTGATTAATTCATCTGTAGTTTGCCATTCTTTAGTGTAAAACAAACTAAAGGCAAAATTTATTTATGTTTATGTTTATTATTGCTCAATATACACTGTCAGAATTTTTTTTTTTCATAAATAGTTAATAGAGTAAAGAATCTGGTACGGTGGGTGCGTCCATCATACAACTTTCACTTACCACCCTCTTCTTATAAAAAATTATAGATGCTATATTTATATACATTTCATTGTGGGTATTTTAATTATTTTTTAAATTCCCTTATATAGACAAATATTATTGTTTATACCACTGTATTCTATACAATTAAATATTAAATAATATCAACGATAGCATTTATGAAAACCTTATGTATACATATGTATTATCTGAGTCCATATTATATTAAACTCATGTTATATTGTAACATCTCTCTTATATTTTACGAATAATAGTAATATAACCTCGGAAGCTCACTTCTTACCATTGGAATACTTCCTAAATAAATAAGAGGTTGTGTAATAATAAACAAAATTATCATATCAACTCAGACAAACTATTATTATTTACACTATTTATACTAAAATTGAACACTGATTTTAAAATAACGTCAAGTATTGATTGGCTAGCTAACGTTTTTTATATATACACTGTTTCTTCCTTTGTCTTCAAATGCTTTCCAATGTTCTACCAAACACATCTTCCAGAATGGTGACACTTTCTTCTACTCAACTCAAACTCCCTGGGAGATACTCTCTCTAGTAATTCTAAACAACTAGTCTCTCTGCCAAACAACTTTCAAGATGGTGATACTATTACTAGGTTTTATCCACTGGAGCCAGGATCTCTTCTCCTATCCTCTCTCCACTGCGGTCACACAACAACTGCTTACCAAAACAAAAACCTTTGTCCCTCTCGTCTTTGGAATTTGCCTTCTTGAGAAACAACAGAGTAGCCATTTTCTTTTCCCTGAACTAGTGAAAGTAGATTAGCTTGCTTTTTAAGTGTTACATTAATTTATTAAATCATTTTTACCCACTTTCAATAAAGGTGTATGTTACAATATATAGAAATCTGTTGTAATCTTTCGGTCAAGTTCGGCCATCCTCGTATTCCTTTGGTTTATCCATTACAACTATTATCCGATCTCTTATTTCTCCTTTAGTTAATTATCAAATTCTTTCATCTTTTATATTAGAGATTAATGCGAATGGTCAATTGTTTAAAATAAAAAACAAAACAAAGGTACTTTATAATATAGTGAAGAGGAAGCTGATATCGAAAATTAGCCATTTAAGGCCTTTTAGAGAACATCAATCAAAATAAAAACTACATTTTATTTAAAGCTGATTAATTTTATACTGAGATGATTAATTTAATCAAAATCGTTTTCGAAAAAATTGTAAAAATGTGTTTAGTCCATTATATGAAGTGCCACTGCCAGTTAGCCAATTTTGATGAAAAAGTTGCTGTAACATCTCTAGCATATAAAAACTTTAAACATGCAATTTCACTTTCGTACGACTTTTCAGTGTTGAGCTATACTATTAACACACACACACACACACAGACCATTTTGTGAGACTTGGTTATTTGGACTCTGGGGACCTCAAAACTTGTTATTTCCGTTGAAAACACGGATTCAAAAATTTTCAATTTAACTCAATACTTTCCCCTTACTATATATTTCATATATAGGTAATTGAAAGTAAAAAAAAAGATTACAAGAATAAATTTTCTGGAGAATAAACCCATTTACTAAGATACACCATCAGAACTAAAGCCATGGTTCACATTAATGTTGAAAATTCCTCTTAAAGTGTATATTACTGGAACATTTACCATAATATTTAATTTTTCATATTAGAGAAATTAAAAATGTAATATTTCAATGGTAACTCTTCCCCTCCTTTTAAAGATTAAAAATATGGACATGAAATATAGATATTTTTTTCATTTTTTGGTATATTTATTTCTTTTGATATTTGCATCACCCTGGAAGATACAAGACTAGTTTTAACTGATACCGGAATGGTGTCCTTCATTTAATTTTTAAATATTTTTTTAAAAGTAATCGTTCAACTACTTTTTTCTTTTAAGCCAACCACTTTCGTATATTCTTCAGTCAGTATTGCAGGTATTCTATGTATTTTTTTTTTTTTTTTTAATTAAGGATAATCAAATATGGAATCTTCAAATACGGCACTCTTTCACATTTTAATATTAACTGATAAACGAAATTTGTGGATATCAAATCCTGCAAATGTTGAAGGGTAACTGTATTTCCGATCATTAACATCCGAAACATAAATAAAGTGACTATTTCTAAACCTAAGTAATATAATAAGATTGGTACTGTAAACTTTTCAACATTTCTGCTGTTACTTTTGGTTACCTTAATCTCAAAAAAGGATTTAAAAAAAAAATCTCTTCAGACAGTATATATTTTTAGATGAATACATATTGTAAGAGAAACAATTATCTAACATCTTAGTAAATTACAAGGAACTTTTTATTAATATTTTAAAATTATAAGATAAAATATACAATGAATTTACAAAATAAAATACTGACACATATAAATGAAAACATTCTATTCTCTACATTATTAATCTGAAATTCTCTTATGTTTTGACAAATAGTCATCTCGTTGATATTAATTAGTACAGAATGGAGGATAATTTTGCTTGAACTTTTAGATATTAATTGCTTTTCAGTTTATAAAGCAGATATCCAACTACACAATAATTCTATCAAATACTCAATAATTCTTAATAATAAGAATATAAATTATTTTCTTCCTAGAAAATGTACTAAATATGGCCACAATAAAAACAAATGACTAATAAATATTTGAACAAAAAACTGACATATATAACAAATTAAATTCTATTTAAGTCTTTCAATTCACACATATAATGCAATAGTAAATAATTGCACATCCATAAAAAACAAAATAAAATCAGGAAAAATCTAACTTTTCATATTCACAAGGAATAGAATAAAACAAAATAAAGGTGGTAATAGTATTAAAATAAAATAATACAACATTTAATAAAAAAATTTTACATTATTTACAAATGTAACTCATTTCCTCTTTCCTTTCTTTCTTTTCTTTTCTTTGGTAGATTTAGGTGAAGGAATACTCTTTTGGTCTGAAGGTCTTCTATTCATCTGACTAGGCCCAGCATCTTGTGTCTGATTCACCGATAATGCAAGGTCATGTTCTTGACTCTGTTTTTTCTTTACACCAGAAGAGGAGTCTATTGATGAAGCGTATGACATTGAGGAACAAGAAGTGGAACATTCACTATCGAGTGAAGTTCTTGATTTTGAAGATCTCTTGTCTAAATTAGGTGAACTATGAAATGAAGGTATCCAAGATATTTCACTAGACGAGTTCTCAGGTTCAAAAGTTTTTCTAAAAGAAGAAGAAGGACCAGGAAGAGTTTGTTTGAAAACTTCTTCATTTAAAGTTCCTAGAGATGAGTTACATCTTCCAGAATTATTGACAATTTCATTAGAATTCCCTTCTACTTGTGATCTGTTAGCTGAATTTCGACTCCTCAACCTTGTATTCCTTCGAGATCGCCTACTTTTTTCAAAAGAAAGCTTTGTGGAGCGCTCTTGACCTGTTGGCAATTTACTATGACTGGAAGATAAATTATCAGCACTATTTGAATTAGAATGCCCCGCAGACTGAGCCTGTAATGATTTAATAGATGAAATAGATATGCCCATTTTTTCACTTAAAGCTTTTTCTGACAATCTTTCACAGCTTACACGAAGTTCTTTAATGTTGAATTCTCCACTAAGCTCATTAGGAGGTTCATCTTCTTTGCTTATATTTTTTAAATCCCACGAAACTTCTGCAGCCAACTCTGGATCCGAATGCAGGATATCATTTATCTAAAATAAAAATTTAAATTTAATTAGTAGTAATTTATTTAGTATATAGAGAATCTGCAAAAAATTTTATTTTACCTCTTCCCTGAAATCCTTCATAAGTTCTCGCAAACATATCATCAAATCTCGAACTAATGGCGATTTCCTATCAGCCAAGATACGCTTTAGTTTTGATATTGTAGGCACAATATATTCGACATAATTGGTTTTGACAATCTGCAATTAAATTTTATCTTTATAAAATGTTTTTAATAAATATAATTACTAACTGTTTATAATTTTACCTGAGAAAGAAACACTTTTTTAGCAAAACCCAAAATAACTTCATCACCATTGTGTTCTGGTACCATGGCATCTTCCAGTTCCTTATCAGAGGAATCTTCTTCTCCTTTTCTCATATTTTCAAGACGCATTTCGTCACAAGCCATTGCAAACAATGCATCCTTTAAAATAGCTGAACCAACTCGTTCCAGGGGAATATTGCCATCTATTACTTCATCTTGTAATAAAAGAAAATAATATTTGTTTAGTATTTTATTTAAAATTAGAAGACTGAGAGCTTTAAACAATGTATAGAAAATCATAAAAAAAAAATTATATGTAAAGTCTGGCATCAGGGGCTTCTTTTCAAACTTATTACGATACTCCCTTCAACCTACTATCTTATCTTTCAATCTTTTCTTTCTGATGAATTTTTCTTAGTTTGCCAAGGCACAGAACTTTCTACCATTAAACCAGCCTTAGCAGAAGTGCCTCAAGAGTCAGTACTCGCTATGCTGCTATGTATAATTTATGCAGTTTCGGAACTCTGACCATCACTTACGCAGACGATACAACAATCTTAACAAGACATCAAAACCCAGTACACGTCTCACAGACTCTGTAATATCACTTAATTAAATTTCATGACTGGTGTAAACTCTGAAAAATTCAAGTAAACCTTGACAAATCACAACATATTACTTTTACTCTTTGACGTGAAACATTACTTCGACAATGTTCAAATTCCTCAGACAGAGTAAGTTCAATATCTTGGACTGACATTTGATAGAAGAATGACATAGGGCCCACATATTACGAACAAAAAAAAAAACTATACCTAAGATTACGACTGCTATATTCTATATTCACTCTTTTTAAGATGTACAAAAGTAAAACTTAGTCAAAAATCGAATACATACACTTACTTACTTAAGCCTATTTTGACTTATGCCTCATAGAAATACAGTACAGCCAAAAAGACTCACATACGTAAACTGCAAACTTTTCAATCAAAAACTTTCAGGACTATAACCAAAGCTTCCTACTACGTTAGTAATATTACATTACATAAAGACTTACGGATGCCAATAGTTAATGGCCATATACGAACACACTACAAAAGATTTCACAACAACATACACGGACATACCAACTCACTGATTCAAGGCATGGCCATAACCAACATGCCAGGTAGCACCTGTAGGAGGCTCGAGAGAAGCTGGATGAGGGATCTCCTCCTCTAACAATAAACATTAAAGCAAGATATGAAGAGAAACCGTAGGGCACTACTCTCCCTCAGGCCCACCAATGTCTTACTCCATACTCTTCTTCTCGAGAGCACACTCGCTGATTGTTGGTACTCCCAACAGGTGTGAATTGAAAGATAAAGTTTAAAAAAAAATTATTAACAAAAAATAAATTTAAATACCTAGAATATCTGCGCAAATTCTGTTACTCAATTTAAACCTGTGGTCGTCTCGCATATTACTCAGCATGTACTTATAGATGTTTCCCCTGTTATCAAAGTTTGTCTTACCAGCCATAGAAAAAATTCTTCTTTCTTTAGCAGAGAGACCTTCCTTATTAAAACTTCCCACTCCCTGGAAAAGCAAATTATATTTATAAAGGGAACAAAAACAGGTGCAGTGTGTGCATCACACAACTTTCACTTACCACTCCATCTTGAGTAGGAATAGTTGTTTTCATACTTGGGAAAGTAAAAATAGGAATAAAATAAACGAAATAACATAGTCTATTAAAATAATTAATTGCCATAAAAAACATTCTGAGCTTTATCTAAAACATCTACTAACATATCAACAAAAAAATATCTGGTGTGTCCACTCACACGACTTTCCTACCTATTTAAAAAAAGTTTATATATCTTTACATATGGTCATGAAGAAACAAAAATAATTGAACTAGATACATTTTCCTGAAAATTGATCAAACATAAGATTTGAGTACGATTTATTTGATAAACTAAAGCAATGTAAACTAGCTTAAGGTAGATCAGTGTGAAAATTCCAATACCCTCTAATATTGATGATCAAAAACTTTTTGCCATAGCATGGTATTGTCAAACAATAATTTCTATTAAAAGTACAGAAAATAGTGAAGATTGTGTGATGCGGGCAACAGATTTTCTTACTTTCACTTAGTCATCTTTATTCTTTCATTCACCCCTTTCTGACACCAGGATATGACCCGTAATCTTACATTGGAAATTGAATAGCTGTAACTTCGTTAATAGTTATCCAAAATGAACGATTTTTATATGGCTTTGTAGGGAATTTCATTACCTTTCAAACTACAGGCTAAACGACGTTTTGTTCGGACTCAGGGGGCTGTGAAACGTATATATATATTATAAACGTATATATATTATATTATTACAATATACGTATATTATATATTATAATACGTATATTATAAACGTATATATATATATATTGGAAATTGAATAGCTGTAACTTCGTTAATAGTTGTCCAAAATGAACGATTTTTATATGGTTTTGTAGGTAATTTAATTACCCCAAAACCAAATTATCTCAGGGGGCTCTGAAACGGATAGATCCGTCGAAAGCCACATGTTGGAAATTTGACCCAATTGCAATACCTAGTATAGGTAGGAAACTAATAAGTTCAAAAAATGTGTAAAAAATAGAATAAGCTGTATCATCGCTAATATTGGTTCGATCCCGATGATTTTTTTTTTTTGTTTTGTTGGTAATTTAATTACCTTTCAAAAGTTATATTAAAAATTTTACCGTATAATATATACTTAGGGAGTTAGGCCCCATAACATTTTTCTTTTCTTTATAACTTTTTTTCCTGAATTTTTTCGGGAATTTAGTCGATATACGAAAATTGAAAGAACAATGATTAGAACATTATAGGAAAGTTTCATCAAAATTGTTAGAGCCGTTTTTGTGCTACAGTCTATAGAAAAACATGTTTTTCATTTATTGCGCGCAAGCTATTGCGCATGGAGCACCGAATTTCTGTCACAGGCATCAGTAGTCAAAACCCTACAAAATAAAAAAAGAAGCAACAAAATCAGTTCAGTAGTTCCCGAGAAAATCTTGGCACAGACAGACCAATGGCTGAAAATGTGTTTTTCGGACTCAGGGGGCTCTGAAACGGATAGATCAGTCGAAAGCCGAATGTCGGAAATTTGACCCGATTGCAATACTTTCCTTACCTAGTATAGGTAGGAAAGTAAAAAAGAGTTAATATTAGTAGAGCCTCAATATTTCGCATAAAATTATTTCTTTGGAAATTATATGTAAATAAAACTAATGTTAACAGTTAAACAATAAATATCAATTGAAAAAACATGCATAGACATGAGTAGTTTAAATGGAAGAAGATCTGGAAAAGTCATACATCCTTGACTGTTTCTGCTTTGAAAGTTTCTATTTTGGACTAAACCTAATTTCTCCTTTAGTTAATTATAAATTCATTCATATTTTTCAACAAATAAACAATAAATTGATCATTATTTAAAGGTAACACATTTTTATTTATTTCTTTTTCCAATAAAATCTTTCCAACTGTGGCTTATATCTCTTTTCTTCGAAAGCAAAGTAAATATTGGTTGGTAGATTAAGTGATTGGCCGCTATAACGGAGTATTGATAGATCAGCCATAAAATGAAATCTTTTTTTTTTTTAAATTCACTTATAACCATGTTCCTCGATGAACACACCATTATTTATGAGAATAAAAGTAAACAAATTACAATTAAAAATAATAAATTTTACCTCATAATCGTTGAAAAAGAAAATGGCCTGGATGAAGAAATATGACATAATGGATGGATTTCGTTTTAATAAAATATTCTCAATAAAAGATTCAGTCATTCCTCTAATTTTTGAGTCCGGATCCCCTAACGTGATCAGTAAGTAGAAAAAAAGTGCTCCTTTAGGTTTTAAGTAGTCCTCCTGAAAAATAAATACATATTGGTTATCCTCAAAGCAGAATAATAGATGACAGTGTGGCATTGTCCAAGTATAGAAATAAGGTTTTCAGAAAAATCATCTAGCATCTATTGTGTATAGGTCTCCTGATATAAAAATTGGAATGTTCGCTCGATTGTTTCCAATCATTTTTCATAAGAATTTGATAACTTATTTTGAATGTTGAATTATTTATTCCTCAGAATATACATAAATGAAAAAATAAATAAAAATGAAAGATGCTTACAACCTTAATATCTGTAGATAACAATAATACAATAATTGAAAGTTAAAACATGATTATGTATTCCTGGATTGCTTATTTATTCTCCTGTGGTATTGTAGTAGATAGCTCTCAGTATTTAATCCTTTATGTGACATTGTATGAGGGAATGAGAAGGAATATATAGGAATGTGAGGTTGTACTATGAATTGTACTCAATTGTGCAGTGGGCAAACTATTAATTGAAAAGCTTCATATCGATGAAGAAGGAATAAGTCTGAAAAAGGACCGAGCAGGTAGTGGCAGCTGAAGAAAGACGCCGGAGAGAAAAGAAGCCACTCTAGGCCGGGTCAAGAAGAAAGGAGGTTATCAGAAGAGAGAGGCACTGCACTGAAGATTAAGAATATCAAGCCTAAAGTTATAAGACTTTAATAGATTTATTTATTACAGCTGTAAAAATAAATTGTTTTGTTTGAGAGGAGTGAATAGTCCTTTTATTTAGTTTCCTATAGGCCTCACAATTGAAGAATAACAAACCAGGTGAGCCAATTCATTCAAAGCGTATTTACTCAGTCCCGCATTTTAGATATATATATTCTTATTATTTCTTGTCATTCAGGGTTACAAAAGTATTAGGTTCCCGAATTCCCAACGACAGTTAAACACCCTCAAAAAGTCTATATTCAGTGACGGGGTTATGTTTTAAGAAAATTAAATGACAAGTGTAAATAACCTAATCCCCCGACAAAACGGAAGGAATATTTACAATTGCCGCCAAAATGGGTTATTTACTAATGGACCCCGAAAATGTTATTTACAGTATGTATCAATTTATACAGTTCAACTTAACTTATGTTGATCGAACGAGTCAAAGAAGGCAGTTCACTAAAAGATTTCTTTTTTCTTTTTTTTTTTTTTAAATTAAGCACATATTTCCAATAACTTAGTATAAATTCATTGTAAGACTATGGGATTCTCATATAAAATTTGTTTGAAAATGGTTAAATTGGAAAGGCTATAACATCAAATAATGTTTTTATAATGTATTTTATGTCCAGTATAATCAATAACGGATTAATTATTATAATTACATTCCTTATTTCAATTGTTTTTCCAATTTTGTTTGTTTAAAGTTTAATTATTTTTCTTTCATTATATATGGCTGGAAACTAAATAATTGCGGATTTTACGAGTAGGTGGCTTTAATAATAATATTATCTTTGTATACCTAACAAAAAAAAAAAATAAAACCTGTACCACTACAACTCATAAATGGTCTGGGTTTCAGTACTATTTAGGGAAAGCACGGTTTCTAGGTCAACGGTTGTGCAAGGAGGTGATTTGACCGAGATCACGCTCAACTGCCAGGTTTTCCCCCTTAATCAATTATTTAATTAAGGGTACCCACTTTATAGAGGCTGGGTGTGCCCCAGGAGGTTCTCCCGACCCAGGGTCGCCTCACAGCCAATGAAACAGATAAATAAATGTTCTGCCATGAGCCGGGATTCGAACCCGGGACCTTTGTATTGGAATCTCAGTGCCCTACCACTGAGCTACCCCACTCCCCCCCCCCTTTGTATACCTAGTCCTGTCATAAATATTGTTACAAGGAAATATACACAGATTTCAACAGAATATTTTTTTTTTTTTTTTAAACTTTATTAGAAAATAAAATGTATATCTATAGAAAGTAAAACAAAAAAGGACTTACTCAAAATGTCCTCATTTTTGCCTTGACACAGGCGTTTAATCTCCATGGCCAGTCATCAATAGTAGCACCCAGCACTTCTTGAGGAAAGTGCTCAACTGCTCAGACCAGAGATTGTTTGAGGCTTTCCAAGTTAGGGTGTGCTCTGTGGCATGCCATCCTCTCCAGTTTAGACCAAATCTGATAATCTAGTGGGTTGAGATTAGGGCTTCCTGTGGGCCAATCCGAGGCAGAGATGAACTCTGGAATGTTCTTTTACAGCCAATGCTGAGTTGACCTGGCCTTGTGAGCTGGAGTGAAATCCTACTGCAAAACCCAATGACTTCCAGCAAACAGAGTATCATTTAGAGACTTGACAACAGGTTCCAAAGTATTATCCTGATAGTTTTTAGCGGCTGTTTTAACTCCTTTTTCACAAAAATGGAGCTTTGTGATGCCATCAAAGCAAACTTCCCACCAAACCATCACTGAAGAAGGGTGATGACCTCTTTCCACTCTTCCAATGACTTTCCGGGCTTCTTTAGAGCTATGTGCGTACACACGTTCATTTTGGTGATTAAATTTTTCTTCAATTGTAAACATTTTCTCATCGCTAAACAAAATCTTTCGAGGAAGACCCACAGGTAACGGCCAAGGAGCACTTTGCATTGAAAATCTCTGATCTAAATTTTCCAACTGTAAGGCAATCACAACTATTCGGTTTTCTTTATCACCCCACTCCGTGTTAACTGAGCGAAAGAAAAATACAAACTAATTGAGATTATTATCCTGACATGTGAAGAAAATAACCTGATATGAGATAAGGATTATCTAAATAATACCCAAGGATGTAAACAAAGTTCAACTTTTATAACAGTATTTATGGCAGAACTAGGTACTTAAAGAAACTTGATCCTCTTTGACTTTTAATTCCTCATTTATAATTCCATATAAATATCTTGATGATCAAATTTTTATTTTAGTATTCAAATTATGTTTTAAATGGAAGTTCAAAGTGCATATATTTGACATATTTTCCTTTTTTATTTTCGTAAAGAAAAAATGCTTCACAAGCACACAAAAAGTTAACAATATCACAGAAAGATTGAAAACCTTTTGCTTTGAGGGTTGTTGAATAAAGTTTTTACTGTTTATATATATCAGAGGAATTTGTAAAATACAAGTACTAATTGGAAAGCAAGATACTCCATATGTTGATAAACTGAGCAAGCAGTATTCAAATTCATTAATATAAGTCATATTCATAAAACAAGGTAGGATCTAAAGCAATTAGTACAAGATGGGATTTATGTAGGTTGTTAAGATCATTGAATGAAGGATTGAATGAAATCACTGGCAGAAGCATACCCTGGTTTTACTTGGAATGTAAGTTGGCAACGGATAAGAAGAATGCTTTAAATCATATGATCAGCCAGAGAAGGCAAATAAGAGTATTCGTTGAAGATAATAGAAATAAGAGAAAAACAAAAAAAATTATCAGAGAAAGAAGAGATCTTACGAAATGAAATAGATCGGAAGGACCCAAAATGAGATAAAAAAGTCTCCAGATAAACAGATCCTATCAATCGTTCAAATTCCTCTAAAGACACAGATGGCCTTCTGATTGCCAAGGGAGGAAAATTTTAAAAAATGCTAAGCTTATGAATCTCTATGATGATATAATGATTATGTATGACAATGATATAATAAACATTGGGCATCTCAGATGGACACAACTGAATGATAACGAAGTCCCCAAAATGTTTCTAGAGTAAAGAATTTTGAGGCACAAAAAAGTTGGAAGACCCTCGACACGCATTGAATGGATTGTGAGAGACACGATATAACCCAATCAAATCAGCACAAAAAATAGGTCTAGCTAGCAAAGCTTGGAAAAGGTCGGCTAATTCAAATTTCTTTTTCTTTTGTTAGGTATGCAGGGACTATAAAAAATCCAAGAATATACGATAGGGGTTCTGGTCCACCACATGTACATAATTTTCATACTTACATACTTACATGTGTTACATACTTTTCAAAACATCACTAGACTAGCACCTACCGTCCCAGCCAATGACTTATCATCTTCATGGAAAATCTCCAAATTCTGAGTAGAAGATTCGAAATGGATTTACAGATTTCTTACGTTTAAAACTGAAAGAGCACTATTGTGAAACAAACAAAATGGGTAAATTTTGAAAGCTCGATAGTTCGCTTCCTGTTGGGTTTAAAAAAAAAAATGTTATGTACAAAAATGTTAGATAGTTTTAAGCTCTATAAGATTGAATATAACAATTTTTTTATCTATGTAGCTTTAAAAAGCAGATATTTAGCATAAACCAAAAATAGGTCGAAATTTCAATTGTTTTTGGAGCACTGCAGCGAATCCACAAGGCTTTCAAGGGTGGAAAAGTCGATTTTTAAATTCAGTACATACTTAACAATATAAAATAAAGTGGACTGTATTATGAAACATTTACGCCTACTAATAACGAAAACATAAAAAATAAAATGAAATCAATTTTACATTGGTATCAATAGATAAAATAAATTAATAACTTCTAAAATGAAAATAATGATAAGCTGAATACAATCTTAATAATTATTATGAAATATCTAATAAAATATTTGGATGTTTGATTATGGAAAAATTAACAAATATATATTAAACCTAATTTAGGAATTATACAAAACTGAACAAAAACAAATTAATAAAATCTGGTATGTCCTCACACGACTTTCCTACCTATTTCAGAAAAGTTTTTATATCTTTACATATGTTCATGAAAAAACAAAACAGAATTGGAATAAATTTATTTTCCTGAAAATTGATCCAACAAAAGATTTGAGTACGATTTATTTGATAAAACTAAAGCAATGGAACTGGCTTAAGGTAGATCAGTGTAAAAATTTCAATACTCACTAATATTGCTGATCAAAAACTTTTTGCCATAGCTCAGTATTGTCAAACAATAATTTCTGTTAAAAGTAGATGAAATAGTGAAGATTGTGTGATGCGGGCAACAGATTTTCTTACTTTCACTTAGTCATCTTTATTCTCTCATTCGCCCGTTTCTGACACCACAAAATGAACTCTTTCATTGAAAATTAAATAGCTGTAACTTCGTTAATAATTGTCCAAAATAAACGATTTTTATATGGCTTTGTAGGAAATTTCATTATCTTTCAAACTACAGGCTAAACGACGTTTCGTTCGGACTCAGGGGGCTGTGAAACTTATATATATATTATAAACGTATATATATTATATTATTATAATATACGTATATTATATATTATAATACGTATATTATAAACGTATATATATATTGGAAATTGAATACCTGTAACTTCGTTAATAGTTGTCCAAAATGAACGATTTTTATATGGTTTTGTAGGTAATTTAATTATTTTTTCAAAAGTTTTATTATAAATTTTACCGTATAATATATACTTAGGGAGTTAGGCCCCTTAACATTTTTCTTTTCTTTATAACTTTTTTTCCTGAATTTTTTCAGGAATTTAGTCTATATATGAAAATTGTAAGGATAAATATTAGAACATCATAGAAAAGTTTCTTTAAAATCGTTAGAGCCGTTTTCTTGCTACAGTCTATAGAAAAACATGTTTTTCATTTATTGCGCACAAGCTATTGCGCATGGAGCAATGAATTTCTGTCACAGGCATCAGTAGTCAAAACCCTACAAAATAAAAAAAGAAGCAACAAAATCGGTTCAGTAGTTCCCGAGAAAATCTTAGCACAGACAGACCAATGGCTAAAAATGAGTTTTTCGGACTCAGGGGCTGTGAAACGTATGGATCTGTTGAAAACCGCATGTCTGAAATTTGACCCGATTGCGATACTTTCCTTACCTAATATAGGTAGGAAAGTAAAAAGTTGAACAAGTTTACGTGGTTGCAAGCAGGTGACGGTTGTAGATATGGACGAACCGCTGGTACTCCAACCCTTCCTCAGCAACTGAACGTAGGTTCAATATGAGTGCTCATATAGTGGGGAGGCAGCGGCGAGCACGACGAGAAAAGTATGTCTCTTCACAGTAGAACTGCAGTGGGCAGTGTTGAAGTAGGCAGTACTCAGCTCAGTGAAGGGAGGAGTCAGACTGTCTCTTGTCAATTCTACCGCCTTAGGACTTGAACCTAGCACTTGTTTATAGCTAGGGCTACAATTGATACCAATTTAAGTATAAACAAATGAAGTGTTGAATTTACACAAAATAAGCTATGGGTCTAAGAATATATACATATAATTATTAATTGGTTTCATTTTATGAGACAAATCAAAATAGCAATTAACCAAATATGTTTAAAATAAAAATAAAATAAATTAACGCTGTGGCGTTAACATAAAGATTACAAAAAATGTACACGGATGAAAATGTTAAAAGCTACAGTTAGAAGTATTAATGTTACCTGCAACAGTTGTATCAAAAGTTTTAAGCAGTTGACTCTCACGTTAATATCCTCATCTCTCAACATTACACAAATATCACCCAAATAATCTTCGACAACTGATGTAAATCTGAAATACAAATAAAAACATAGAATAATCCATGAGGAGACTTACTTCAAGCAGCAGTGCCTATGGAAATCATATGGATTCATCTGTTGATAATCTGTTATAATTTTTTTTGATGTGGCACACTGTTTTGGAATTCTGTTCAGTCTATAAAGTATACTTTCTTAAAGTATGGGTAATAATATTATGAGAAGGCTGTATTGTGATCAGAGGTCTTAGAAAATAATAATAACATCGAGAGCACTCAGTCCTTTTCACAACGGTCCAAAAAAAAAAATTATATCCTTCTTCAGATTAGTTATTACATAATTGAAATTATGGAAGTAAATAAGGGAAGTAAAAGTTGTCCATTCAACCAATTCTGAATATTTTCATCTGCAACATTTCTTCCATTAAAAACAAGGCTTAATGTCATTTTAGGGTTCAATAACATCTCAAGGAAGGCCATAAGACTTAAAAAGCCTCCTAAGCTTGGAGGAAGATTTCTGGAGAATGATAAACCCAAACAAATGATGAAGCAAAATATTTTTTTTTTATTACTAATATTTTATCTGTTGTGGTACAAATATGTTTAAAATCTCCTTCATAACAGTTATTGAACAGCCGCAGGCAAAGCTTTAAGATATAATTTTTCAGTTTGCTTGTGGAATATGAATCAGGACTACAAGGATGACATCTGCAATCGAGCTTCTATATTGATAAGATATCGAAGTCCTGTATGAAGTCAGGATAACATTATATTAAATAGATTCAAGTTTTTAATAAACTACTGGTACTGGTAAGGAAAACATAGTGGGCCTTGGGGTCCTTTTTCCCAGCCCCTGACGGCTATCTTGAGGTTATCACCACTTACTCAGCGAAATGGGTGCCAGGGCCACTGAGAAATAAATATTAATTGACCCAGGTGGGAATCGAACCCACGATATTCAGAATTCTTAGACCCACTCCCCAACATTCTCAGCCATTACATCCTCTTCATTTTAATATAGATTTATTTCATGAGAAGGAGTTAGTCGGGGGTGCGGTCAGATAAATACTAAATTAAAATATAGTAATTATTTTATTTTAAAGATTAGATTAGATTTATTTCCTTTTTCTGCCATTTAGATTCTCTAGTTAAACATTGTTTCCTAGTAAGAAATTTAATGAATAATACAGATTTTATTTTATCCCAGTAGAAAAATTAACTATTTCTGCCATAAATACTGTTACAAAATTTGAACTTTGTTTACATCCTTGGGTATTATTTAGATAATCCTTACCTCTATCAGGCTATTTTCTATCCTATCACATGTCAGGATAATAATCCCAATTAGTTAGTATTTTTCTTTCGCTCAGTAAACATGAATTGTGGTGATGGTAGGTCAAAGATTTTCAACATTTTGAAAACTTTGGGTATGAGCCGTATGTTTGAAGAAATCCAATTCGAAAACAAAAAATCATGTCTCGGGAAATTAGAATCTCTGTCAGATCGATGTATCACATAATAAAAAGTGACCTTAAGATGGGTGCATTTCAAAGAATGACAGGACAAAGGCTAACCACTTCCATAAAATAAATTAGAGTGGATAGATGCAGAGTGTTCCTTGGCTGTTAGACCAATGCTCTTCATCGAAACATTTTGTTTAGCGATGAGAAAATTTTTACAATTCAAGTAAATTTAATCGCCAAAATTGTAGTGTGTTTTGCAGTAGGATTCTGCTCCAGCTCACAAGGTCAGGTCAACTCAGCATTGGCTGTAAAAGAACATTTCAGAGTTCATCTCTGCCTCGGATTGGCCCTCAGGAAGTCCTGATCTCAACTCATTAGATTATCGAATTTAGTCTAAACTGGAGATGATGGCATGCCAAGGAGCAAACCCTAACTTGGAAAGCCTCAAACAATCTCTGGTCTGAGCAGTTGAGTGCTTCCTTCAAGAAGTGCTGGGTGCTGCTATGACTGGCCACAGAGATTAAATTCCTGTGTCAAGGCAAAAGAGGGGCATTTTGAATAATTTCTTTTTTGCTTTACTCTCTGTGGATATATATTTTATTTTCTAAAAAAGTTTAAAAAAAAAAAAAAATAATTTTTCTGTTGAAATCTGTGCATATTTCCTTGTAACAATATTTTTGACAGGACTAGGTATACAGGATACACCTTAAGTAGAAGGAAATTTTTATAGGAGTGATATCAGATTTCAAGAGCTACAAAAAAGTTCATATAAGCAATGGGTCAAATTTTAGCAGAAAAGTAGGAAATCCACTTTTAGGAATACTCTTTGTTTAATAAGCTTTAAGTCTCTATTAATTAAGTTGAGATTTATTAACGAAAAATTTAGATTCATCTCGAGTAGCATAAAAAAAATGATGTGATATTTTATCCAATCAAATAAAAGTAACCTTGTTTTCAGCAAAAATGGCTAAAATTGATTCTTGTAAAGCTTTTTTTCTTTGATCTGGCGTGTTAGATGATAAACATAATTATATAAATACACTTTTTATAAACTTATACGCTTTCATAGTCTAGAAGGCGGGACCAGAGCACTGTTCTCTTCATCATAACATAACAGAAAAAATATTTTCAAATATATATATTAGAAAGTCTAAATTATACTGGGCAGCAAGATGTCGGATGGCCAAATTACCAACGACTGGCATAAGAGAAAAAAAAAATTGAAAATAATGATTTTTCAAATATTTTTGCAGTAAAGTGTCTATGAAACTGTGTTTTTCATCCATATCTGTATTATAGAAATTAATCTGTATTAATAAGGGACACAATAAATGTTCCTGATCCTAATATTAAGGTATTCATAAAAATAATTGAAGCAATCCGCAGATTTCTTTATTTTTAATGTACATTTTAGGACTAGAAACATTTATTTTGTCTTTTATAAATATATAATATACATCTGAGTAAAAAACACAGTTTCATAAAAACTTAACATGAAAAATTATTATCTTCTCTTTAAAAATAAAAAGTATATTTAGGCAATTATATTATAATATATCCCAGATCATGAGAAAACAAGAAATAGAAGCTTTGCGAAAAATAACTGTAGTCATTTTTTCTGAAATATATATATATATTAGGGAAAAATGTTTCCATTTTCTCCTAAATAAAAAAGATTTTCAGATTCGATAATAAAAATTTCTTTTTGCTGTTCAGGAGAACATTCGATCCCTAGATCACTTGTATCCTGTGATACATTGTGTATGAGTGGTTTTCATGGACCAGTTTTCACTACATAGTATATAGACATAGTTGGGTACAGCTCTGCTCAGTATTCAATTTGTATCAATGTTAGGTTATATATAACATTATATATAAAGATAAATTGCTTTGTACGATTCATCTTCGGGATTCCAAGGGACGCCCCTGTTTCCTGTTTCTATGAAGAGTTGAAATGGCTTTATCCTTCCTACCGCCGTAACTATTTCCTGGCATCCTTCCTCTTTGAAGTCATTCACTCCTGCCATCTTTCATACACTTCCGATCTCCTTCAATTTAAATCCTCTGTCCATTCCCAGTCTTCAGATTTATATATAATGCACCAACGAACCGCTGGTTTCGATAAAACTTTTATTATTTAATCCTCATCCCAATGAAACTAAATCCCTCCCGACATCTGTCGTTCCAATACTCTCCCTACTTTTAAATCTCGCCTATTCAATCACTTCTTTCACTTGTAAATAGAAACTTCTGCAAATATGTATACATATTATTACTTTATTTCCAATTATTTTCATTTCATTGTTCTTTCATTTATTACTTTTTCTTCTTGATCAATTTAATCTAGATGATAACTTTTTTTTCTCTCTCTATTATATCTATTAGTTAACTTTGTAAATACATTTATATATATCTGAGGCTCAAAATCCCACATTTCTCTCCTTGTTAATTATTCTAAAGGGATTCGTCCCAAAATAAATAAAAGATTATTATTATATATTGTTTATCTTGATAGGGCTATGAATTAGCTACTTCACTTATATTGTGAAGTAAAGATTCTAATTCATTGATAGCAATAATTAATAAATTATTAAATTTAGTTGTCCTGATTGTTTTAATCAAAACTGCCTGAAAGAACAAAACATTACAATATTACCATTATAGTTTATAAACTTAATTGTGAGTTTCTTTTCGACTCCAAAGAATAACCCCTCGGTTTGATCATAGGAGAAGTGGATGGCGATTTTGCCATACTAGAATTAAAGGAAGTGCTTGATAAGAAGACATGAGCAGTTCAATTATGAGCTTTTTGTTCTTCCGCAAAGCCACAGATAGCAAAGGCACCTAAAGGTCGCATTGGAAAACATAAGAAATAACGAGTATAACAGAGAGATTTCATCATATCTTTGGCACATAACATTTTCAGGAAGAAACAATATGAAACCCTACTTAAAATCTCCTAATTTTCTAAACGGCTTTCTTCATTGCATAATGCCCAAGTTAAAAGTAAGTAACTAATTAGATAATTATCTTTTACAAATAGTACAACGTTTCACACAACATAAACATTGACATAAAAGATTATTAAAAAATACCTGATACAAAGATCTGTGAGGGCAATCATCGAATTTATTTTAACATTGGGTTTTGAATTGACACTCAATGCACTTGCTAAAACAGGTGCATATGTCTTGGCAATGAAATGGTCCTGTAGGCAGATCTTACCTAGCGTAACTATCGCTATTGCTTTTACGACGCTACTAACTGTTCCTTTCCACTTAGAAGTCATACCTTAAAAATAAATAAATATATTTCAGGGATTTATTTCATTAGAGCTACCTAATTTATTTTTTTTTATTATTATTTCTTAAGGAAGGAGATGGTCTGGGGTGGCAGTCATAAATAGACTAAATAGTGGCAAAACTATTTTATTAAAAAAGCCAAGATTTCGACCCGACTTTGCAGGTCTTCTTCAGGGAGATGTGTTCAGCAAGGAGTTCCACTTGCTCACTGACCCCAGTTCTAAGTGAAACTCCTAGCTGAACACATCTCTCTGAAGAAGACCTGCATAGTCTGGTTGAAATGCTGGTTTTTAATAAAATATTTTTGCCACTATTTAGTATATTTATAACCGCCACCCCAGACCATCTTCTTCCTTAATAATACAATGATCAACTATTAAGTATTCAATATTATTATTTATGATATTTATTACTGTATTAGATATAAAAATACATTCAGTAAATGTGAACACAAGAATATAATAACATGAAACCACTTGTTGAGAAACTACCCACTGGTAGCACTCTAAAAAATTATTTGCAACAGGAGATCTCGAGGCCATCTTATTTTCAGACGCCTCGGAGGATTATCAGAGATTAAGGAGAAAGCAAGATTATAAACGAGAGGGTTTGGATGGTTCTAAATGGAAGGATAGGTATCTGGATTGGGCTAGGTCAGAAACATAAGGAACATTAAGGTCGTTATGGATGATTTTATTTATGATTAAGTAAGCAGCATTGAGGATTTTGGATTTTAAGGATTGGATACGAGAGGAATTTGATGACTTAGTGGAGCCACAAAGCTCAAACAGGAAGTTTAGAGCATTTGTCTAGTAAATGCTGGAGAAGTCGGAAATATCGAGTGGTTTCTTGTTGTTTCAGTCTGGTATGAGGATTCCAACTGAGAGGTTTCTCCAGATGGAGTTCAAGGTATCGGATTTGTTCAACAGGGATAAGTGGGGGTGTTATTAAAGGATACTGTAGGACGGAAGGTCATAGGTACCTAATTTAAACATGAAGAGTTCTAAATAACAATTTGGCCTGTGCTAAGTGAGAAAGGGAACATAGATGGGGAACTCTTTATCATTATAGGCTGCAGTAAGGTAAAGGTAATGGAGGCCGCAACAAATTTTATATTTTACTATTGCTATTTTTATTTATCACTAAATACACACACTCATCTTCAACTTAATACTATAAATTTTCAAATTTACATAACCTAAATAATTTAATATTAATTAATTCTAGTACTAGATTAATAAATATCTCGTAAATAAAAATGTTAGGAGGTCGCAACTAGCTCAAGGAGGCCATATGTGGCCTTGCGGCTGCAGATTCCCTACATATGGAATATACAAATCAAGTTCTTATTTATGGTCTCTTCAAGGAATATATAAGCCCTTATACTTTCAAAAAAATTTATTTTACTTCTGATGACGTTTCGAACTGATTAGCTCATTATAAAGTAATCTGCAAAGAACAATTAAACAAGGATAATTTACAACACTGGTCGCTCATTATCTAGTCAATAACAATTGACAACTTACCAAAAACATTTTTTTATCTACTATAATATATTTCAATATATAATTTCATGAACAATTATTTTTAGTACACCAAATGTCAGAATTTTTATATTTCTCGTCACCATGTTCCTTATGCACGTCCCAACAATAAAAATTTATGTATGCGATTATTTCAGAAGTTATACTATTTCTATTATCGATTACTATTGTTTTATTTAAACTGTATGCTCACCCCGTATGGTACTACCTTCTCTGTCCAGTTTTTAATATTGACTGTACATAAGAACTCTTTAGAGATGTATGTCCCGGAAGGAATTAACTAATGATTGAATGGGATATAGTTCTGTTTATTATTTTCCAATGCCCTATCTAATTAAATTTATCTCATTTAATATATGGACATAATGTTGGCCTATATTTTTAACATCATATTTAAAATTGATCGAGTTATTTATAATTTTATTAAGATAAATTGATTCTAAGGTTTTTCTAATTTGTGCCGTGTTTAAAATTGTTATATTGTTGAAATCAAATGTATGTTTGTTTAATATGCTGCGATTGGATAAAGCTGTGGTTTTTACGTTGGTTTTGTGTTCTTTTATCGTTTCTTAAATTTTGCGATGCTTCACCAATATAATTTTGGTGAATGTTACATATCACGTCTTTTTTATCTATTACATTGATTATGGATATCTAATATGAAAGAGAGAATCAATGCAATAGATAAAAAAGACGTGATATATAAAATTCCTTTTATACAATGTCCTAAACATTATATTGGTGAAACATCATGAACAACAACACGAAACATAGTTGTAAATTATCTTTGTTTAATTGTTCTTTGTAGATGACTTGATAATGAGCTAATCAGTTCGAAACGTCGTCGGAAGTAAAATAAAATTTTTTGAAAGTATAAGGGGTTATATATTCCTTGAAGCACCATATATATAAGAACATTGAGTGCCCTTGAAAAGTATACTGTAGTAGCTAAATATACGCATAAAAATCTAGAATATAAAAATGGAACAGATATTACAAAATACTATTGAAACTTGAAAAAATATTTGGTAACAAAGCCAAGACTATCGTATATGAAACTATGGCATAATAGTAAAAAATAGAAACAAAGCTTATGTTGACACTTTTAAGAGGAACAGGGTTAACATCACAGAGGGATAAATATTGAGGCCAATTTAGGAAACATTCTTTTCAATAAAATGTATTAAGAATAAGATGGAAAAATAATACATTCAGTTAGAAAAATGGAAATATATTTCTCTCTAAAATAAATAAAAATTTATATAACTGCATTTCTCCGAGGACCATTTATTTATATTTTTTTTCCTTGGACCACAACTTAATTCAAATTCATTTCCAAAGACCCGATACATTCCTTATTTAAATTTTAACAATCACAACTTTTATTCAAGGGGATGTTCATATTTTTGTCATTAGCAGAGATGATAATCTATGAAATGATAGCCCAACCATTATTATGATAAACTATAAACATTCCCATTACTCCTCCAATAATAATATTAAACTTGTAAGAAACCTTAAAAGAAGTTATGGCAAACCAACAAGAAAACACTTTTAAGAAATAATATATATTTTTCCTCTTTTTATTTTTCACTGGAATTTTATCTTTTCATGAAAATTATTTCTTTTATGCTGCTTCTATTGTAGACTTATTGCAAAATATTATTAAGTAACATTTCAAAAAATATAACCACTAACTACTTTGATGAATTTTCATCATGTGAAATGAGGACAATGCAACAATTTTTATTTACTTGTTTAACCTTCTGTAACTATTTTTGAGGAATAATAGGGTTTGCTACATTTTCAAGCATACTTGCATTTTCACATCATTAAATAATATCAAAATTCACAAAAGCATCCTTAAAAATTTAGCTGTTTTAAAAGTTGAGATAAGGAGTTTTTGCAAAAAAATGATACATTTTTTTTTTTTTTACAATAATATAATGTTTCTTTTTGCTATATATATTTTCTGTTTTATTTGTATAATAATTGGCCCACGCAATGATACATTGGTTAGTCACTGAATAATTAAAGTTAAAAAAAGTTTCACATAACATTAAAAATGTTTTAAGGCAAATTTTAAAATAAAATAAAATAATTTTGAATTGTTTGATTATTTTTCATCAATAGTGGTAAAGGTAACTTCAAATATAAATATAAATCTTCATATCTTCAGGTAATCTTGAAGTATTAAGGGAGATATGACAGACCATAAAAAAAAATTCTTTAAAATAATATAAAATGATATTTGTAATTCTTAACATATAATGTAAGTCCTAGAAAAGTTTTTCTTCAATCTCTTTATTGTTAATCCCTTTTGTATTTAACCAATATAAAACAGAATTCATTAATCCTTTATAGCAAGTAGTAATTATTTTTTTAATTATTAAATTTAATAAAATAATGAATCATGTATAAACATTTATAGTTGTATTTTCTTACTTGATCCTACTGGGTCTGACTTTTAATTTGGAATGAATAATGATTTATGATAGGGAAAGGAATGTCGTTTCTATGCATGTCTCTATTTGATTGTCATTTGTCAGCTCATTGTATGTACTCATTGTGGCAAACATATCCTTAGGTTAAAATGACTTGTTTAGTTGTAAATAATTAAATTTAATCTTTTTTGTTACAATTTTGGGTGAAATGGCTAGCCAAATATCAGAAGAGGTACATACTCGGCATTTCATGCCTTTTGTGTTTCACAAGAGTAGTAATGCAACAGTTGTTTTGTTTAATCTTGTGCTACATAAAGCACTACAAAATATTATGTCTGTTGGAAGTCTAGTATCTCGCTTACGTCAAATACTTGGGTACGCAGATGACAGTGTGGTTCTGGCAAGAAGTAAGAAGGCATTGAAGGAAATTCAGACAAAGGTTGTGCAAGAAAGTAAAGTCGTGGGTCTTGAGATAAACCAATCTAAAACCAAATGGTAGCATCAAGGTCTGAGGCAAGAAGAAAGCAAGATTTTAGATATGATGGCTATATTTTCGGGGCTGTTAATCGCTTGGCACTTAGGCGCTGAAATAAACAGTGTGTTTAGGGTGAGTGACGAGATTATGAGAAGAATAATCTGTAGCAACAAAGCTTATTACGGTCTCTTTAGGTTGATTAAATCTGCCCTATTATCAAAGCGCACAAAGCTCAAATTATTTAAGACCATTATCAGGCCTGTTGTGTGCTATGGTGCGGAGACGTAGATGCTTCTTTAAGCATAATCTAGCCGACCAGCAAGCCCTTAGAATATTCGAAAGGATAATTATGAAACGTATTGTATTTTCGGTCCAATAAATCAACAAGGCACATGGCGTATTTGGTGTAAACAAGAATTGGATGACCTGAAATAGCATGACGATATTCTGAGGTTCATTAAATCTAGAAGAATTAGTTGGCTGGGTCACACCTAGCGAATGCCAGATGAAAGAATGACCAAAAAAGTTCTGCGCGAAATATTCCCAGGAAAAAGAAAGAGTGGACCCCCAAGTAAATGCTGGATTAAGGACGTAGAAGAGGACCTTACTAGAATTGGAGTGACCAACTGGAAGAGACGGGCCATAGACAGAGAAGGATGGTGAAACATTAATGGAGAGGTCAAAGTTCACCTTGGACTGTAGTAGAAGAAAAAGAAAAAGAAAAGTAATGCAACAGTTGCTACCAAAAGCATTTGTGATGTTTATCCAAATGCATTAGATGTTTCTTATTACCAAAGGTCGTTTTCCAAGTTCAAATCTGATAATTTTGATCTTCCCCACACATATCGATCAGGAAGACCAAAAACATTAGAATGACGAGTTAAGGGCTGAAGTGGAAGCAAATCCAAGTCAGACAATCGAGAAATTATCAAACAGTCTTAATCGACCATGGCCAACCATCAAGGAATATTTGCAGCTGACTGGGAAACCTTATTGCTTCAATGGCACAATATAGAAGCGTTTTTTGATCTCTTGATCACCGGAGATGAAAAATGGGTCCTCTATGATTAGTCAAAATGTAAAAGGCAGTTGCTCTCTCCAAATGAATCACCACAAAATACTTCTAAGCCAAGTTTACACCCCAAAAAGGCCCTTTTGTGTGTTTCGTGAAGTATTCAATGCATTGTTCATTTTGAAGTGCTGAAGCATGGACAAGCTGTGAATGCAGACTTTTACTGTAAAAAATTGGATCGTGTAAATTAATCTTTAATTGAAAAGTGGCCAGCAATTGTCAACAGAAAAGGCCTTATTTTGCAACAGAATAATGCAAAACAGGAATGCGCAAGACGAACCCTAGGAAAAATTAATGAATTGGGGCGGAAGATACTGTCTCACCCACCATACTCGTGCGATGTTGCACCATCGGATTCCCATTTATTCTGATCGCTTAAACACTTTCTAAGTGGCAAAATATTTGAAAATTTGGATGACATCCAAAATACCATCTCTACATATTTTGCTCAAAAACCAATTGATTTTTATCGATCTGGTGTTGAAAATGAACACACTAGATGGCAAAAGGTTGTAAATGATTAGGGTTATTACATCATTGATTAAAAATAAAAACTTGCTACGAATTTATGAGTTTTTATTTAATGTAAGAAAACGACATTACTTTCCGGTCCCCCTAATGTTTATAAAGATGTTGGTATCATGTTATTAAAAATATATATATCATAATCACCTCTAGTTATCGATGTAGGATCTATTATATCAACAAGATAGTTAATTATGTCATTATGAACTCCAGGATGAAACTGAGAGGCATCACCTAAAGTATGGATATGGCGACAAAGCAGTTGTTCATTAACTTCTGAAGAACAGCCAGGTGCAACATTCTTTCTCAAATATTCTTCACATAACTGTAATAATGATAAATTACAGCAACAATAATACTTCTTAGCATTTAAAAAAAATATATTTGTAAATAAATATATGTTTCAAAACATAAGCATTACAAAACTATTTCCATAACCTACAGTTCAGGCAAAGATTAAATTTACATTCAGAAACAAAAGAGTATAAATAAAAAATGGACAGGTTCTTAAAAAGTTAGGGTTATTTTCTGGGACATTTTCAATCTTCTATACTTTTTTAAACACCAGTATTTACTTTGACATACCCACATATAAAATGGGAAAATATTGTGATCATGAAAAACAAAATAAATTGTATAAAAATATCTCAATATGAATATATAATATCTCATTAACAAATACTGATTATGGTTAATAACAAGAATAAATAAAGCAATACTAACAATTATTTTTTTTATATCTGTGCCCCGGAGGTAATGGACAGCATTTCCATTTTTTCATTAAATAATTTAGCAACAAAGAATAGATCTTAATAGCTCAAAGTTATGGAAAATTGACTTCCTGAACAAATAGAAAAAGTTGATATTGTGTCCTTTATCTCCAGAGTACAGATTTAGTAACAATGAAATAAATTTTAATAGCTCTAAATTATGGAACATTGGCTCCCCTAACAAATACAAAAATGGACATGGTGTAGTTTACCTCTGGGGTACAGATATATTCCATCATTAACAATATATGGTAACAGATAATAATTATTAAAATAGCAGTTTTATATGTATACATTGAATAATGCAGATATTTTCATTGCTTGTTATATTTATTAGGTTTTAAAAAAAACCTATTCTGGTGAGATGATATTTTTTTTCTAAATATATTGCCTACAATATTATAATGAAGTTATGAATTTTATTGGGAGACGATGGCGACAAAGTTGTCTGGCAAAAATTCCAGGACCGGCCCTGGTGTTAAGATCTTATTTCCGTGACCACCTCAAAATAAATACTGATTGACCCAGGTGAGGATCGAATGTATACTCAGTGAAACCTCTCCAAATGGATAATAATAATAATAATAAAAGGCTTAATTTGGTACCCTTGGCAACAGATATCCCTCCAATATATTGGGTCCCTTTTGAAACAGATTATAACTCGATATTCCTATTGTTTTCGTGAAAATAATTAAAGCAATCGTCAGGTTTCTTTATCTTAAACGTAAATATTAGGATTAGAGACAATTATTTAGGTACTTAAGAATACGGACCAATATCTATAATAGAGATCTTGGTTAAAAACCATAGTTTAATTATTACTTAAGATGATAAATATTCGAAAAACCACTATTTTCAACACGTTTTTATTTTATTTAATAAAAAGTGTACCTGTGCATTTATTATAATACATTCCAGATCATGGAAAAAAAATTCAGCTTTTAATTAATTTATTCTAATTATTTTTGCTGAAAATATGGTTACTTTTAGGAGACAGGATATAAAATCGCTTAGTTTTTTTACACAAGTTGAGGTGAATCTCAAATGCTTTTCTAATAAACCTCAAATTAATTAATACATAGTTAAAGCTTATTAAACAAAGACATTTTTTGAAAAGTGGGGTATTAGTAGTACAGTTGGAAGATGCTAAAAAAAATTATCTCAAAAATGATAAACTCTACTTTCATTTGAAGTAAATTGTATCTAGTTTACTATGAAGCACTTTTAAATTGCTCAAATTGAATATTTTTGTAGTTATCGCTTCCTCTTGACAAAATACGTGACTCATTTAATAAATCACAAATCTATAATTTCCTACTTATAAGAATTGGGCAATTATTTATATAAAATTTTTTGTAGATCTTGATTTCAACTATCAACCTTTTAAATATTTCCATCTACTTACAGGGCACCCTGTATAAAAACATTTTTGATATATTTTTAATTATTTTTAAATTTAATAATTTTGAATTTTTGTTAGTTTAAATAAAAAATATTGCTAAAATTAATTAAATATACTAGTTACTCTATCCGGCAGTATATGATTATGTTTAAGGACTCGGGAAGTATCTCGAAATTGACTGAACGATATTCCATTTTATGAATGTTTTATTATTAACTATATAATATCAACAAAAATAAAAAATCTTAGTCATTGCTAGTTATCCCTGTGTAACTATCCTGCATCCAAATCTTAATTTAGCACTAGACATCAAGGTGTTGAGGAAAAAAGACCTGCGCCTACTGAATTTAACGTGTTGATACAAAGATGATGCTAACTGGATAGCAATAAATGGGCAAGTGGGGTGTTTAACCTCTCCCCCTCTTAGGCCAACTTAGAAAGCTGCTTATAGCATAGGAATATATTAAACTTTAAATTCAAAATCCCAATATCAAGAGATGTGATAAACCTGTCAACAATTATTTTCACAACAATAATTTACATAGCACATCAAACATATTATTCTTTATTGCTATTCTACTTATTATTTCCAGTTTGATGAGATATTTATTCAGAGTTGTAAAATATAAATGTACTTTTGAATAATTTTTTTTTTTTTTTTTTTCACCTCTCGGCAGTTTCCATAAAATTTATAGCCATTAAAACTTATTCTAAAATTAAAATATACCAAAAAAAGAAAACAACACATAAAAGGCTAGAATTTAATTCACAAAGTGAATGTCTAACATGAAAAAGTATTGTGAATTCTAAACATTAGAAACAAACAAAAAAATGTTTGTTATTTTTTTTAAATGTCTACTCTGTCTTTTTTGTAATTTGTTATGTAAATATTTATGCTGTTTATAAATTTAATTCAATAAATCTATTTTCTCTTTTTTTTTCATAATTAGGGTAATAGATATATATTAAAATTAAAAAAAGCATAGCGAACCCCGAAGGTTCGGTGCCGACACCACCAATCGCTTATTACACACCTCCCTCCACTGTTCGCCTCCCAAACCCAGTCCCTTCAGATTGGCTTTAACGCAATCTTCCCACCTTCGCTTCGGTCAACCTCTCGGACGTTTACCATTCGGTACAGCAGATATTAACCTTTTAGGAATTCTTTTGTTAGTAAGCCCAACACTTTTACAAACCCATTTGATTCGCCGTGATGTAATCATCTCAATTATAGTAACCGGATGCAGGTCATGCAATTCGGCGTTGTGTAACCGTCTGAGGTCTCCGGTTAACTCATCTTTCTTTGGTCCGAATATTCTACGCAATACTTTATTTTCAAAAACCTTAAGACATTGCTCATCCTTTAATGTAAGCCGCCACGTTTCGCATCCATAAAGAATTGTAGGTAAGATAATGGTTTTATAGATTCTAGTTTTTATGTTTCGGGACAAGAGGCACAATAGATATATATTAAATTCTTAAAATAACATGTATATAAATAGAACACAAAAATAATAAACTTGTTTTGATAGATGAATGTACCTACGTAATAATTTTCTTTTTTAAACAAATCTTCCTTTAACTTTACATTCCTCAGCAACAGACAAATCTATCAGATTTGTAGCTGTCCATTGTGAAGAAATTTTATTGTAACACCGTAATTGACAAATTACAATCATCCAAAATGACAAAAAAACGTTTTAAAAATTTATATTTTGATCATTTTTTTTTTTTTAATTAGTGAGCACTAGACTAGCTAGTGAGTGATCTAATATCGAGAAGGAAAGATTAACAATTAACTATTGTTAATAAAATTTAGGTATAAGTAAAATAAACCAAATAACCTTTTTTCATAAAGGAAGAAGATGGTCCAGGATGGCAGTCATAAATAGGCTAAATAGTGGTAAAACTATTTTTATTATTAGTTTCACCGCTATTTAGCCTATTTATGACCGCCACCGCAGACCATCTCCTTCCTTTATAATGCAACGGTCAACTATTAAATATTCAATCTTTTTTTATCTATGCAGAATCTCATTTGAGACCGATGATATACAAATTCAATATGATTTTATTGTAATAATATTCTAATTAAACAAATGACCTTTCTCCAATGAAAAATAAAACAATTTTTTAAGGTCAGTCCACTACAAAGGCATTTTAGTGAATATAGATACTGGGATTATATTATCTATTATATTAAATGTACAAAAAAAAAAAATGCATGTTATATTGGTAAATAGTTTTATTGCCAATCCTACAAAAATATATAATAATGATGAATTAAACAGTATAAGTGAAAAAAGGATACAAGAGGAGAAACTTAGACAAACTCTATCAATAACTGATAACTTAAGAACTATACAGCATGAATTTCTTTCACAATAAAAAGATTAACCTTTGGTTTTAAATTAATAAAATATATATATGGTCTAATAAGTGTTATAATTATCTAGACTCAGTTATATAATGTTCTTACTTATCGTATCCAATTTTCGGATTATTCTTCCTTTCCTTCTCTTTAAAATACTTCTTTCTTCAAAGTCGAAATTTCAACTGAATTCGAATCTCTTATTACAAACATAAACCCCAAAATGCTTATTAAAATTTAATTAATTTTCTAATTTATATTTTATTAATTATTAAAAATTATATTCCATTCAATTTTTATAAGGACATCGTCTTTGTCATACTGTTGATAACATCATCGTCAAAAAATGTTTGATTTACTTAGTAGTGAAGTCTTCTATATATAAAATTTAAAATAAAAAAATTATAAACTAAAAATAAAAATAATTGAGAAGAAAAAAAAAAAAAAAAAAAAAGAATCTCATGAATCACATCTCAAGGATTCAAATACTATTAATCAATTTCATTCTTATTGAGGCTTCATAAACTAAAATTGAGTAGCCCACCCTTTCTGCTCATAATTGGAGAAAAAAAGTGCTTTAAACCCTAAAAACAACAGGAGAATAATTCATGATATTAATATATTTTTAGTTTATTCAAGTTTGAATTGTAAACAAAATATAATATGTGAAGATAGTTGACTGAATGAAATTCCGGAAGAAGATGGTCCTGGACTAGGTCAAAAAAGAAAAACATCGAATAAATTCCGATGCCAATGTCATGATGACCGTCATTGTAGGTTTTCTTCAGAGCTAAAAAGATTTTTTAAAAAGTAAATCTATTTTAGGATTAAAAGAATATAGAATTACTGAAGTAAATTTAAATGGAAAAATAATAGTATCTGATATTATAACTGATAAAAGAAAGAAGTATAGTAATATGATGAATCAATAATAATTGATAATAACAGATAAACCAGTAATAACTGATAAGATATTAAAGTCGTTTATTTTCAAAGTAAGCCCTCATCGATTTTTATGGACATCGAGATAAGTATCAACTCCCATATAAAAACATCCAATGGATCTGATAGTGCAATTTTTTTTTTTTTTTTCAAGAACGATCCTTAATATTCAAAAAAGTGGAATGAATATAAGTATATTTCTGAAACAGACTATTTTTTAAGTTTCAAAAACTTATTTTACCATTATTGAAAACAAAAAGTTTATTTTTATAGTAACTTTTTTCTCATGAATCATACGCCATTTTTGATTTCACTCTAATTTAAACATCTTCTTGCAGCCGATAAAGAAAAAGTTCTCAGTTCAGTTATATTTGTTCATTATTTTCACTGATAAATTTATATAATTCTATAATCAAGGAATATTTTCACATATTTACATCTTTTTAGACTCGATGATGACTTGATGACCTGATGACCTACAATATGGGTCAGAATGTAGCCATCGATTAAATAATCATAATTTATTTGATATTTTTCTTTCCTGACCGACCCCCAGACTACCTCCTTCTAGTAAATAAAATATTTAAATTAATTTAGATAATTAAAAGTTGAATCTAATCTGTACAGTTAAAATAGTTTAGAAGAAAGTAATATTTAATCACCCAGTTAGCTCTTAAAAATATATTTTTTTTTAGTATTGGATCTATTTTAATTCAAAATAATACTGAATTTATTTTTTCTGGTTTGCTAATATAACTTATTGAGGTGAATATTTTTATTTTAATTAAATATAATTACGACTTATTTTATTACTATCTGGTATGAAATGCCTTGAAGCATAAAACCATGAAAACGACTTTACAAGCTTCACACATTGTGATGCCTGAGGACATACAGTTTCCAACAACTCATCTCTTCTATTTCCCCCATTATTGTAGACACAAGATGGTCCCCTCCATATCTAATGTTTTCCAATACCATCGAGGTTACGCATTAATTGATTTCAACAGTTATCTGCTGCCTTTTTTCTCAGTATCATATTCTATCAAATACATTGGAGCTAACTCATAAAATATAATTGGCTGCTTTAATCGTTTTTAGAATATATATAAAAGTTATTATCAAGAGCCATATCAAGATACGAGATAAATATTTTCCAACACCATTTCTTTATACAGATGATGAAACAATAGCAGGTTACTTCTTGGTCCCTTTTTCACTGCCTCTCGTGGAATATAAAAAGCTTCTTTTTTTTTTTTTTTTAATGAGATATTCAATTTTTCATAAACATTTTAATCTTGTTATAATACAAATAAAATGAATTAAAACAAATACTCAGACAAAATTTAGGTTTTTGAATTGTTTCTCATCAATGAAACTTGTCATTATAGAAAAAGTAAAAAAGGCACCCCGCATACTTAATGTTACTGTATGGTCATAGATATGTTTACAACTTTTTAAAAATCATGAAATCTAATGAAACATGAATAAATTATACCAACATTATGAGAAAAAAAATTTAGTAATACATTTTTTTTTAAATTCTCTAGTAAATAACAATGTTGTGCCATTACCATTACACTTACTTATTTGTAAGTAATTTTGTCAACAATTGCTTTGGTGTCTATGAATACACTTTATGTATACTTTACACATTGTGAAATGAAAAGGTGTAAATTATCAGGCCTCTAATAATGATTGTAATTTAAAATAATTATAAATAGTAAATCATTCTTCTTTTTCTTAATCCGCTTCTGGTCTACCGCCTAGTGCAGTGAGAGGGAAATCATTAATAATAAACAATTTATTAATTAAATCTTAATAATAATTAATAAATTGTTATAATACGCTTCCTGGAAGAACAGAGATTTTTATAACTTAAGGACTAAAATTATATAAAAGTATCGATTGAAAGGTTGGTGCAATCAGCAACCAACAATTTTTAATTTATGAGTTGATCAGGGAGGGAGGGGCGGTCAAATATTTATTTAATTTTTTTGCTGATGTTTTGACCCACTTTGCAGGTCTTCATCAGGGCGTAGGAGGTAGCACTGCGGGAGGAAGTTGAAACACTCATCAAAGTGGGTAGAAACATCAGCAAAAAAATTATATAATACTACTTGTATAATTGAGTATTTATTTGAACGCACCCCCCGATCAACTCCTTCTCATATCATATCACGGTCAACCATCTCTACATCATTATAATTTTTAATTTAATTTTATTGAAAGAGCTTACGTTGTCAGAATCATGTTGATCGGCACAAACAGACAGAAAAATCATCTACCAATTTATTATAAGAAAACGTTTTAAGTATATTAGCTGGCTTAAATGGGTGGGTAGAATACAGTTGCAAATTTGTAAGTAATAGATCTGATGAATAAGAGAAGTTCTGAACTTTAATAATAAAATACAATTTTTTTCTGGTCAAATATTATCATAAATGAGCAATCAATCATTTTAGGCTTGTCTAATTTTCTAAAAACTGAGCAGAAATACATATTAAGAATTCGGAATTTGTTTCCTCTTGGTTAACAAATAATTTTCCATTTATAAAAGTTTGAAGATAATTTTTATTTTTTTATTACTGCAGAAAACTGAAATATTATGCAGTACGCCAAATATTATAAAATATGGTCTTTTAACTATACACTAATTAAATTAAACTAATCAGCATAAAAAAATATATATATTCACAAACAAAGATATATTTCAAGCTAATACTTCAAAAAGAGACTTAATACATAAATACATAGCAAATAACACTTACCTAATAATATTAATTAATTAAAATCTGTTCGATATTTAAGTAAAAATGAATACCTGAACCAGCCTTCTACTCCACGCCCTTGTGCCTTCTTTATCGGCAACATAGCATATATCTAGGTACCGTGAAATTAGTGTTAATGGCACCTTGAAACATTCCAAGGTGTCTTTTAATTTCAAATAAATTTCTTCTTGTGTTCGCTGACTGAGACCTTTCCAATTTAAAAATACTGCTTCCACTACAAGTACACTCACATTTTCTCCAATCTATAATGAAAACGACAAAAAATTGAATTAAAAAAGAAAATATTAAAGGTTATAAAACAGGAAAAAAATAGCCAAAAACTATCATTAGGAGAGAGCAGTGCTGGCAGGTAGAGGGGGTAAGTTGACCCATTGTGTTTTATTCTCATCACCAGGTCTTTCAAAGCCGTCCTTTCTGTGTAATGTACTACTTTAAAGATTGTTATTACAAGGTTTTCAGTGTCATACGAGTTTGCGAGGATGCAGATGGTTGACATACCATGACTTTTTGACTTAGAAGTTTTCCAAAGATTTCCTCAACACTTTAAATGAATGTTTTAGAAAAATATGGTACTATAAAGAGACCAAGAACATGTGCGTATGTCAACCATAATTAGTAAAAAAAATGAAAAATGTTGTCAAACAGCCCGCTTCCATTTTTTTCTTAGCGATGTTTGATAAACATTGCTTCTAAAAACAAAAAATAATAATGATAAAATAAGTTTAACAAAACTATAAATTACAAAAATTTACACGAGTCGGTAAAATCATGTATATAGGCAATGTTTAACATAGATTTTGCCCCATAGTTAGGAATACATACACATCTCAAAATTAATTTTTTTATTATTATTATTTTTTTTTTTTTTTTGTTAGATGTTACACTGTCTGTTTAACTAGAGCAATGATTTATAATAATTATTTAAATTTAATAAATATAGTTCATAAATGTACATGCACAATAATTGATTGATTAGTAATGAAAATGTTCTAATTATGGGGAGTACTGCTTAGAAAAATAATACTTTGGTATATGTAGAAATGAAAACAGAATATTTTATTTTGCTCAATGATAAATTTATTTTTAAAAAATAAAAGTAAAAACTCACTTTATTAAGATTGCATACATTTTGCAAGAAGTAATCTGAAATAAAATTAGGTTCAGGATAGTCTTGAAACTCTGAAATACATACGACAAGGAACCATGCGTTTATGTTGTTTTCGGTACCAATATGAGTTTCTATAGTTTTTAATATCATTTTCCTGAAAAACATTAAAAAATAATATAACTATAAGAGTCGCTTTATTTATCTGTTGCAGTATAAACAGCACAGGAGCCAGAACCTACAAAGATTACTAATAGAAAACTTTTGACAGCCAAAAAACCTTGATTTTTCAGAACTTCCTTTTGGCTGCACGATGCATCCAAGCGAACAGCTTAATCTTTCAAAAAATAAAGCACATTAAATTCTGGATCAAATTAGTATCAAAACTTAATAATTTGGTTAAGAGGCATTGTTAAAAAGAAAGTCAACAAATCATAATTTTTTACAACTTATTATTTTTTATCATTTTTAACAACTTAGTCAAAACCTGAGGTATATCATTGTACATGACTTTTTAAATAAATTCTCTAAGAAAAAAAAAATTACAGAATAAAAGTTGCAGAGCAAATTTTGCCTACAAACATTTTTAAATTAGGCCAAGTACACATCCAGCATTTGCCAGTTCTATAAAAAATTTGGATTTATCAGTTCTCTATGAAATTCATCATTTTTTTTTTTTATAACTCATTTGTCCAAATCCAGCTATTATGAGAGCCAGAGAAAAAAGAACCAATACTACATACAAGATATACTAATCAAGGATAACAGTAGACCAAATACCTATACTATTTAAGTTTTGAGTCATATGTGCATTTATAGCCAACTGCCAAAAGCAGAGAACTTGCCAAGTTGAAGAGGCATTTTCAGACATATTTTAAAATTTTGTTACTCAGTGGATAGGAAATTTGATGCTCTAAACTTTTATTCCATGAGTTTTTCTTATACAGAACTCATTTCCATGCTACCGAGTCATTAACAGTAGTATATCTCAATTTTTATTATTAAACCTATACGTTGTTGAAGAGGTGATAAAAGTATGGAAAAAGAAATACATAGGGATGGGAATACAGATAGATGAAAATGCCTTCATACCCTACAATTTGGCGATTACCAGGTAGTGATAGCGAATGACGATGAAGATGCTAAGGAAGCTCCTGGAGGAGTATAAAGCATGGGGTCTGGATACAGAAATAACGAAGTTGTATAATATGTATTTATATTGTATTATATGAGAAGGAGTTAGTCGAGGGTGCGGTCAGAAAATAAAAAATTAAAATATATTAATTATTTTAATTTTTGCCGACGTTTCGACCCACTTTGCAGGTCGTCTTCAGGGCTACAAAAGATACAAAACATGTTGAAAATAAAAAATAAATATAAGTATATATAAAATAAAAAGAAGTTGTCAGATACAGAAATAAAAGATGGTATCAGAGATATAGTGGGTGACAATGTAGTTAAATATTAAGAATTATATATGTAGAAGATACAAATAAATGGAAAATAAGTAGGAATAAAAATAAAAATAAAAATAAAAATAAAGGAGATACAAATGTATCTTTTGTAGCCCTGAAGACGACCTGCAAAGTGGGTCGAAACGTCGGCAAAAATTAAAATAATTAATATATTTTAATTTTTTATTTATCTGACCGCACCCTTGACTAACTCCTTCTCATATAATACAATATAAATACATATTATATTGTCAACCATCTCTACATCATTATATTGTATTATATGTCAGTTAACGGGAATATAAGATTCTTGTCACTAGAAAATTGGGAATTAGCAAAAACGCATTTATTTAAATATCATGGCAGATGGATAACTGAGGTTGGAAGCTCCTCCAAGGACATTGGAGAAAAATCACAAGAGGAAGGAGAATAATTGGGACACTAAATTCTGTGTAATAGAACAAGCAAGTCTCGAAACAAAAAAAAAGGCTATATCATTCCTTTTTGGAAAGCATCATTCTATGCACATCTGAATAATGGGTGATCACCAAAAAGGGGGAGAAAAGGCTACTTTTGGAGATGGATTTTTGGAGACGCTGTTGTACCACTTCCGGACTGCAGCATGTTCCCAACAAAAATATTAGGCATAATATTCAGCAGGAAAAAAATATCCTCCATGACATAGAAATGAAAAGGCTCAAGTGTTAGGGCCATTTACAGAGAATGATGGAGGACCAATGGCCAAAATTAACCTTTCTCTATCAACCAATAGAAAGGGGAAAAAGAAGAAAGAAAATGGTTGCAGGATGTGAAGAAAGGCATGGCTGCAAGAGGCCTTCTAGAGGGAGACTGGCTAGACCGAAATGGCAAAAACTTTAGGATACAATAAACAACTAAGTTGTAAAAAAAATCAATAATAAAAAATAAATCTCTCAATTTTTGACAAAGTTTGTTAAAATCAACATTTTTTTACTGCCATTTTTCACCAATAATTTGACTTGCTTTAATTGCTTAAAGAGTAAATGTTCCACTTAGAGGTATCGTTCAGTGATGAAAGATTAAAAAACAACAGTTACTAAAAAATTAGAGTTTTTATGGCATCAAAACTTCTACCGATGTGGCAAATGTTAATATTTTTTTTTTTTTTGCATATATAAAAGTTTAAAATCTTTCCCACTTTTATCGCAATATAATCCCGGTTTCAATCCTCAATAGTCTGGTCAAATTTCTAATCAGCAGCTAATAATAGATAAGGTTCAGTTTACTTAGAATAATTTGCACTTTCATAATCCATAATGAAACATTCTTCTGGCTCCAGGGCTATAAGATGAAAAAATACTAAAATTTGTAAAGATATATAAAAACAGGAATATTAGAGATTAAATAATTTACAAATTTTTATTCTTATTCAATGTATAAAAATTCTGGTGCACGAACACACAACTTTCACTTATCACTCAACTTTGAATAGAAAATATTTTCAGGCCATGATGAGCTATTATAGAATTTTTTGATTGCATTTTTAACCGAGATAAAGCTAAAATCTTACATTTAACAAATCATAAATACCATTAAAATAACAAAAGTGCTATTTATTTTATCACCGGTTGATTATGGATTGTACGATCAGTTGATTATGAATTGTACGATCCACTGATTATGGATTATACGACTATTAATTATTAAACTGTTATTTTCCATTGCAAAGTTTACTATGTGGAAGTAAGAGATTTGCATTGTCTGTCATAGACAGGCCACACACGCTCACAGACACACACACACTCACATACACACACCATTTTGCAGGACTTGGTTATTTGAACTCAGGAGACATCAAACATGTATTTTTGTTGAAAACTCCGAGTCGAAAAATTTCAGATCGCCATACTGCCTTATTATATATTTCATATATAGGTAAGTGAAAATAAAAAGAACAATTAAACACATTTACAGTTATCTATTCATTAACAAAACATATACTGAGGTATTGATTATTCAATAAGCATTTATGGAAAAAACGTAAAATATCACGCAAACAGTAAAGTAGAGGTCTCCAGCCCAGTGCCCAATAGCATGATGGCAGGCAGCCCTGTTGATGCTATTAAACAAGCTCTTGTTTTTAGAAAATAACTAAAAAGTAGTTAATTGTTTCTAAAACATGATCTTGAGAAAGAGACTTTAATAAGCATCAGTAGAAAAAGGCCTTTTTAATCTCAATAATATATTACTTTATTTTAATTTTATCCAAATTTTCTCTCTTCAGGCATCTTCAGGGATAAATCTAATTTTACATATATTGTGAATTTTCATTCGCTTATAGTTGTGCACCAACTTGCACACCTAGTCAAGTAAACTTTAATAGGTGTGCAAGTGGGTGCAGAGCTATAAGCCAATGAAAATTCATAATATATGTAAAATCAGATTTATCCCTGAAGATGCCTGAAGAGACAAAAATTTGGATAAAATTAAAATAAATAAATTCATTATTGAGACTAAAAAGGCCTTTTTCTACTGTTTATTGTTTCTTTAAAAATACCAACTCCTCGAGGTAGTATCCTTGGTCTAGTTTATACAGCTGACATAAGAACCCATCCTAACACTGTCATCACCACCTATTCCGATGACAGTAAATAATGTATTCTATCTGTAAATAATGATCCATCAATTACATACCAAACTCTTCAATCACACATCATAAGTCTTGAAGAATGGTGTCAAAACTGGAAGATTAAAATAAATTTCAATAAATCTCATAGAATCACCTTTACCTTTGTCGTAAACCTGTGACTTCCTGTCCTACAGTATCCTTTAATAACACCCCACTTATCCCTGTTGAACAAATCCGATACCTAGGACTCCACTTGGAGAAACGTCTTAATTGGAATCCTCATACAAGACTGAAACGACAAGAAACTGCTCGATGTTTCCAGTTACTTCAATACTTACTAGGCAAATGCTCTAAGCTTCCAATTAATTATAAAAGACTCATTTATATGACTATAATAAGGCCTATTTGGATTTATGGAGTTGATTTTTGGGGCTCCACTGATTCATCGAATTCCTCTCGTATCCAATCCTTACAATCCAAAGTCCTTCGTAAACTTCCCAATGCTCCTTACTTTGTCACAAATAAAATAATCCGTAAAGACCTTAATGTTCCATATTTTTCCAATTTGGCCCAAACCAGATACCTATCCTTCCATAGTAAACTTCATAACCACCCGAATCCTCTCATTTCTAACCTTGCTTCATCTTCGATCCCTGATAACCCTTCGAGGAGTCTGAAAAGAACATGGTCTCGTGATCTCCTAATTTAGAAATTTTATTAGAGTGCTATCAATGGGTGGTTTCTCTACAAGTGTTCTCATGTCATTGTAATAATATTTATCACATTTACTAGATGTATATTTGATTTTATACACTTGTAAATTTCATAAATTAATAAATTTTAAAAAAAATACCAGTCACTGATATAGCAGTTTAACAATATTTTCTAATCAATCTTCATTATTTTTCTCCTTTTTTAATTTCACTTACTTACATATGAAATACATAATAAAGGAAAGTACTGCGATCGTGAAAAACTTTTTCGAATCTCAGTTTTTAACATAAATACATGTTTTGAGGTCTCTTGAGTCCAAATAACCAAGTTCTGCAAAATGTTCTGCGTGTGTGTGTGTGTGTGTGTGTTAACAGTCTCGCTCAAAAACGAAAATTCATACAAAAGAGAAATTGCATATTTAAGGTTTTTATATGCCTGGGATGTTACAGCAACTTTTTCGTCAAAATCGGCTAACAGGAAGTGGCATTTTATATCATCGATGTAACACATTTTTATGATTATCTCAAAAACAGCTCTAACAATTTTGATTAAATTTATTATATCAGTGTAAAATCAAGCAGTTTTTAATATTATGTAGGTTTTATTCTTATTGATATTTTCTAAGAGGGCTTAAGTGGTTAATTTTCCGTATTAGCTTCTCCTAGAGTACCTTTAATTTTTTTTATTAGAAACAATTAACCATTTTACATTGATGTTTGATATAAAAATAGTAAATATAAAATACGAAATAATTTCATAATTAACTAAAGGAGAAATAAGAGATTGTAAAAGAGAATAGTAGTAATGAAGAAACCAAAGGAATACGAGCGCACCCGAAGATTAGAAGAGGCTTCCATACATAACATGAGCTTCATATAATACGGCCTTTGACATTATTATATACATATACATATGCGGTTTTCATGAATGTTTTTGTTGGTATTATTTATTATTATATTGCATTGTATACAGTGATATAAATATTAAAATTTGTATTTATAAGAGTACTTAAACAAATAAAAATACCTACAATGAAATATAAATCAATATAGCGTTTATAATTTTTACTTTCACTTTCTCTTTGTCTGAAAATACTTATTTCTACTGAGAAGGGGATAGGTAAGTGAAAGTTGTGTGATGCGAGAACCGCACCAGATTTTTTTTGAATAGGTACCCAGTACTACAATTAACCTGTAATTGTGCACTCAAGTAGAAAAAGGTTGGGGACTTCTGGTCTAAATGCTAGTTTACACATTTCCCAAATGCAACAAATTTCTTCATAAACAAAATCCAACAAAAGAGGGTATTGCAAAGTTGTGCTCCAGAGAAATAATTGGTTTCAACTATTTTTATTTTCATAACAAAAAATAAAAAACAATTAAAAATATACAAAAGATTAAAAATATTTTTAAAAAACGAAGCATAGATGTGAAATCATAATCAAACTATTCCTGAAACTTCTGTAAAAATTAATTGGATTGGATAAAATTACTCACGCTTGATAAAAGAACATTCAGAAAAAAAAACTTTTATGTCAATAGAGCAGAAATTAAGTAGAGAAATAAGTTTCAAACGATCTACTAATATTTTAAAAAGAAAAGAAAACTCATCATTTCGAATCAATAAAATTAGAAATCACATTTCAGTTGTCATTAACATTATTGGTTGAGTATAATAAAAGAAACTCTCCAATAAACAACCTTTTTTTTCCAGGAATAAAGCAACAATAGTTTTGCAAGAGTATTAATAATAACTAATTGGATCTTTTAACAATTATTAGAAAAACTATTAACAAAAAAAAAACTTTTAAAATAATCACCACTGAAGATAAAAAATCTATTTTATTAGGAACAAAGAAGACCATAGAACAAAATAGATTCTATGTCATACTACAAAACAAAATTACTGTCTTGACAATTCTATAAACAATGAGATCAAAAACCTAAACACAAAATATGTTGACAAAGGAAGTACTATTTCCACTTGTTTAAAAAGTATTAAACTGTAAATATGAGACATACAAGGGAGACCCAAAATTAACGGGAATTGGGTTGCTGTGGGAAAAGAGAGTATAAGAACCCATTGTTCGACCCCGGACACGTCTCCTGATTTAGTGTACAAAGTTGTGTCGCTGAGAGTGCATTGGTTACCCCATGAGAATGTTTTTAGTGAAATAACTTTTTCCATTTCGCCCAAAATGTGATGGCCAATTGTCAAGAGCAACCATGGCTGTGAAATTTTGTTTCCTGTTTGGGAAATCAACTACTCATGGGGATGCTGCACTAAGTAAAACCATTGTCTACGAGTGGTTTACACACTTTAAAATGGAGAAATTTCAATTGAAGACCAACCCCGTGCAGAACAACCCTCAACGTCAAGAAGTGATGATAATGCCGACAAAATCAATGCTCTCGTTCGTGAAGAGTGTCACCTAACCATTGATTAACTCTGTGAGATGTTTGAAATATCATGTAGTTCGATCCAGAGGATTTTATTCGAAGATTTGCATATGAGAAGAGTTGCAGCCAAATTTGTCCCTCGCCTTCTCACAGGCAAGCAAAGGGAGTGTGGACTTCAGGCATATTTTGAGCTTTAAAATCAGCTCAAAGAGGGCTCTGACTTTTTTTCCAAGGTGATTACTGGTGATAAATCGTGGTTCTATGGATATGATCCCGAAACAAAGTAACAATCAAGGCAGTGGAAGACAGCTGGCTCTCCTTGTCCCAAAAAAGCTCGCCACTTGAAATCAAACATCAAGACAATGCTCATTTGTTTCTTCGAATGCAGAGGTGTTGTGCACACGGAGTTAGTTCCCCCGAGTAAAACTGTCAACCAGATTTTCTACTTGGAGGTTTTGAAAAGATTGAGGAGAGAATCTGGAAGAAAAGGGCAGATCTTTGGAGCACAGGCGACTGGTTCTTCCATCATGACAACGAGATGGCCAACACTGCCCTCTCCCTAAAGCAGTTGTCGACCAAAAACGGTATGACACCGATTGTATACCTCCCCCCCCCCCCTGCCCTACTCACTAGATCTAGCTCTCTGTGGTTTCTTTTTGTTTCCCAGACTCAAAAGAGATACGAGAGGAAAGTGTTTTACCATTATGGAAGAGATAAAACAAAAATTGCTGGAATGCCTAAAGAACATTCCGATAAGTGAATTTAAATTTTTTTTTGAACAATGGAAAGATCGTTTGGAGAGGTGGGTTATGGTCTGGGAGAATACTTTGAAAGCAACCAAAATTTTGGTGTAAAAATATTAAGAAATGAAGAAGTTATAACACAATTCGCGTTTTTTTTTTTTTTTTGTCCTTCCTCGTACTTCTCTATTTCGCTTTGATCCTGATGATGAATTGGCAAAATATTGACTGGTTAATTATTAATTGCTACTTAAGAGAATAAAAGGTTTTATTTGGAACCTTCCATTAATAAACAAGAAATTAGTGTCACTATCTGAAATTGATTACTTACGTTATAACTTTGTTTTTAGACCAGTGATGACATACATGTTTGAAAAGAGTTCTTTTTCCACTCTCAGTAATAATATTGAGTACTTCCCAAGGAAGTTTTGAGAACTCATCACTATCGTTACTATAATCTGCCAGATTGTTTAATATAACATTTCCAATTGACTGAAAAAAGAAAACTTATATGGTTAAATAAGAAAAAATTAAAATATATATAAAATACTTCTGAAAGTACCCTATAATGATTCACTGTAAATAGTAAAACGTTTCAATATTTAGATAAATGAAATGATAAATATTTTTTTTATGATAACATTAATAAACCATGAAAAGATTTAACATAACTAATTGGCCCATGCTAATAATTTGTACAGTATAGTCAAATGACAAATTAATAAGAAACAAAAATAATGCAAGGTATCATAAGATAGAGAAATCAATTGCTACTTTCTCGCTAATTATAATCGACAAAGGAAATAAAAATTAATTTAAAACTTCATTAACGTTTAAAAAACCATGTTTAAAAATTTCAATAAGCTGCATCAGCTGATAATTATCCGATTTTGATGTCTTATTTTTTCCCTAGTAGGGAATTTAGAAATTTTTTAAATAATAATCATGGATATAACCTCGGAAAAAGTATATAATTTTTGAGTTATTCGCAAATAAAGTTTCTTTTCTTCCATAACTTTTTTGCCTGAATTTTCGTGGGTGATTAAAAAAAAAGTCTAAAGTCTAAAAAAGTTTAATCTTTACTCTAACTTCAAACTAATCAAATAAGTGTTTTGAGCAGATGGAAAAAAGTCAATATCTGGCTCAGAGTAAAGCTCCTGACATTTTCTGTGAGTCCGAGTTACAAGCAGGACTAATTTCCTTTAAGCTTTTATATCACCTGGTTTTACAACCATGGCAATTTCATAAAGAATGCTATGCTATGAATATATGATATTGAGTTCATTTCCCATTTTTACAACATAATTATTCTGAATAAGAGAAATTGAACATACAAAATGTAAACTTTCCTACTAAAATTTACTTATATCAAAGGCCCTAAGAAAAATTAGTTAGTAAAAATCATTCAAGCTACCTTCAGATACAATATTTCTAAAGAACTCACCTCTATAACTTTTTCTTGGCATTTCACATCATTATCTGCAATCAAAGACACAACACCTTGTACCCAAGCATCAATAATATTTGCATTAGAAGGATAACTTAGCAAAAGATCGGTAAGGCATTTGACACTAAATTTCCTCATCATTAATGAACTATCTAGACAACTGTCAAGAAATATCTGAAATCAAATGTCAATATTTAATTTCCTTATCTACAATCTGATATGATTGAGGAATATGAAAAACGAAACCTTGGTTCTGTTATTGTTCAGCCAAAACTTGTTATATAAACATAAGTTTAGTATAAGAAGAAGAGCATTCTTTCTAACATAAACATTCTGGTCACAAGTTTGGATTCCAACAATGTGTAAGATGCATTCAACAGATGGCAAAGGATGCTTAGGAAGAAGCAATTTTTCAGCATTTGTACTTAAATAGTCTTGAAAATCAAAATAAGATGGGCTTTGAATGTTATCAGCATTTGATTCGAGAGAACCATTAAGACCTTCCTTCATCACAAGTTCTTCCAATATTTCCTTAATAACTTTTTGATTTGAGAATAACAATGAAGCAAAAATATTCAGGCATTTTGATCTAATAATTGCTGAAGCATCAAGTGATCTTGCTAGAATAGAACCAATCAAAAATTTTGTAAGGATCTTTTCATTTCTTCCACATGAAAAATTCACAAATCCACTTTCAGGATTACTAATAGTAGTATCTGAGTCTGGATTTCTAGCTCGATCTCCTTCAACAAAATCTGTAATTTCAGAAGCATTTAGAAGTTTTGCAATCAATTCAATTGCACACAAGCGATACTTTAGTATTTCACTATGTGCTAAACTGACTAACCATATAACAAAATCTAGAAAAGCGTTATATTTGAAAAGTTGCAGAAGTTGTATTATTTGAGGGAGGGCTTTACTTCTTATATCTGTTCTATCAGGCAATCTAACACACATTTGCTGAATCAGACCTTTGACAGCAGGTAATGCATCCTTTTCATGCGTCTGAAGCAATCGTTGAATTAAAACAAATGTATTAACATTTGATGAAATATGATCTCTAGTAGCCATTTTAATATCCTCTTCTCGAATAACCATAGTTTGCAAGAAGTTACGCATTATTACAAATATTATTTGCTTTATATCGCCATGATTCAAAGAACAAAGTTGTTCCAAAATTAAAAATGACTTCCTAGAGATACATTCATTTAAATTATTACTATGAATGTTGTAAAATACATTTTTATTGCTCTCAACTTGCGTCAAACTAACAAGAACTTGAATCGTTTTGACTAATGACTCTTCATCATCCTTTAAATAAATAACATTGAGACAGTTAGATAATACATCAAGTGACAAACTAATTTGATTTAGAATCACATCAATTTCTACATCTGACAGTTTCAGAGAATGACCCATCATATCATTATCAGCTAAAACATAGTTTAAGTTTTTTTTAGAACTTGCATTTTTCCCTTTTTTCTTCACAGAACAGCAATATCCCATAACGTCCGTAAATATTTGAAGAGCTTGATAATACAAAATGGAATTAAAAATATTAAAAACATGGGAACCAGATATCGATAATAAAGCAAAATATAATCTTGAAGAAATAATCATTTTATTCAGAACATTGATAGATGGTTTCTTTTTTCCTTTCAAAAACACACTTAAAATACATAGAAACGCTTTGTAATCAACCCCTTTTTCAATAAGTACAGTCCATGATTTAGGTACAGCCACAAATAGTTCAGAACCTCTTGAGGTACTACATCTACTATCTTCAGCATTCCATCCTTCAATAGCTTCAATTAAATTGCTTATTAATTCAGAAAAATCTTGATCATCTAACTGTGATTCATATTCATTGGGCAATTCTTTAACGTTATAAAAATCTGTTTCCCATACATTATCAACCCATTCTTTTGACACCAGTTCTAAATGGAAACTAGCAAAAGCTTCCAAAACGGACATCTTTTTGAGCGTGAAATTCAGATTCAAAATTTTTAAATTCAGAAAGTGAAATAGTAGAACATCATTAATATTTTCCAATCTAACAGACTTTCGGTACGAGACAGCGTAAATCTCTCTACTGTTTTTGTTTTGATTCACAAATAAATATAACCAAAACCCGCGAAGTACATACCAAAGAGATAAAAGTTATCAGATAGAAGCTAAGTAATCAACAATAGAAAAGATAAGTTCTATTAACATTTCATCCACTATTATATATATTAAGTTTTGTTAAATTAAAATATGATCAGTTGTTGTTTGTATGTTAATAAATATCGTACTTCTCAAATGATCTCTAAATCGAATTTTCGTACAAACAATCCCACAATTTAGTTACAATAAAAGGATATTTATTTTAAATACATGGATGATTTCTTTAAATTTTATTTATTGAAATTGGCAACTACACGAAATAAACAAATGTGATATAAATAATTAAATTCAATCGAATTAAAAAAAAAAGTGCTTTTAGACATTTCACAAACTATAGGAAACATACTTGCATATCTAATTAAAAAATAAATAAGTGCAGGCCCTACTCCATTGCTTGGACCACTACGGTTCGATTTCCGCATTGGGACATTACCATCCCCACTCCGAGATTCACGGGGCGATGAGCGATCCCTGTATTTTACACCATAACTCCTGGTCCACCAGGTTCGAGGTAGGGTATAGAGCTAATAATCCCATATATTAATTTATCAAGAGTTTGTGGAAGGTTATTCCGTCCTAAAACCCGTTTTCAAGTTGATCTCAAAAACGTTCAATGGGGTTTGATTCTGGAGAGCAAGCAGGGCAACCCACACGGCGAATTTCTTGATATCGAAAAAAAAAAAGCATTTACGAATCTAGCTTTATGAGGTTTAGCGTTGTCATACACCAAAAAAAAAAAAAAAAAATGGGACAATTGCTTCTGCCATAAGTTACACCATTGGAGATAAGAACCTCATGTAACGTTGAGCAGCCATAGTCTTGCTACGCCGTAAGCTCTGCTCAAGATGTACCCGAGGATTTACCAATCAACACTGTGATTGAGGCTACTTCAAACGAGTTAAAAGGCATGATCAGGGAAGGATTTTATCGCTCACCAGACCTTCCGGTAACTCTTGCTCGGTTTGAACCATGGTGTAGTACAAATGTAGACTTATCTATGAAAAGAAAATTATCCAAGGCACAATCAGTCCATGGTATATGAATCCGAGCGAATAAAAGCCTTTGCCGGTGCAATCTAGGCTTTTTTATCCTTCTTCTAGCTGTGAGACGGCTGATTTCCACATTAGAGTCAGAGAGCAAATCATAAAATTACCTCCTTAAAACCGTTCCTAATATTCCAACTCTGTTCTTGCATGATAATCCCATCAAATTTTACCCCACCGTCAAAACCCTTGGAATAACCTTCGATCAAACACTTTTCTGGAAAAACCATGTATCCAATATTTCCCGCCGTACAATTTCCACTCTAAAACGTCTAAATTATTCTCGTCACCTATTTCCATTTGAAACCCGTAGGCTCCTAGTCACTTCTTCAATTTTCCCCCACTTTGACAATTGCTGTTGGGTATATGGGGGCGTCTCTGGGGATCACGAGGCGAAACTAAAACGTTTAATAAATTGCTTTGTAAGATTCATCTTCGGGATATCAATGGACGCCTCTGTTTCCCATTTTTATGCAGAATTGAGATGGCTTTAACCTTCCTACCGTCGTAAATATTTCCTGGCATCCTTCCACTTTCAAGTTATCCAATCATACCGTCCTTCATACATCTCTGAGCTCCTTCAATTCAAATCCTCTGTTCGTTCCCGTAATATTCGTTCCCGGTCTTCTGACTGATATATAAGGGTCCACCGAACCGCTGCTTTCGACAGATCTTTCTTTATCCAATCCTCATTCCTTTGAAACTCCATCCCTTCACACATTTGACAATCTAATATCCTTCCTACCATTAAATCCCGTGTGTTCAATCATTTCTTATCCATCCAGTCCCCATGAAATTTTAAATAGATACTAATGTAATTATGTATATAAATTATTAGCTCGTTCTTCATTATTTTTACTTCATCCTTTTTATTTATTTTTTTAATTTTTAATTACTAACTGATTAAAATTAGAAAGTAACTTATAATTTTTAATTTTATTACTATGACTGTTTAATTACTCTGTATCTTTATTTATGCATCTCTGAGGCTCCTTAGCCCATATTTATGTCTTTCTGTATTATTCTAAAGGGAACCAGAATAAATAAAGTATTATTATTATTAAACTAGCCGTCGGTAAGTGTCGAAACGATTTCTTCGGGCCCGGAATATAGGTCAAATATAGATCTTGTGCTCTTGTAGATCTTTAACGTCGTCTATCATGTGTATATTCAAAGGAAACACTATCTTGATGATGACTCCATACGCGACTTACCACACTTTGTGAGTTTCGTAGTCTTGCTGCCACATTTCTCTAGATGTCACCTTCTTCCAAAACAGCTACAGCTTTTGCAAGTTCTACTGCTATAAGACGTCCAGACATTCTTTTAAAAAATACGCTTACAAGAAATAAAGTGAAATGAACACTATCTGTAACAGGAATAAACTGAGGATAAACCCCTCTTTTGTTATGCCCATTGGTAGTATAAATAATCAACATGTGTCAAATAAGAAAATATTGATTCCTCATAATTTTATAAGTTAATGCAATGATCCACTTCATTTGCGAATGATTATATTATGTTCGCCGCAAAAAAAAAAAAGTCTGCCAAGTAAAGTCAGTATAGCTTCCTCACCGTTTCCGTTGTATATTACAAGGTATACAATTTTTCGTATGATAATAAAATCTCTGAGAGAAGCAGAATCGGTACAGCCGATTACAGTTACCCTTCAACATTCAACAACAGAGGGTCGTATTTGAATATTCATCACTTTATTATGCTTAATAAAAAAAAAAAAAAAAAAATACATACTGAACATGAATTTCAATACTGTTAGTTCAAAAGGTATAAATTTATTTATTGTTTTACAAGAGTGCATATAAATTCAATATTTCTTTATGATTTATTAGAATAATTTCATATTTTATTTTCATCTGCTATTTTCCATAGTAGCAGATTACTTATATCAGTTGCAGACTACAAAATATCACCTTTAATACACCTAGAATTAAAGTTGAAAATTATTACATAAGAACTTATGTTCTAATAATAGTATATACATTACCGAATCAAGATTTAATTTTGGAGGAGGGCTTCAGCACGAAAGATTTATATATATATATATATATATATATATATATATATATATATTATATATATATATATATATATATATATATTATATATATATATATATATATATATATATATAACGATAATTAATTTGAAAAAAACCACTGCAAATTAATTCTCTTTGGTATATTATTTCCAAATAATTATACATATAAAGTAACATTAAATTCCTAGTTATAAAGAAAAATAAATAAAAGATGATTCTAATTATTGGACTAATTTTTTTTTTAATCATTAGTAATATGCTAAAAAAATAGCATTACTTCAGTAACACATTCAGAAATAAAAAAAAAGATAAACCTTTTGCAATAGCACATCTAAAAAAAACTAGAGACCATATCTTTGCTCCTAATTGTCCGATTTTGACGAATTTTCTTTTGTTTTTTAGATAATTCCGTAAACTTCTAAAAAAACATATACAATGTTGACATAAATGTGTATACTTCTTGAATTATTCGGAATTTAATTTTACCATCCCTCGTAACTTTTTTTGAGTTTCTTTTCGTTGAAGTATGTAGTATAGATAAATTTAGAGGGCGTAGAGAAAATGACTTTAGCGAAGTTTCATCAAAATCGGTACATTCGTTTAGGCGCTACAGTCTATAGCAACGCAGGTTTTTCGGCCGCCATTTTGAAACTAGAAGGCGAATAATAATGTCGTTGAAGGAGGATGATCCTCGGGTGACCTCTGATTTTATATCCCAATTCGAAAAAAATCGGTCTAGTAGTTTCAGAAAAAATGCGCGGACGGCGGACGGCGGACTACTAGTGCACATATAAGAGAAAGTGTTGGACACAATTCAATGAAATTGACACTACATTATTTTTTCACCAAAGTCTACCTTTTATCTAACTTTGAGCCAAATCGAACGAGCCCTTTCTGAAATATTGGCATATCTAAAAATATACGTTTGCGCGTGCGTAAGCGGAAGTGCTGGATGGAATTTGATAAAATTGATATGGGACCATCTAGGCACTAATCAGCATAATCCCTGAAAATTTCATGAAGATTGGATGAACGGTACTAGGTGATATGCCCGTCACATCGATTTGACTACAGACAGACAGACAGATAGACAGACAAACAGACAGACACCGATCCAAATTTGATCCTTGATGTCTGAAACGTAAAACGCGAGTGAAAATTTTCGATTATGAGCAAAAAAAATTTTTTAATCTCTCGCACGAACACAATGCTTCCCTACCTTCGGTAGTGAGGAAGCAAAAAAAAAAAAAAAAAGGAAAGAAGAATGGGGAAACATATTGAATTTTCTTTCTAAAGCTAGCTCCCTGTCGTAAGCACTGCCTATAGTAATGCAATTTTAAATCCTCATTTTCATTTTTTTACCTGATAACTATAACTTTTTCTTTTGGAAATTTTCCAATGGAAGTAAATGTTTTACCGAACTTTTATTTTTAAAAACTGTTATTTATAAGTTCTGCTAATTTTTCCAAAGGTCAATCTAAAAAAAAAATATTTTTAATCTTAGTCACTGAAACAAACGACATATTGTAATTAATTGAATAATTTAAGATAAATTATAACTGTAATCTAAGCCCAGCAATCACTATTCGTTTCTCATTTAACGTAACTTTTTTTTAAGAACTTAATTAAGTAAAATTAAACTTTTACCATGAACTTAAAACTTTATTTTAAAAATATTCCTTAAAACTTTTATTTTAATAACCTTTTTTCACTAAAATATTCACAGAAACTGTTAAAATGAAACTAATTTTAAAAGTTTCCATAAAAGTTTCAATCTTCGAGGGTAAGCATTTGCATTCATTCAAACTTTATATTTTTAAATTTTTGTTGTAGATTTCGGAGAAGTTTACAAAACGCTCACTTTGTAATCTGCATTTCTTTTGCCACTTTTTCTAATTTTTGCATAACAGCGAAACCGAGCTTGTAGGGAAACTTTTCTTCTAAGAATGAACCAAAGACCCAGGGTTAATGTTTCCCAGTCGCTTTCAAAAATGTTATTAAAATTTTTGATAATTATAACTCATCCAAAACTTTGTATAAAGTATGCAATAAAAAATTACGTAAGATATTACATAAGTATTATATAATAAATGTAATGTTACCTATACTTTATGTGTATTAAAAAATAAAACCTTGAAGCGCTGGCTGGACTTTGGTGCTGCGACTTCAGCTGATCCCCTCTCTTCGGTATGTTGAGATTAGTCACAACTTATTACCGAACACGTCATTGATGAATGCGATGTTCTTACGAAAGAGCACTCTTGAAGAGACAAATCGTGTATTTCTATATCCTATAGGAGAACCTCTACCCCCCAAGATCGATAGCGCAAGAATCTAGCCCCTCCTCTCCCAAGATATTTTATTGCTCACCTTTTTTTACGGAAAGTAGAATTAGCAATATCGTAGATCGTATAACATTACACTGTATTTTGTTCCATGTTTCCCCCTTGCCCCTTATTCTGAAGATTTTCATTTCGATAATTCATAACCCTGTTGAAAGGCGCCTCTTTCAAAAATTTATATGGTTCAACTTGCGCCATAAAACCCCATTTTTGGCACCTCTCATTTCCTATATCTATTTATATTTCAATAGTATCATCTAATCTGAGTTTAGATTTACTCTATAATCTTTTCAGTGCTCTATTGCTAGGAATCCGCTGATGATCAAGGGTGAAAAAACTTTCTTGGAGTGTATAATTTTTAAACATTGAATAATTGTTCCCAAATCAAATTTTTAAATTTTATGCTCAATTAATTCCGGGACAGGACACTTACATCTTTAAAAACCACTGTTTTTATATTTAAGCACTTTATAAGTACGACTTCAAAAAGATTTATTTTAATTTCTTTTATTTTTCCAGTGCCATTTTGCATGTTTCATGTCGGTTTCGAATCATTAATCCACAACTTATAACAACATAAACTTAGGAGCGATGCAAGTGAGAGGCAGTTAAAAAACTGATTCTGAGAAATACAGAAATGGTTGAGAAAAACAAGAAAGTTTGATGCCTGAAATATATTTTTTTACTTTCACTTATAAAAAAAAAGAAAGTATTGCGATCGTGAAATTTTTTTAATCAAAGTTTTCAATGAAAATACGTCTTTAGATCCCCTGAGTCCAAATAACGAAGTCCCGCAAAATGGCCTGTGTGTATGTGAACAGCCAAGCTCAAAAATGAAAACTCGTACGAAACTTAAATTGTACGCAATTTCAATTTTTTATATCAGTTATCAATTTAAGGTTTTTATATAGTTCAGATGATACAGCAACTTTTTTGATATAAATCGGCTTACCGAAAGTGTCATTTTATATCAACGGTGAAAAACATTTTTGCAATTTTCTCAAAAACGGCTCTTCACTTCTTTATGGTTTCTTTTTATCTTCACTTCTATCTAATTCCGATGCTGATTAGCTATCTCATTGAAGATGTTAGGTACTTACCTGCGGCATATATATTATATGCCGACATTTTTATCAACATTTTGGTGTTCTTAAGTGCTGGATAGGAAGACGAGTAGGCATTATAATATATATATATATACATATGTGGCTTTTTACTAAAACCATTATTTTTTTGTTTTTAAAATTAGAAATGATACTATTAATTGTATCTTTACAAGATCAGGAGCTAACTTTATCAGTTTTAATCGATTTTTCTGTCATTATAATGATAATCAATACCTACTTTAAATAAGCATTGCCGTTCGTAGTGGCGTTAGATAAAATATAAATATATTGTTATTGTGAAGTTTTCAACTATATTTTTAACCATCATATCCAATATTCATGATGTCAATTTTTAAACTGTTGCATTCAAATGAAAGTAAATGTTTGTTCGCGCCAAGTGTATGTGGAAATTCTTGATTAATGCAACCGGAACTGTCATTATTGATTGAAACATAAGTACATTAAATAGATGTTGAATAATTTAGTTACATTATTATTTTACTTAAAGAATATTGTGTTAAACTATTTATTTTTATTCTAATGTAAGAAAAATACCGAGGTAAGTGATAAATCAATTTGTTTCTATTTTAATATCCTGAGCTATAAATACGCTTTCCTTGTTAGCTAAATATTAAATTTACAGGCAAGTTTTTTGTTTTGTTTTTTTGTGCTCATAAAATATGTGTGATTGTATTATTAGTTTTATGTTTAAAAATCTAATCCAACAATGAGTGGTAACTGTATAATAGAGGATTTGATATCTCCATTTCTGGGAGGAACTGTTCATTGTTGGAGTTGTTGTGAGGTGCCCCTAGTTAAGGTTGCATGACCGGTGTTCATTGTTGTAGGGTACCACAGTTTACCAATTTTACTAGAGTGAAATCTAGTAATATTTTTTGTTTCACTGCACAGTTCACCTGTCAGTGAATGAATTGTTAAGCCATCAGGTATGTAACTTTGCATAATCTAGTATTTTTTGTAGAGCAATTGTGATTATCCATTGAAATAAGGAATTCATTTTGCATTTTACTCAAAACTGGTTTAGGCGTTGATATTAAAATACTATTGTAAAAGATTATTTTTCTTAATAAATTCAGTTGGTGATTTTATTTTGAATTGTAATACTTTTTTTTGTGATTAAAGTGATGCTTTCTATTCTTAGATATGACACTTTTAGAGCTTGATGTGGATTGACTTTATATAAGATTAGTCATGGAAACAACACTTAATTTTTTTAAGAAGTTAATTATTTTAGGTTTTATTTTTTTGTCATGGTTATAAAGAAGTTTCTTATTCATCCCTCAATCATTTGATGGATTTGTTACATTTATAATTGAATTATTTTTTAAAGCTCCTTTATATAAATGTACAGTTAGAAATGTGTCTGAATGACTTGAAATACCTAAAGTCATTTCATTTAGTAACCTGGAAATGTATTTCCACTTGTATTTTAAATCACCATTACTTTCTGGACTCATTGAATACTTCTATATTTGTTGGAAACATTGTTTTCTACTATTCTATTTTTATGGCTTACCAGGTATTAATACCATAGTCATAACTAGTTTGATTTAACTGAATAATTTTCCAATTAAAGCTTTGTAGACAATTTTTTCTAAACCAAGCGCGCCTGTTGTTTAATCATATTTAATTGTGTCAATAATTTTATTTGAAATTTGCCAATAAGAATTTGTTGTTCAACTAAGTATTTAGTTTCACAATTAGCTCATTGAACTTTTCTCACAAAATGTTTACAATTTATTTTCACAAGCTTCCTATACATTACATCACCTAATACCTCACAAAGCCGTATTGATCAAAAGTTTTACATTTTTTTCTCTCTAGCTACAGTTTGTTGATTTGTTTTGCTTTCCTGATTGAATATTTTCAGTGATAAGGCATTTATTGATAAAAGGTACACGTTACCTATGTAAACAATTTTTGTTTGTTTGTTTTGTTCCGTTGATTCCCTTTCTTTATATCTAAACAAATCTTTTCTCTTTTATTGCTCATTTACTAGCACTTTTATAAGTTTTATCAAATTTTAGTTTCTTTGAAAAATAGTAAATCCGATACTAATTCATATATTCGAAACTGTCATGTCTGATTCATGAGCTTAGGAAAAATGCAAACAAAGTAATTAAATATTATCGTAATTATACAACTGTTTAATTGAACGCTACTAATTATAAATGACTGCTTTTGCAATGAATAAAACCCATTTTTTTTTTTTTAATTAAATTAATGTCAATGTATTGATGAATAGTGTTATTTTTACTTTTTCTTAGGTGTTATTAAAAGAAATTGACTAAGGGGAAGTTCATCTCATTTTTGCATCATATATGTTGGTCTAGTATGCAACAATATATTAGCTTATTGATTATATTATTTAATTACATTATCATGTAAACTTTAACATAATCTAAAGTGGCTTCTAGATTTACTATGATGTTTTCATTATATTTGTTTACTATTATTGTATCTAATAACTGATTTGTATTCTATCTCTGTATTGAAGGTTGTAATCTATAATGATTTATTTTTTATAGGTGATGACATTGGAGAAATCTGTATTGACAAACTACACATCAATGTCTCTGGACGAACGGTATGAAATGTGTCAGCATACATTGCAATCCTTGGAAAAAGCATTACCTTTAATATTTAATAGATATTTGTTGATATGTTCGTTTGAAATATATATATGTGTAAAAAGTTCAATATTATCTCATCTTATTCCTATGGCAGACACATTTGTCTTAAATTTGCCACGGAATAATTGCAATGTTGAAGAACATGAAAAATAAGCAACAGATTATCAATTTTAAAAGGAAAACTCACCTGATGGTCGAAGGACTATATAGGCAAGTCATTGTTTCTGCCTAAAATTTCTTCCTCTCTGATAGAGTATAAATTTTTGGATATAGTTTCATCTAATTTTATTTATCTTTAATAACTTTTCTGTTGCTTTACAAGTAGAAAGAATCATTCATTAATGATGAACACTAGGTATTAAATGGTTATGCAGATGAAGTGTTAATGAAACACTTGTATTATAAAAATAACATACCATTTACATGCAAGTCAAATGTAACAAACAACAAATACTTGAGTAAATTCTTGAATAACTATTAGAATTTTAAGTTTTATTTGATGGAGAGAAGGGGGATAAGTTTAGTAAATGGTTTTGGACAGCTTCACACAGTTACGCCGAGCGGATTCAAGGCTCCTTGTTAGAGGAATATCAGATTTGAGGCAGCAATTTGCATCAACGAAGAGTAGAAGACTGGCACTACAAATGTCTAGGCGCCCTTCTGTTATAGCTGCACTCAATTCTGGAAGAGTAAGTGTAATTTTCATTTATTTTTTTTAGTTTATTTCCAATATAAACTTGTAAAAGTACTTAAAAGTAATATCAACATGCTCTTATAACATGAGTTTTCAAATTTAAAAAAATGGACTTTATCTCTTTAGCATAGTATGGATTAATATTCCACTTAAATAAATTATTCCAATCTTTTTTTTTTTTTTTGTAAACAAGGAGTTTGAATGTCATGTGATTAAAATTGTTGAAATAAAAACATGTAAATTGGAGTGAAATAGGAAAATATTCTTCGAAACACTAATGAATTGTTTGTTTACCAAAATGAAAACAATCTTTAAAATAAAATGTTAAGAAAATTCTTTTAAAATCAGTACTAGCTTGATGATGAAATTAATATGTCTAAGAAATATATCTTTCTTTTCCCTTGCTATCTGCTTAAAAAAAATTCTTTAAAACTGAAAGGATTAAATTGGTTGCCTTTTCTGTTTATTATGTCTTGTCAATAAAAGTTGGACCGTTTAAAGTAAATGCATAAGTGAATGATCTGCTTGTCAGATATATCAGTTAAATATATAGTTTAATACATATATATGTTGTAATGTTCTTCGTTCCCTTCAAAGTAAACAAACAGTTTCTTATTCAATACATTTATTTCTCACACAATAATTAGTTCCCTGGTTGGGTTTAGACAAACTAACATATATCCTCATTTATACAATATAAAAGCATACATAATTTTATTACACATATTAATAAATTTCCATTCAATTTGTCGGGGTCTATTCTTGGCTCGCGTGTTTGATCTGTCCATTTATATATTCTTCACTCACCCTGTGCAACTACTTCTCTTCTTTACTGGTGCATTCACTTCCACAACCTTCTACTGTTGACACTGACTACTTGGGGACTTACATCTTCTCACAGATCCTGGTTCCTTCTGCCGTTTTCCTAAGTCCTCTTCACTCGCTGGCCGCTCACCTTCTGCCTTATCTATGAGGCTTGCTTCCCCTACCATCTGTACTTCCTGTCAGTAGTTCGTGATGTTACCACTTTCGTGCCAATATTCAAAAACACTGTGTAATGTTGACATTACAATATATATATATTTTGTAAGGTTGCATTCCCTTTGAAAAGTAAACAAAACAGTTTCTGAATCAAATAATATTTATTTTACACAATAATTAATTCTCAGGTTGGGTTGAGACAACAAACACACATTCCTCAATTATAAATATAAAATCATATATTATAGTACATAACATTTTTATGAATTTCCATACATTTGTCAGGGTCTAATCTTGGCGCGCTTTCTAACTGTCACCATTTATATTACTCATCCTGTTCTGTAGTGAATCTTCTTCTATATTGTGTTCAACTTCTACAATCTTCATTCAATCTTCTATTCTTTCTTTGTTAACTCACATTTTCTTCCAACGGTCCTCTTTACTAGCCGGCTGGTTACCTTATCTTTAACACCTGGCTCCTCTTTCCCCACCATCTGTCATTCTTGGTCTCTTTGTCCATTTTGACAGTAGTTCGTGACGTCACTGCGCTCACACCACTATTCAAAATCACTATGTAATATTTACATTACAATGTATAGTTAATAAATTACTATATCAAAGGGTATGTAGACCTTAATTGGCTAAAGTAAACTAAACTTAAAGTTTTATAGACAACTTAGATAAAAAATGTAGAAATACATTTTTCTTTTTTATAACTTCAGGTAGGAAATTAATTTACCACCAAATAATATTTTAAACTCTCACCATTTAAGAAACATAACTGATATGTAGAAAGTAAAAATACATAATTTAAATATTATTTAATGTAGAGTCAAAATCACCAAAGGGTCATTCTTATATTATTTTACCATTTAGCATTTCTGAATCTAGCAATCCGGTAAAAGTAAAATATCAACTTTTTGAAGAAACATTGATCTCAAATACTAATATAGATATCGTGGATAACAAACTTCAGTTTCAATAGTTAATATTAGTTTTGGTTTTTTAATTTTTAATTATTTTTTTAAATCATAACTTAATCAATATGGACTTAAACAGGGTGGCGACCGACCTAGAAACATGGGAAAAGTCGGGGACTTTTTTTAGAATGTAATTATTTTTTTCAAATTAGAAATAAATATACAATGGATGTCATTTATAATGAACTTCGTTGTTGTAAACAATCATGGTCGCTATATGCATCCACCTTTGACTATCCATAACGGCACTGGTTGTTCTATTGAAATCAAACAAGAGTAATAAATAAAATTTAAGCTTAATGAGCTTATTTGAAAAGAAAAACACCAATATTATTTACTATTTGTAATATCTATGAACATATTTATTTATTTTGGGTTTATTATTGTTTTATAAACTAATGAACTTTTTTACGGCAATTCTGTCTATAGATAAACGTCTATTAGAACATTTTTCAATCTTAAAATGTTGAGTCCGATCAACCATTAATTTTCTAAAAAATTGTGTTGAATATAGTGTCATTATAATTCTCATAGCCCTCATAATGCTTTTAAGTAAGTAATTTAAGTATTGAAATGGGAAATCCATTGCGAAAAATGTGAGAAGTTTTTATTTTTTTAACTTGTATATATGGGTTTAGACATGTTAAAACAAAATTGCTAATGCTGCCCACCAAGAGAAAACTTTTTACAACCAAAAAAAGCCAGATTTTTTCGATATCTTTTTTTTGTTTTTTCATTTATAACTCCTTAACAATGCATCAAACACTTTTTAATAAATTAAAAAATGTTAAATTGTGCTTCGAACGAGTACATACAATTTATAATTTGGTTATGTGGCAATGTATAAAACTGTGGTCAACCAGTGCTGATTTTTACTAAACTTATCAAAAACTAAGACAAATTACTATAAATGGCCCTGCAACTTAGAAATGAGTTCACTAAGAGGAAAAACCATAGAATCAAAGTTGTACAGTTTTAAATTTTGCATCCAGTGAGTACCAACTAATTTAATGTTGGTTACTTACTCCGAATAAAATCTGTAATCTCCCGATGGTTAGAAATTAGTAATGAAGATAAACGTGATTTTCAATATTTCAACAGTATGGGTATTCTTCTGAATTATTACTTTCACTTACTTATATATATTAAGGGACAGTATTGTGATCGTGAAAATTTTTGAATCTGAGTTTTCAACGGAAATACATGTTTTGAGTTCTCCTGAGTCAAATAACCAAGTCTCGCAAAATAATCTGTGCATGTGTCTGCTATATGTATGCGAACAGACTAGCAGTGCAGTGCACAATCTTAACATTAGGGGCAAAAGAAATCCTCTCTTATCACTACTATCATTCTGAAATAGTGTTATTAAGATATTTGCAACAAAATCTTACCTTTTTTGTCATTAAAAAACTCAGGTATCTCATTTGGACATGACAGCTATGTTAATTTTTTTTCTTTCTGGTACTAAAAAATAATAAACTAAACATTCACTTGAGGGCTTAACATATTATTACCTGACTAAGCGAAACGAAACGAGGGTGTTTAGGTCGTCCGCTAAAAGCTCTGTAACCCTTTTTTGAGCGAATTGCTGGATCAATTTTTAAGTTTGATGGCTCAAATATTCAGTGAGATTCTCACAGTGTTTTAAAGCAATTTGAGCTAAAAATACTTATTAAATAAGACTTGTTTAATCGATTTGCAAAAAGCCTTGTAATACTGTTTTGAGTCAATGACTAGATTGATTTTTAAGTTTGATATATTATATTATTCGGCCAGGTCCTATGAGTGTTTAGAAAGCGAAACGACACAAGGGCAATGTGTTCGGTATGTAACACTAAGTATAAAAGTTATATAACACTCTTTTGAATGAACGGCTTTATCAATTTTAAGTTTGATGGCTCAAATTATTTCCTGATATTTTAAAATAAAATTAGTTCAAAATTCTGTCAAATTACTGTGCAAAGTGTGTTTAATCACTCTGCTATAAGGTGTGTAAACATTTTTTGAGCGGATGACATGATTAATTTTTAAGTTTGATGGCTGTAATTACTCAGTTAGATCCTGTAAGTGTTTTGAAACAATTTGAGCTCAAAATATAGAGAAAACAAAAATTGAAAAAAATTGATTTTAGTTCAAGTATCTCGATTATTAATTGATTTGAAATGTTATCATGTGATCATTTGTTATTAAAATGAATTGTTAATATTTTAAAAACTAAAATTGCAAAACAAAAAATTAATTTAAAAAATCCAACTACATTAATTAAGAAATTTTATGCACCTTGTGGGAATGTATTTCCATATCTAATGAAACATATCGAAATTGACGTCTATGGATATTTAAACTTGTAGTGGTTGGATTCCTTTCACTACACATTACAGCTCAAGGCAAATATATTTCGTCCCATGTATCGGTGTATGTCAAGATCCGAACGAAAGAGTCTTGAGGATGTTAGGAACCCTTAGATGTCAATGTCAACCAATCTATCAAAATGTTTCAGTTGATATGGAAATAAATTCCCTTATGGTTGATAGAATTTCCCAATTTCTGTAGTTGTTTTGTTTTTTAAATTAAAATATTTTTTTTTATATTTGTGGATACCAAAAGATGAAAAAAATAATAACACTCAAGTGTATTTTCAACTTAAGTTCAAATTTTTAAAACAAATTTGAATGAGTTATATTTCTGAAAAGCCTAGAGATAGTGATTAAATTCTGGTTAAGTGAAGAATTTTATTTGAGTGTTGTCGTCCATGAATTGTACTCAATGCCTTTTTGAAGCAAATAACACAATCATTATTTTCAAAGACTTTTTTTTCTATTGCCCTCCAATCTTGTGCATGTTTTTATTTGAACAATTTTAATGGTATAGCCTTTTAACTATAGATCCATGCTGTGTGCTGGTGAAAAAATAATTGTGAAGTATGGGTGATATGCAGTGGATTAAACAAGTGATGGAAAATTGTCACATTTCGATATGATAGCGTGTTGCAAGTTAAAATAGTTTTTATAATAATATACCAAAACTTATTTCATAATTTTGTAACTTATCTATTTATTTTGTATGATTTTTATAAATATATTTTTACTTTTGTATTGGGTTGGAACATATGGAATGTCATTTCCTTCTGTTTAAGGCAAATTAATAAAAACAAACTTAAATGTTATTATTCAGAGTAATCTTTGTTATATTCAGTATATATCTCTTGACACCCAACAAAGTTTTTTTATTTCTTGTTCGAAGAAAGTTTTTTATAATCAACAGAATTTAATTTTATCATATTTATATCTTGGAATATTTTGTTTTAAAACTGCATCGATTGCTTGAAGAATAAAAAAAATAGCCGGTTGGAGATAGATCAGATGAATATGGTAAATCTTTAATTTTCAGATTGCGTGATTCTTTTAAGGGTGTCCAACAATCATGCCTTCAAGTATTGGCGTGAAAAAGTATAGTTGCTCCCCCATTGGCAAGGTATAGACATTTTTCTTTTAATTTTTAATGAAATTCTTTTACTAATGTGGAGCAGCCTTTATTAAAAACAATGTTAACTAATCATTATCGAAGTTAGTTTCTTACCTTTAATGAGATTTTACCTCTTGATCCATTTATTGGTTTATTTACAGTTCTTTCATATACTATACCACTCCCAAAATCCATATCGAGTGGTTCGAAATGCTTCAAAAGGTTATGTGTAAGTTTAAATTCATATATGAATAAAACCCATCATTTTTCAGACTCTTTATTTAATAAAAAATGGTACATTTTATTCTATTTATTTTTTGCATTAAAATGAAAAAATCAGCATAGTACCAGAGATATGTTAGGTATTTTAGTAAAATAAAGAGATAGTTTCTTAATTTTTATTTTTTCCTCTGTCCTGACCCACTTGCTCTTAGAGGAAAGAGCTATATTTTCTTAATTAAAAAAAATTTCTTTTGCATTCCACATGGCAATTTTTAACCATCAGAGTAGGAAGGTGATTATTCATTCTATGGGTCTAGAATATGACACCTGACTTCTTGGCCATCATAGTCTAATGTAAACAAATCTGACATTTCATCTGTTCCAACCCTATCAATATACATATGTAATTTCATATTTTTGCATATATTTTTTTTAGGCTTTTGGTCCCTCCATAGGAAGACGTGGAGGTCAAATAGGAGGACGAGGTGGTATTAGAAATTTTGGCCGTGGAAGAAGATCAAGCAGTGTTGTCAGAGGAGGAAACCGTCCATTAAGTATACAATTTAAATAAATAATTATTATTCTGTTCATTATACCTAGATTTGGTGTCTTGAGGTTTTCATTTTTAAAATTAAGGCCGTTATTCCACCAAAAACAATTATTCCACAAAAAGAATATAACGAAATGAACAAATTTGCAAGTCTAAATCAAACACGATTGCTCGCTCATTCACAACACACATCAAACAACAAACATTAATTTGATTTTAAAAATGCTAAAATCATAATATACTTAAGTAATCTAGTAACAATAAAAGAAAAATTATCGAGTATATATATATATATATATATATATATATATATATATATATATATATATATATATATATATATATATATATATATATATATATTACTAAATTTTAATTTGAAGAGTTCTGTAAACCACCATACAGATGTGGGCAATATAAATATCTTCTACGGAAATGTGATAAAAGATGTTCGCATATGATACAATTAATTTATAAGCAATATTCAAACCATAATTTAGATAATGAAGAGAATAGTTGGGGTGCTCAGTCAAAAAGGAAGGCAAGAAATAAATTATAATATTTATTTTTTACATATGCCCATATTTTAAAAATATTATATATTATATTATTTTTTACATAATTTAGATAATATAATAAACCATTGAAAAATAATAGAACCAAAACCCCTCTTCCTTTTACCATCCCCACCAGGATGATTTAAGTCAGTCCCAGAAATGACATAGGGAAACCCTAAAATATTAGAAAATTTTTAATTGTTCTCAGAAAAATGAAAATTACATTGAATATGGAGATTTAGTGGAGGACTCAATTAAGGTAACAATGAAGTTTTTATAATATGTAAAGTTTACATACATGAAAGGCATTTAAAAAAGTATAATAATTGGTGTAAAGTATAAATTTATGAAAAAGATTAGTACATTAACTAATTCTGTAAAATAAAATTAATCTTGTTAGTGTAAATGCAATTAAATTGTAATCTAACAATGACCACAAAATTTCCAGACTTGAAAATGGCCCTAGTGATAGCCAAAATATTGTCGAGATGAAATAAAATGTTCGTGGAATAACGGCCTTAATTTTTAAAAATATAAATAAATTATGAATTTTATTTGTTCTATATATACCACTGTATAATTTCACAAAACCATTCCATAACGGATAGCCACTGGTCCAGCAGATTGTAAATTGTGTCCGTTACTTCATAATTTCACGTTATTATTTTTAAACTATCATTGATCTTTTCTAACATTAGAAACCAAAAATGATAAGAAAAGATCAGATATAGATTATTATTTTAAGGGAGCGAGAGACCGAGCTGCCTAACTTGTGTGCAAAACATGCGTTGCCTGGAAATCCAATAAACTAAAGATTATGACTTTGAGTTCCAGATGCTGATGGGTCTTTTAATTAACTCTGGCATTAACCTCCTATCCCCTCGGGGAAATATATGTGGGAAAAACCCCATTTTGTTAAAAAAGCTAGGTAGAGGAGAAAAAGAGAGAAAAAAAAAATGACAAGAATATTAACACTACAAAAATATCTATCTATAACACTTTATTTCATAAATCTAAATTATTCTTTACTAGCATAATTCTTGGAACTATTTTTATTTTATTTTGTTGATTCATAACCAAATTATGAATGCAAATTCCTTTATTTTAATGAGATTACCTTCAAACTAAGATTTTAAAATAAGCGGACAAGCAGAAAAAAAAATTGTGAAAAGGAAGTTTATATTAAGAAAATAAGATATCACTACATCAGTTGCAACTTATAAGAAATGGATGTGTCAAAGAAAGAGCATGTGCAAGAATAAATTGTTAAAAATATTTGTGGCGTCATGTCTGTCTTTATAGATTTATTTTTATTTTAAAGGAAGAAAATGTAAAAAAAAATTCTTTGAGACACAAATAATTTGATTCTAAGTGATAAAACTGTCTCCAGTCAGTGGAGATTAAACAAAAATCACTTTGTGATCGATTTGTTGTTTTGTTTCTGGTTTGAAATATTGCCAGCACAGAATTGTGGTGTTTTATTTAATTATTTTTTTAAAAAATCTACTTCTTTATGAAGCAGTCTATTGATAGTTTCATTTCAAACGAAGTTTAAAAAAGCCTTTGTCTTGTCCAATCATATATGAGAAAGCCATTTATTTTAATTATAAGCTCAACAAGGAGACTACTCTTTCGTTATTACTAGTTCCTCGTTACAACTAAAAGAGGAACTAACGCTGTAAATTATTGTGACAATTAGTCCAAATGATTGGCACTCAACTGCACTACTGAAATTGTAAGTATATCAATGGTAATATGAATATAATGTTTAAATGTCATTAATAACATTTTAATCCCGTTCTAAGGCTGACCGGCCACCGAAAGCACAGTTGAGCTGAGCGTAGCTTCCAAAACTGAATCAAAAGTTTTTATGATAGGCCAGCCACCAGAAGTGGAGCGCAGTTGAGCGGCCTAGCAAGGGTCAGCTCAGCTCAGCTTTGGCTCAACCGAGGTTCGGTTTTGAAAGCTGACTCAGCTTCCGCCATCAGATCTACTAACCACTGCCTCACAGCCATGTGGCTTTGTTCCTCAATGTCATCCTTTTTTTTCCACTGCACAACCTTTTAGATTATTTTTTTTTGATTCAGTGTAAAATATGCTATGGATGTGGAAGAATTCGTAATCAAATGTGTAAGAGAAAATATTTCATTTTATGCACAAATATTCGATTTTTCTTTTCAACTTCGACATCATCAACTTTTCTATTATTTTGAAAATATTATATATGTCATATATTATGTAAAAGCAATCAAATTTTTTGTAGTAACTCCCAAAACTTAGTTATTAGTAATAATAATGCTTTATTTATTCTGGGACAAGTCCCTTTAGAATAATGTACAGAAATAATAATGTGGGCTTTGGAGCCTCAGAGAATTATTACAATATAAACTGATTTATATAATGAATAAATTAAAGAAAAGAATATTATTTATCTTAAATCTACAATTAAAAAAAAAAAAAAAAGAAATAAAGTATTTAAAACAAACTAATTATTTATATACATATTTACAACATCTATTTATAATTTTATGAGAACTGAACGGACAAGAGGTGATTAAACAGGCAGGATTTAAAGGTGGGAAGGGTATTGGAGCGACGGATGTAGGATGGGATAGAATTTCATAGGGATGTGGATCGAATAATGAAAGATCTAAATGAAATGAATAATGAAAGTAGCGGTGGGATCTTATATACAAATCTGAAGACCAGTAACGGGTTTTGCGGTAGCGGACAGAAGATTTGAATTGAAGGAGCTCGGAGATTTATGAAGGGTGGTGGGATTGGATGACTTGGAAGAGGAAGGATGCTAGTAAGGATAAAGCCATTTCAGCTCACCATATTAATGGGAAATAGAGGCGTCCCTTGGGATTCCGAAGATGAATCGTACAAGGCAATTTATGAAACATTTTAGTTTCGCCTCGAAATCCCCGAACAGCAATAATCGATGTAAGGAAATAATAAGGAGTTAATTGGTTTAAAATGGAAATAAGTAATTTAGTCGTTTTAAAATGGAAAAGGCATGGCGGGAAATATCGGATACATGGTGTTTCCAAGAAAGGGTTTGATCAAAGGTTATTTCAAAGTTCTTAATGGTGGAATAGAATTTGATGGGATTATCGTGTAGAAACAGGATCGGTATGTTATGAAGAGTTTTAAGGAGGTGACTGGAGCCTATTAAAATTGCCTTGGTGCCTTGCATTCAACTTCAACTTGTTCGCATCCGCCCAGTCACAGATTATGTTTAAGCCTTCTTGAAGTTTTTTGGTGGCTGCTAATAGATCAGAAGGGGGGAAGAATAGAAAATATTCTTAGAGAAGAATATTTTCATTATACCTTATTCATTGTAAATAATCTCGTCAAGAATCCTCTGTTCCACAATACGTACATTTAACTTCCATTTCTCAGCCTCACTGCAAAAGCCTGTAAGGAATCGTAATATTAAGTCAAATGAATAAATAGATCATGTACAATAGTGAATTTCATATTTGATCTGATGCATTAGCTGGCTTGACAGGTGGCTAATTTGATGGCTTTATACTAACAATGTGAATGGACAATTTTTCTTTGATTTTGTGTTTTAAACTATTTAAAGAAAACTTCAGAAAAGAAGAGTACTGGGAATGATATTTTTAAGTTTTTTCTCTCAGGTATAAGTATATAATGGTTTAATTTACAATCTGACCTGGAGGCATCATAGAGTTGTTTATGGCTCAATTCCAGTATACTAAAAAGTTTGTCTTTCACTTTATTTTTAGAGTATCTTAAAGATACTTGCTAGCATAATTTTCTACATTTTTTCAGATTTATTGATGTTAAGGATTACTGCTCTGTTCTCAAGAGTAAGGATTATTTAAAGTATAAATCCATCCTGATATCATTGGTGTACTAACCAACTTGACCACTGATACCCAACAAGTATCTTAAAATTGAAGACCTCTCAAATTATAAGTTATTAAATTTTAATTGAATTATTTTTGCAGGAAGAAGTGGTAGTATAGGTAGATTAGCGAGAAGTCAGAGCCTTACATCATTAAATTCAAGAGCAGCTTCACCTTTTAGAGCAAGAGGTAGAGGAAGGGGAGGAAGAATTATAGGTGGAAGAGGAAATCGAGGTGGTAGTAAGTTTTTCTTCTGGATTTCTAATTTTTTATTCACTAGAAGTTTTTAAAGTACAAAAGATATACTAATTTAAAGTATTACAATCTTGAAATAATTTGGAATCCGTGTTCTCTCACTCACTCACATACTGGCGCTACAGTCCATGTAGGACCTTGGCCTCCTTCAACAGCTTGCTCTAGCGTATCTTCAGCGGTATACACTTAAAGCCTTCAGATATGCCTCTTCATCATCCAGCCACTGCAGTCGAGGCCTCCCCCGACTTCGTCCACCACCTGGCTTTTCGCAAAGCAGTTATTTAGGGATTCTACAAAAGTCCATTTTCTCTATTTGGTCCAGCTGGATATAAGACACCTCTCTCCAAACAAATCCTGCAACTCCCGCTTTAACGGCACTGGATATTTGACGAAGAACTTTTCTTTCCTAAACTTAGAAAAATCTCTTCTTATCTGCTGTTAAGGTCCATGATTCGCTTCCATAGGTGACAGTTGACCTTACTATTGTATTTTAGATCAAGAGTTTTTCCTTTCTTGAGAGGTTCCCGAACTTAAAGATCTTCTGCTAATCCCATAGACAGCGGTTTCTAGTTGTGATTCTGGCTTATCGGTTTCAGTCAAATTATCCGTGGTGGCCTGAATTCTGCACAACATTGTATTTTTTACTCATCTAGTTGAATTGTCTGCTCTTCACCATACGTTTTTGTTATCTGGACATTATTCTCAAGCCCGAGTTCCCTCGCAGCTCCCAGGAACTCTTGCAGTGCACCTGATAAAGCTTGAAGTGTTCTTGCTGAGACTATCACATCATTCACAAAAGCCAGATGTTGCGTCAGGCGGTTTAAAATGGTACCGCCCTGATTAGTTCTTATTTTATGAATGGGGGACTCTAATACTAGATTGAAGCGCAAAACTGACAGTTGGTCAGTCACCTTGGCCTAACTTTCCCTACCTTAAAACCTTTTGAGTATCTCCGTCTGATCTTGACCTGACAAGATATATTTTTTAGTCATACGGATAAGCCTAAAGGTACAATTTCGCTGGCGTGGCCTACAACAGCAACCACTATTCCACGCTGCCGCTGTTGGTGTAGCTATTTCGCTGAAACTGCTCACTGGGGCTGTTATAACCTGCCTATAACCTTTGAACATTTCGCTTTATCTTCAAAGATAAAAAAAATGGACATGCTTTCTCTGACTACCGCTTTTTTATTTGAGGAGGAAGAAGAAGAGGAAATGTTGTTCATAAGGAGAAGGAATTATCAGTATTTCAATGAGATGCTCATCATCCATATCATCAAATCCCTTCTTGGACATTGTTTGCTATTGTCTAGATAAACAACCAAAACTTGAGGAACAAATAAAAAAGAAAAAAACGGCGGAATACACCGTACTAACAACAATATATATATTAGTTTCAAAAGTGGTAGTAATTATTACAAAATTTATTAGTAATAAATATCATATATTTCTAATTAAACCACAGCAGGCGATATTTTATTGTTTTATCAATAGTTATCAGTAAATCCACACTTTAATTAAAAAATAAAAATAGATTTTTCAATGAGTGGATTTTAGTATTTACCGGTCATCAAAATTTTTTGGATTCTTTAATTTATTCAATATTGTTTGGATTTAGGTATATTTGAATTTTGCTGTAAAATATTGTTGGTTGTTAAAAAATAATTTACTATTGCATTGTTTAAGTTTTAAACAATATTTCTTATAATTTTGCCAGACTTGAAAGAAACAGGAAATAAAATGTATCAATGTGACTGTTATCATCAAAACAATGCTCTGATATGATAACATAACCTACAACCGCCAACAGCTCCACTGCTTCGAGAGCGGTCAGATAGGAGCAGCTTAGATATGACGTCATACCTGGACTGCTGAGCAGCGCCAGTGAAATAGGTTCCTTTCTATTCCACTGAAGCAGTGGTCAACCGCAAGCAGTCGCGGTCGATGGCCTCACCAGCGAAATAGTACCTTAATAAGTTTTCTGGGTATCCCTAAAGAATCCAGGCATTTGTACATATCTTTCCTGTCAATAGTATCATGAGCCTGTTTGAAATCGATGAACACAAGTTGAAGAGTTAAATTAAACTCATTTAATTTCTCCACCATTTGCCTTACTGAGAATAGCAAGAGAGAGAATGGCATATGATCAGTGGTAGATGGACCTGGTCTAAAACCGCATTGATATTCTCCTTCTACTTCTGAGCCCATTTTAATAATATCTATAGAGCTGATTGCTATAGAGTGCACTTTGTATACCGTTCCAAGTATTCCACGAATATTTCTACATTCTGTTTGGCTCCCCTTGGGAAGTCCAAACATCAAAAATAATCTGGTACACATCTTCCTGGTGCCTTGTTGTTTCTAAAGCAGACCCTACACAGTAATTCATGAATGAACGTCACAAGAAGTTCCAAGATTGCCCGCGATCGCTTTGATCATGAAGACCCTTACACGTTCAATCATTACTGATCATTACTTATCGTTGCTGATACCAATTTAGCTCAGTTGTAAACAAAGAAACAGCATAGATATGCTTATTTGGACATTGTCATTTATAATATTGGGCATCAAGAGAAAAACGGAGATATAATAATTACTTCCTAGTGCCTGAAAATCGTTTGGACCAAAGTTAGAAAAATATAAGTCAACTACATACAAAAATCTAGGAAAAGTATTGCGAAAATAATCAATTTGTTAAGAAAAATGGAAAAATTAATGGCAAATAAACACAACAGTTAAAGATTTTTTTTTCTATAAGTAAATTGTGAAGTTTCCACTTTTTTTTCTCTTCAATTTATTGCCTACTTGACTATTTAAAGAAAAAATAGTTGAAAATGGTTAATAATAATATAGACTAGGGATATAAACAACTATTTACTTAATAACGAGACCTAGGTAAACTAACCTATCTAGTAGTAGTCTCATAGAAGGTTAGTCTCAATAGAAAATCGTTTTGACAAAAGTTAGTAAAATATAAGTCTACTACTTACAAAAATTAAGGAAAGGTATTGCGAAAATAATAAATTTGTTGAGGAAAATGGGAAAAGAATTGATAAATATAGACAACGTTTAAGTTTTTTTTTTTCCTAAAGTAAATTGTTCCTAAAGTTTCCTCATTTTTTTTTTTTTTTTTTTTTTAATTTGTTGCCCTCTTGACTATTTAAAAGAAATAGTTGAAGATGGTTTAAAATTATAAACAAGGGATATGAAAAATTATTTAACTATTTACATATAATGAAAACAGAAATTTATAATGGTTGTGAGGCCTAGGTAACCTAACCTATCCGGCAGTATGGTTAGTCTCCCCACTACTTTTAACTCAGTCCCCCCTCCACTTCTCGTGAATGTACCTTTGATTTCCGGATGTTCAGAAATCCGCAGCGCACCACCATCAGTACTTCATTCACTACCTTACACGACAATTCGGAACGTCATTAGTGCAATTCCGATTGACCGTGTAGGTCAAGGGTCGTGACCCTTAAGGTCCAAGGTGATTTCGTCTTTTTCAGGTGGAATATCTTCTTCCAGTTCAGTTCCTCTTCTAAATGGTTCCTAGAATCCATGTTTTCTACTGAAATATACTTTTTGAAGTTCCTTTTTGTCCAAATAACCTAATCTTGTGAAAATCGTTGGTATGGGTGAGCATCTTGGTTGAAAAATGAGAATTCTTATGAAACGGAAATTATGTAACTAAAGTAGGAATGTGCTTGGAATGCTACAGAAACTTTTTTGACTAATGAGAAGCGGCACTTTATATTATAGATTTTACAAAATCATCTTAAAATTGACTCGTAACAATTTTAATTAAACTCATTATATCAATGAAAAATCAAATATTCTATTATCAGGTAGGTATTAACATCATTGAAATAAGTCCCACATTAATGACAAATTTTCATCATTTTTTTCTATTTGCAATAATTAACCATCTCACGTTGATAGTAGTAAAGAAAAATGAATAAATATAAACTATGAAAGAGTTTGATAATTGAATAAAAGATAAATAGAATCTGGTGAGTGCTTAGACAAAGTATTAACGAAGACAACCGGTGTGACCGAACCCCTCTAATCATACCTCAACGTAACGGTAAACTGAACTACCTCTTATTTAACCACAAGCTGTCAGAATTGTCATGTTTGGATTTCATCTTACTGCGGACCGCTAGGTACTTATTTAATAGAGGGTACATCTGACTGCTATCTGCCAATGTTTATAATCTTAACACTGATAAGCTCTTCGTATTCATATTTATTGTATTGTATTGAAGTTTTGGACAAAAACAAAAACAAATGTAATAATATTTTTTTTTTTTATTCATTGATATTTACAACTGTATTATAAAAAAAATACAACTAGTAAATGTGCACTAAATGTAATAATTAAAAAATATATATATACTTTTATTTTACAACATATATATTAAAACATACCAAAACATTATAAATATATAATTAAAAAACATTGCAACTTATATATAAAAATAAATGAAATAAAAAAAAATAAGCAAAAATAGATGAAATAATAAAAAAAACACTTAAACAGCATATGTACATATAAAAGAAACACGACCAAGAAACTATATAAACATAACATGAAAAAATTTATTTTAACTGGATTTATTTTGTAGGGAAAATAGTTTTATGGTATTTAAAATAGCAAGGAAGGGATCCGTCATGGGCACCACAAACTTCTCTTAAAAATTTGTTCCATGTTACGATAGTTGCGTTGGATAGTTTAAGCTGCTCTTTCCCCCCACTGTATTGTTGTTAAATTATGGGACCACCCATAAATGAATTTTAAACCTGTTGAAAAAGAAATCCTCGACCCCTCTAACCCCGTTCCTTTGTTTATAGAAACGGTTTTGTTACAACTACGAAAGCATCTCCATTTAATCTTCCCGTTGAACTTCATTTGATGACCTTCATGACAATATTTGACCTTTGCAAATATCCCAGCGTCTTGAAAATATTTTATAGCCTCTTCTGAAGACGGCAATTCCCACAATGTGACAACATCCATAATTAAATAACACTAACTCACAGCTAACACAAAAAACAAAAAGTAAACAAGGGAATAACTTAGGTTAGATGAGATAAGGGAGTTTATGTGAAATGAGATTAGATAAGAATGGAGGTTTTGACGCTACCTGCTATTAAATAAGTACCGACATGAATTATGTCATCTGGTGCTTCACAGATTCACATGTTTAATGCTAATGGTATTACAATTTGGTATTTATGGCATGGTGAAATCTAAGTATTGTGAGATAATGGATCTCCTGAACCTATTGAGATTTGTAAAATCTTTTAATCCATGTTAAACAGTCAATACTAATATTCCAAAGACTGAAATAGTTAGTCCTTTGAACATTTGTCTGTTCTCCGTTTATTGTTCTAAGAAACAGAATATGTTCCAAGCATCTTATTTTATTCTTAACCTGCATTTTAGAGACACAAGATAATGGATTTGAAATTTTTCTAATAGGGCGTATTAAAAAAAAAAAAGACCATTTTTCTACAAAATATTTGTATTATTATTTCTTTGATATAAAAAAACAATTAATACTCAAAGTATAGTTCATTGTTATCTGCTATCTGCTAGCCAATTGCTTGATCCCACGCTGATACCAATCTTTGAGATGGCTGTCAAAGAACTCTTGGACCGCAATTTCAACTTCCGCAAAATTATTAAATTTTTTTCCTTGAAGTAAATAAGTAATAATCCAATGGTGCTAGGTCTGGACTACATGGTGGATGAGGCAGGAGTCTCATATCGCAAGGGTTTTTTAAATAAATTTTCAAACATTTCAAATTTCTTGCTGATTGTTGAGGAGTAAGTTCGTAAGGGACCAGTCTACTGCTCTTTTTCACCTTCTCCATGTAGCGTAGATGGTGACTAACAGAATCTTTCAAAACAACACACTCCCTGGCAAGTTCGTGAGTACTCGTGGATGCATTTGACTTAACAGCTTCCTGCAAAACCTCATCAATATCCATTAATGATCGCTCAGAGCCCTTCCTTTTCTGCGTCGTATCTCTACTGCTAAATTTTTCAAACCATCGCTGTGCAGTGCACTGGTCATGGACACTTTTCTCTTCATATTTAATAATTTCATGAGTTGCTTCAGCAGCTGTGAAATTTTTTTTCCAGTAATGCTTTAAAATTACGAGACTTTCATAGGACACTATAATATTTCTTCTTTGAAACAAGTAACTGAACTGAGGCTTTTTTTTAAGAAGTCAAATAGGATTAAATTATCTTAAAGAATGCTCTAAACGAATTATTAAGTATTGGTAAGTATTTAATAGGATTAAAATATTTACAGTCCTTTGAAATCTTGAATTTAATAAAATGGTCTTTTTTTTAATACAACATTGTAAAAATTTTATTTTAAATCACAATTTCAGTCAGCAGTTTTCGAAGAGGTGGACTAAACCAAAGGGGTGGCAGAGGTAGAGGTGGCTTTGTATCAAGAAGAGGAAGAGGTGGCAACAGCGGTGGAGCTGGAGGCTTCGGAACAAACAGAGGAAGGGGCAGGGGAGAAGGGAGGTAATAATGATCATTATTGTGTATCATGAGGAAAAATTTGGAATCAGATGCTTTCTGTATGTTATATTTTTCAGAATAGGAGTTTTTTCTTGTTTTTTTTTTTTTAGTTTATATTAAATGTGAGATTTTATAGTGAAGGCAGTTATTTCACATACTACTTAGATAATAATAATAATAAAATGCTTAACGAATCCAAAGGTTCGATGACGACACCACCAATTGCTTATTACATACCTCCCTCCACCGTTTGCCGTCCAAACCCTTCAGATTGGTTTTAACGCAATCTTCCCATCTTAGCTTCAGTCTACCCCTCGGACATTTACCATTCGGTACAGTAAATATTAACCTTTCAGGAATTCTTTCGTTACTAAACTCATTTGATTCTCCTCGATTATATTAACCGGATAAAGTTCATAAATTTTGTCGTCTAACCGTTTTAACTCATCCTTCTTCGGTCCGCATTCTAGATAGAAACAACACAAAATTTACATTAACAAAGAATGGTAAATAATGGTCATTCTTTTAAAATGTTTGTTCCGTTAAAGGTCTTGAACCAATTCTTATGGCTCCTTCATTTTATTTTAATAAGATTAGGCAAGTATTTTTGGTTTTCGATGACTAGGTCGAGGTTCATTCAGTAGGTCCACAAAGAAAGAAATTTCAATCCCCCAAGGCCGGATTTGAAGTGGTCCCACCTAAATTTTAGAATATTAAAACTAGCGATGTATAACTCTGACCTTAATCCGCACCCTTACCCCCTGGCCTAGTGGAATTCCTGTGTAGCTGAAACGTCGAGGAAGAGGAGGGTAAAAAAAACCAAAGTGAAGCTATGAGGGTAAACCTGATCTTGCATGGTTAGGTTTGAGAGGCAGTCAATGGATGGAACCACCTGATTCTACTGCTTTATTTTGTTCTTAATGACCCTCATGTAGTTAATTGCATATTTTTATTTAATCAAAAATGGAAAATCAGCATAACGATCTATAATTTTTAGTTTATAAAACTCAGCATTATTATAAATGTGAGTCAGTCTTGATTTTTAAAAACTGTTTAATCATAATTATAGATTTTAGATTTTGTATCAATATAATGTAATTCTCTTGCTATTTTGTTTTATTTTTATATGTAAGTGAAACATTTTAACTTTGCAACTAAGTTGTTAATTTTTCTTTTAACCCCCAAAGACGAGGTTTTGGAGGTAGGGGTAGAGGTAGAGGAGGCCAACGTCCACCACCGCCTTCCAAAGAAAAATTGGACATGGAATTGGACGAATACATGGCGTCGAGCCGAGCAACCCTCGACAAAGAGATAGACACCTACATGAGCCAACCTCAAGAAAAATGGGAATAAAGCATATGACTGGACTGTTACCAATTATTTTTGTCCGATTGAATATTGTAATTTTATTTTATTAATTTTATTTAGTTCATAATGTAAAATAAAGTTTTCTTTATTTAAGTCCATTATTGAACTTAATAATTAGTTTTAAGATATTTTCCAGAAAGAAACAAAGTTAACTGAATATTGTTTTATCATATGCTGAAAAAAAAAATTCTTTTTGTTTTTAGCTATAAATCTAATAAAACTTTTGTTTAAATGGTAAAACAGGTATTAATTATTATTACTATGGAAAAAACATCCAGTCATTTGTTTTTATTTCTTTAAGTTGTATAATTTAGAATATAAATGATGATTTCAATTAATTTTCCACCTAATGTATAACTAATTGCCATCTTATTATTTTTTTTTTAATAATGTTTATTTTACTCCATCGAGTGTAACATGTTGTATAAAATGAATAATATTGTAATAATTGCCCAAGTACGAATAGTTTTTGTATTTTTTGTGAGCGAAATCTGTCTTATTTAAATTAAACAGTTTTTTAGTGCCATATTTGTTGTTCATTTCATTCTGCCAACTTGGATTTCTCGATTTCTTTTTTAAAGGTTTTACAAAGTTAATTATTTTCAGATTTATATAAAAATATATTTTCATTAAAATGTCTTCTTATTAATAAAGCATTCTCTAACCAACATATTGGAGATCTCCATCACCATGGTTCCATTCTTTAATATTATTACAATTTTTTTTTTTTTCCCCCAGATCAAAAATCCTTTTTCACATATTTAGTCATAATAAATAAAATTAAATATATATATATATATATATATATATATATATATATATATATATATATATTTTTTTTTTTTTTTTTTAAACACTTTACTATCCTGGGGAATCACATAAGTTTAATAATTCAGTTACACAGTGGTATAAAAGTATCAGAACTTTTACTTACAACGGGAGTCTACAGTCAGTGGGTTACTGGTCTCAACCAATTTTTTTTTCAGTGATACTGGATCGAAAAATATATAGGACACATGTCCCTGAATTCGTTCCTATGTACCCCAGAAGCCGAGAAAAAATTTTTTTAATATAATTTCAAACAAAATTTATGTTATTTAATTTTGTCCTTGTTTTGTTTCAACTTTTAAGTCGTTATGTATCGATCAATTTCATTTTTTGTGTAGTATAAGAAAAAAAATGGAGACTATGGTATTAAATGAGTTGTGATGTATTATAAATTACAAAAACCTTAAGGTGCTTCCTGTAAAGAAGGCTAAGTAAATTTTTGTTACGAAAAAACAAATTAGATTCTTTTTAAGGCTCTTTGAAACTTTAATACAAATTGTTATATAAATTAAAAAAATAGTAATCCTGAAGTTGCGTTATTTTTTTGTGGTGGTCGACAAAATTTTGAAGGGTCCAGCCTTGGCAAAAATTTTAATTTTTCAATTGTTTTTGAGGTGCGTAAAATGAATATCAATATTGTTTTTCCTTAAAAATATATTTACTCCCACATAAGTACATCGGTTGTACCACATTGTAGCTATCTGCCTCATACATATTTTTCAAAACTTACCTTGTGTCTTGAATAAAGATTTTTTACCTTGATCATGGAGGAGATTTTCGAAACATCGGTTCGAGAATGTTTTATTAATAAATAGACTATAATAATGGAAATGTTTTTTCTTTACATATTAATAGATATCTGAGGATACTGAAATCATCATCATGAATGGCTCTACAACTCTTGAAGAATCAAGGCCTCCCGCAATTTCAACCGCCAGTCCTCTCCAAGTAATGCTGCTGCCTTCCAGTTGTGGACACGAAGGATACTTCGGGCGTCGGCTTTCACTCCATCAGCCCATCTGAGTCTCGGTCTGACTACCCGCCTTGTGGCGAAGATCCGCTCATCCACCAACTTCCTTAACACATGTTGTTCAGACATATGGATAATGTGTCCTGCCAATTTTCATTAGCCTCACAAAATCGGGTTCTTTATATAGCTGTATCACCTCATCGTTGGATCGCATTCGTCGTTCCTGATTAATATTCATTATTGGGCCGAATACTCTTCTTAGCACACAACGTTCAAACCGAAGAAGAGCTGTTTCTTGGGCTCTTGATATTGTCCAGAACTCCGACCCTTATGTTAGTACTGGTCTGATCAGGGTTTTGTGCAAGAGCAGCTTGGTTTTATGAGAGATCACTCTACTTTTGAGATGTCCCTGGAGACCAAAATAATCTCTATTTGCTTTTTTTTTTTTTTTTTTTTTTTTTCCTATCCCTCTGAAACAAAACAAATCATGATATCAGTGTCATATCGGACCAGTGCACTAGCTGAACGATACTCTGAATTACCTTGACCTGTGGTATTTGAAGGTGCATTGAATGATTTTGTTGGTTATTTCTTCCTGCCCACTAAAGGTCTTGATAAGATGTTTGGAGTTGAGGGTCCTCCGCTCGTTAAGTGAAAAATATATAAAATAAATTAAAAATTAAGCATAACGATAAAATAAGGAGGGGGGAGGAATAGGGATGGGGAGGGGGAGGACTAGCCGTGAGGCGGGTTAAATGATTATGTTTGTGGGGTTTATTGGACCCTTATGGCCTTGCCATCTGGCAGGGAGGGGGGCTGGGGTGATGGATCGGAATAATGGGTTAAAGGATACGGGGAGGTTGTCGAAGAACTTGATATGTCTTCTTGAAATATGTTGTTGCACAAAGTCGAGTTGTAATTCGTTATGTATGTGTTTCATGTTTCGTCTTTCTAATGTTGTCCCTTTGCAGATCTTCATGAGTATGCTGTTCTAGTATTGTTGTAGTTTCTTCAGGGCTGTGGGATATAGGTAGTGTAGGAGGGGGGCACCGTGGAGAAGTGAAGGTCTGAGTATGGCTTTATATATGAGTAATTTGAGTCTGAGTGACAGCCCTGGAGAATAGAGTAGATGGCGGAGTTGATATGTGGTGGATTTTACTGTTTGTATTCTGTGTTGTATGTGCGCTGTGAAAGATAAATGTGATTCGAGTTTTATTCCTAGGTATGTGAGATGTCTTTTTGTTTTTATAGTTTGACCGTTTGTTTTTATAGTTTGACCGTTAAGTTTAGGGAGTTTTTCAGTTGTTTTCTTGTATGAGAATGTGATGGCGTCGGTTTTTGCGGGGTTGATGTGGATGTTTATGTTTTTAAGTTGGTCTATGATCAGTTGGACTGCATTTTGTGCTCGGCGCATTGCGTGTTTAGCTCCCATGCTTGCTGTGTAGATAGCAATATCATCAGCATAAGCAGCTATTTGAACTTTGTCAATTTTGGTCCCAACTATTTGGGCAGTGTAAATATTGAATAGGATAGGTGCCAGAACTGAGCCCTGGGGGACGCCACAAGTAACTGGCCTAGGGGGTGACATGTCAGTTTTGACTCGAACTGAGAAGGTCCTGTCACTGAGATAGGAGACGATAATATCGACTAGTTGTACAGGGAATTGGTGATGCCTGAGTTTATCGATAAGGATGGAGTGGGATACAGAATCAAAAGCCTGTGTGCAGTCAAGGGAGATCATGGCTGTGGCAAGATTTTTATTTAGATTATTAGCTGTTTCGTACTGTAATTTAGCCACGTGATGGTAACAGCTAACGCCGCGAGAGAACCCAGTTTGTTCAGGGGGTATAATGTCATGTGATTCGCAGTGTTTTCGGATGTGAATGAGGATTAGTTTCTCATATATTTTTGAGATGTGGTCGAGGAGACTGATCGGCCGATAATCTCTCTATTTGCTCTAATGCTTATTTACATTAACTTGCGAGCCAAGGTATATGAATTCCGAGACATCTTCAAAAGTCATCCCTCCGATTTCTACATTACTACTCAAATATGCTTCCGAATATTTGTAAAATATATAATGAGATAATTATTCATTTTAATGTTAGTCAATGAGAATTATATGAGCCATATTGGGGAAAAAAAAATGGCCTATGGTGAAATCATGGTCCTAACACTTATCACTTCTCATTCTTTTTCTGACTACTAAGCAGATACCAACAGTTGATTGGTTTTGTTGCAAAACATTGCATTATTTCAAAATTTTAACAAGAATTTTTTTAGTGTTAGTGTGATCTATTTGAAACATGTTTTTGAGTTGAAAAACTAAACCAGAATTTGAGAACTCTTAGTCTTTAACTTTTAATTTTCAAAGAATTATTTTGTTTTAAATATTATTAAGTAATATTTCGAGCAATATTAGTAGTATCTCTATAAAGAGCAGACCTAATTAAAAAATCTTAACATCTACTCTTTAGTGTAGGTTTGAAGATTTCAATTACGATAATGTTGACAATCCTTAAAAAGATTACTTCAGGAAAACCTATTAGGTTTTTATTTTTATTCCTATGAATGTCCACAGAGATGGGTCACAACGTTCGTCGAGTCAATAAAATTCTTGGAAAAGAGGGAGCAAAGATCATTTGCTCTGGTAGAATGGTTGTTTGAAAATAATAATATTTTTTCCTTAGTATGATAAAAAATAAAAAAGAGTGCTTTTTCTTCCAGCTTTTAGGACGTATTACCGTCTGCCCTAAGTACCTCTGATCTGTGAGAACAATTGGCCTATCATTGACTTTTCTTTGAAAATTGGATTATTTCCTTGAAATAGTTCTCCAAAAGAGTAATAATTTTAATTTAGTTTAAGGCAAAACTCAATCATTGAATAGAATTGAGCTAGAGATGAAAGAAAAAAAAAAAAAAAAGAACAATTTATCACTACTATTGTGATTATTTTATTTTTCCTTATCCTTTCATGGTACTATGTGAAAAGAGAAAAACAAAACAAGATATTTCGTCTTGAGTGTAAAACAGATTTTTGATAATCTATGCCATTTAAACGATTAATTTCTTGAATCGGCGATAAAAAGTACATATTTCTACACTTACCTATTTTTTCTTGACTCAAAGGAATGAAACATTGTGCCAATTGTGAATGTGATCAAAATTAAGCATAAACATTCAAGTGAAAACAGAACCTTGCATGTGCTCGGTCAATTGTATTGCTTCTCTCGGGTATTAATTTTTATTTTAAACTTAATTATAGTATTACTATTTTGTTTTCAAAGTTCTTGATAATCTTACTTTGTAAAATCCAAAGTATGAAAGGTTAAACATATTTAAGATCAATTGGTGGAAGAGGAGGTGACTGTAGTTAAGCAATTATACAGCTAGATCTAAGGCTCTTGAGGATTGTGCAGGAATTCTCAATGACTTATCTAGACTCAATAAGGTAAGTGTATCACTCATTTAATTTGAACTATACATTTTCTAATCCTTAATGTAAATATGGAATATCCAATCATTAAAAATCAAAAGATGATTTGTTTTAACCAGTTTTTATATTTAATACTATTTTGTTGCCTCAAATATTTTATTTTATACTACAAGAAATTGCTGACATTTATAGCATATAATTTTCGGTACAACTCAAGAAACCATTAACAAGCAATAATGCACCGAAGGATAGAGTGGAGTTTTTTTTTTTTTTTCATTTCACAACTTTTACTGTTCACTGACAACCAGTGATTATGATTAAAACAAGAAAAAAATTAAAAGAAAGGGTGTGATAAGAATGAGGAAGAGAATTACTGCTTGGCTAATCTTCAATCATGTCAGACTGGCGGGTTAAATTAACATTAATGTAAGGCGGTTGAGGATGACTTTAAAATAAGTGAGAAAAAACAATAGAGAAAAATAAAGAACAGTAATCAGTCTGACATAAGAGTTAAGATTAACTTAAAACACAATAAACTATTTATCAGTAAACAAGTCATCATTTTGACCAAGCATATTAGTCATCTTTAGGGCCATAACTTAGATATGAAAATGATAGGAGTTATAATAATGTTTGTAAAAATATGAAAAGGTAAGTTGATGGAACTAATTTAAAAACTTAAATATAAATATATCTTTATATAAAAAAGTTTTTAATGACTGTCATATTTTATTTTACATATACAAAGCGTGGCAAACTGTACCAAAGACACAAGCGGGGCCATAAAGAAGAAACCACACTTCATATTCCCAAAAGTATTACTCCCTTATTATAGTTATAATTTGGCAAGAAAGCGTGATGTATATTATACATTTTTAAAGAATTTTAAAATTTGTCCAAACTGTGGTTTTATTCCATCTATTTTATCTTGATGAAAAATAATACAATCTTAACTACATAAACATTTAAATTACAGTTATATTACCAATTTGAGCAATGAGAAGTACAATTAAATGAACAGTTGTATAATTTGTAAAATGGGGATTGTTTCTTTGATTAGGCGTGCAGAAGGTACCCCCTTAGTATATTTAAAAATTAATGAAGAGTGTAGCACATAGTATTAACTGAAAAGTTAAAAAACAATGAAATATATATAGTAAAAGAAAAAGTTTATAAGAAAGTATAATGATGAAAAAATAAATTAATACAGCGAAATATAAGGAGAGTTAGTGGATATCAAAATTGAACTAAACAAAATAAAATTTGAATAATATAATGCAGTGAAAACCTAAACAGAAGCCTACATCCAAAGTAGCTAGAGTGAATCCAAGGTTAATAAATTATATTTATATTTAGTATTTATAACATTTGAAAAAAAATGCCTCAGAAATTAAGAGCCACCAGTTTTGGTAATGAAATTTATAAAAATAAATTTCAATGTACATGATAATATTACAACTAAATCGTAAATTAAAGCAATTTATGAATGGAGTATAAAATTACATTTACAAATAACCATTGAAATATTAAATTACAAGAATTACAGATAGAAGAATTTTATATAATCCATACATGGATATGGGAAATTCCTACAGCAAAAAACTATATATATATATATATAGTAAAAGAAAAAGTTTATAAGAAAGTATAATGATGAAAAAATAAATTAATACAGCGAAATATAAGGAGAGTTAGTGGATATCAAAATTGAACTAAACAAAATAAAATTTGAATAATATAATGCAGTGAAAACCTAAACAGAAGCCTACATCCAAAGTAGCTAGAGTGAATCCAAGGTTAATAAATTATATTTATATTTAGTATTTATAACATTTGAAAAAAAATGCCTCAGAAATTAAGAGCCACCAGTTTTGGTAATGAAATTTATAAAAATAAATTTCAATGTACATGATAATATTACAACTAAATCGTAAATTAAAGCAATTTATGAATGGAGTATAAAATTACATTTACAAATAACCATTGAAATATTAAATTACAAGAATTACAGATAGAAGAATTTTATATAATCCATACATGGATAGGGGAAATTCCTACAGCAAAAAAATAAACCAATATATATATATATTAATTAATTACTTTAATATATATATATATATATATATATATATATATATATATATATATATATATATATATATATATATATATATATTTATATATTTAAAAGTAATTAATTGATCATTTATTAATAAGCAATACCGCAGTTTATCCTCTCCTTCATAACAAAAAAAGTTGATAAAATTAATCATTATCAATGATCAGCAAAAAGAACCACTTTAATTTGGACCAACATAGTGAACTCTGTGTCATTAAATACAAAATTGCATAGAAGCATATTTAATATGGATGACTATTGAACTACTGAATATATTAAAAATGTACATTTGAAAATAAATAACCAATTAGATTATATGATTTTGCAATATTGATTCGAATATTTATGATGACTAACAATTTTTATCTGTAGTTATCATCACAAAGAACTGTGATAATCTTTAAATAATAATAAGTAATAAATCCTTATGTTTTGGTCAATTCTAAACAAAATAATCCTATCATTTGTTTATCTATGTTTCGCTATTTAAAATATGTATATTCATACATTAAAAAACTGAAATCCTAAGATATATCACTATAAATGTTATATTAAAAGAATATCCAGAGCAAGTTATTAAACAAACTACATTTCATTTTAAATAAAATATTTTGCTTTTCCTGTACTAATTGTTTTATTATTTTTGAAAAGCTATGACTGGAAAAATGTGATTACATTCCAAAATACTTAGGTGACTAGTTAGATAAAAGTAGGTTCTGTACAAAGATTAACTGAATCTATCATTGCAAATTGTACTATTTAATAAGCAGCAATATTGAACTTAAGTTACATCATAATGATATGTGTGTATGTAAATCAAAATGTTATGAAAGTACTCGGGGCTGCATTACAATATGGTATAAACATTATTTTATTAGAACCAACGTTTAGCATTAGAACTTCTTTTTTTTACGTAAATATAATACCAAGCATAAAGAATTCATAGTGAAAACTGTTTTTCATTCCTGCTTTAAGAAATCTTTATAATTAATTTGTAAATTTACGTATGTTCCGCCATTTTGTTTATTTTATAGTAATTATCTCTAAAATTCTTTTATTTTTAATTATTGGTGCTTATGATTTAGTTATGTATTCGTAACAATCATGACAGTAACTATTTAATTGAGGTAGAGCGTCATTTATTTGGAATTCAATTGTTTTTTTTTTGTTTTTTAAATGCGTTATCGTGCATAGCCTTCACTATAATACCATTCACTTTAGAATAATTACATTATTTAGAAAGGTAGCTCTGTTTTTATCGCAGCATATTTTTTTTTCTCTGGAAATTAAATACATAATTTAGAAAATGTTTATGATTAATCATTCATATGTATTGAGAGAAGGTTTCTTTGTATACCAATTGAACTAGGGTTATAAGGTATGTTTTGGATTTCTTATGTTTACAATTGTTTACTTGCGAGTGATTAAATTTATTATTATTATCGCTCGTTAATTATTAGTTTAACGCACACGATATTGTATGGCGTTCAAATATTTAATAAGAAAAGTTTCCAAGCAATAAGGTTATCAATGACAACAGTTTATGATCTTTTACAGTGATTGTAAATGAAGAATTATGATTTTTATGTGATATAGTCAAACATATTATTTACAAATGTTGTTAAACTTACAAAACAATGTGTAAATAAATTGGGTTACAGTCAAAGTAATGCAGGATGCATTTGTTCGAGACATGTTCAGCCTATCCGATGTGAATAATTCGAGGTAATATATGTATACCTGTTTTTAGTTGTACTTTAATGATATACAGTAAGTAGTGCTTCTAATTATCATGTTTATTTGTTATTTTTTAATTAAGATGAAATCAACTTACAGACTGTGAACATTAAAACAATTTTCATTGGGACTGGTTTTTATATCATTATTTTTGTGACATATATCAATATTATACATAACATGAGTTTTAATTGTATGTCAAGGATGCCTTAATTTTTTTTAAATTTTAGTAAACAATTAAGTTAATGTTTTGCTAGAAATTTTTATAGAAGCCTATTTACTCATGTCTAAAGTTGTTGTTAGATATGAAATCAGTACTTTTGTGGTATTTTGGTTTAAATATCTCAGTTATAGTGGCATTTTAAAGTTTCTAACTTGTTTAATTGTAAAGAGATTTTCAAATTGTAATTACTTGTGTTTTTTGTTGCAGATATAATGGACATGTTCAGCTTTCCTCTTGTGGTAAAAGTACAGGAGGGAAAAGGGACAGAAAGGGTTGTACTAAAGGAAAAATTGAGGCGATAATGAAAAATAATTCCGTTCGTCCCAAAGTTTGTATTTCAGCATCTGTAAAAAAGCCAGTATCTACAGTAAACAATCACAGTTTATTCAGTAATCATTCAGTTAAAGCAGAACAAGAAGAAGATCCTTATACTTTTACTGAACCAGAACCTCAAGCATTAAGTCTTTACCAACCTTCAGGAAGTTCCAATAAGAAGCCCAGTCAATTACGGCCTTCACCTACAACAATGGTTTGTCAAGAGAAAAACAAGGTCGAACATGGAAAAACCCTTTTAAAAGTTGTTAAAACTCCAGAGGGTACTTCTAAGATGAATAAACTCCAAGCTGACATAGCAAGAAACAAAGTTATAGGAAAACGACGAAAAATAAATGAACAGTCATCTCCTAAAGTAAATGAATGGGCCATCAAAAGAGAACCTGGAAAAGTGTGTATATCAGCAAAGAGAAAAAGTATATGGCAAAGAGAAAGAAATTCTAAGCATGAATTACTTGAGAGGATACATCAAGTTCAGAATAATTTGAACCAGTTCACTCGTGACCTGTATCCTTTAGGTAAAGTTATCTTATTACTTTGTGTTGAGATAATTAATTTTATCAACATTAGTTTTATTTACATTTTCCTCCTTCGAGTCCCTGTTATCAGCATTACCCTTGCTCTGAGCTCAAAGGTGAATTAATGATTATGAGTGTTGTTCCACTTTGAAGTGTGGTGCAAGATTGCAGATCATACTATATATGGAATTCCAAGAATGGACGAAGGTGGCTATATTGTTTGGTTAGGGAACAACCTCAACTGGAAAGCAAACATTGGGGGTTTGATTACCCTTCTTATGCAAGTGTAGCAAGCAGAAGTTAAAAGTAGTGATATAATTAGAGCTAACTAAGACTCCAATTTTAATCAAAACGGACTTGTTGGAAGTTTGTGGATGTTTTAAATCGTGATATAGGAAAAGAGAGGTTATACTATGAACACATCAATATTCAACTATTCTCAGAATTCCTTTAATAGTGCAATCATGAGATTTTGCTCACCCATCAAAGTTGAACAACACTTGTAAAGCAATACTCTATGAATTTATCTTATTTTATCAAAGTTTGACTTGGTGAGATTAAATATGTTTTGTTTATTTTAAACTTTTCTGCAGAAATTTCAACTCGTACAAATGTTATTTTGTGGTTTATCTGAGTTTTTACTTTCACTTACTTATTTTGTAATATATATTAAGGGAAAGTTTTGCGATCGTGAACATTTTTAATTCGAGTTTAAATTAAAATGTACGTTTTGAAGCTAACTGAGTCCAAACAACCAAGTCCCACAAAATGTTCATATGTTGACAGACTAGCTCAGAAACGAAAGTTGCACGAAACTGATAATGTATTTAATCTTTTGGCGATGATTAGTAGGAAGAGTGAAGTGTCCTTGAGGCCGGAATACTTTTCATTACCTCTACTGACCACTTATGCGTTTTTATTTAAGGCATCAATTAAAAAATTCCCATAATATCCAGTCATAGAAAAATTATCTACTGCCTCATTCGAAGGCCAGGAGATTAAAAGTTGCTTTGATCAATGAGCATCCCATCATTTAGCGAGAAAAAGTCTGGCAAGCTCTGATTCATATATGAGTAAACCATCAGACCCGATTCAATCTCGACTCATATACGAGTGCACTGTTCTTATAGGATTAAGGTAAGTATTTGCCTGTGATATTACAGTAAAATTTTCTTTAAAATCGTTTGACCAGAAGTGCCACTACATATCATTGATTTTACAATTTTCTTGAAAATGGCTCTAACAATATTGATTAAATTTGGTGTATCAATGTATAATTAATTGATCTTTAATTAATAATAAGAGGTAGGTCTTATTCTCATTGTTGTCGTATAACATGACTTAAATGCTCAATATTCGAAATTCTTCTTCTAAAGTACCTTTAATTTGGTTTATTTTAAATAATTAACCATCTCTCGTTGTCAGTAGCAATAAAAAAATGGCTGAATATTAACTTTGGAAGAATTTACTAAAGAAGGAAAAACGTTTTTCAAGTGAAAATGAATTTCGAGAAATAATAGTCATAATGTATGTTGAAAGCTTGGGATTTTAGGAAAAATAATATCTAACATATAAAGTTGTTGAAGATTATGGATAGAGACAAAAAAATATTAATAATGATTTCTTAAAACTGATAAGTATTTAATGAAAACCAAATGTTAACTTTTATAATTATTTTAAGTTCGAAAAAAGTATGTATAATCCACCAAATTAAGGCATTGTTTCCAAAACTATTGTATTCTATAAAAGAAGAAGTGAAATATAAAAAATATTTCGTGGATGAATAAAACATATGTTCATAGCCTTAAATACATTTACTGTTACTGAACAATTCTAGATCTGATATTATATTCAAATAATTAGGAATATTTCATCAGTTTATTTCTAAAAATCATTTAGTGATATTTTACAAAATTGAATTAGTGAATAATTTGATGAATTTTCCCCCTGGGAAATCGAAACATTATCCACTTACAATCAGTATGACAACTTTTGACCTATCGCTGATGTATTGAAAAGCTTGTAACTGTATTTTGATTAATTTTACCAGAGAATAAAATCAGAGTTGAAATACATGTAAAAAGTGGTAGAGATTTAATTCCTATAATTTTTACTACTTAGTACACTACTTACTTATTCATAGAATAAATATATTTTAATCTATGAATGCTTTGAAAGTATTTTCAAATCTCCCTTTGTATATAGAGCTCAGAGACTAAAGTTATATGGTTCAAATAGACTAATGGAGTTAAGAGGTTTTCTTTCCTACTGTCTATAAATAGAGTTTGTGTTATTTTGAAGGTCTTAGTGAGTTTTCACATTGATAAATATGGTCAATATTCACAAATGTATTCTTTGGTTTAGCTCTGTTAAAAGTGCTCTTTGAGAACTTTGTAACAGCCTAACTTTGCCAGAAAAATAATTTCGGTTCTAACTAGACCGGCAAGTGAAAGTAGTGTGATATGCGAACTAATTTTTTTAGATTGATCAAACATCTACAGTTCTTTTGGTTTGCTTAAAGTATTTTTCTTCTCTCCCACCTCCTCTTTCTTAACTTCTTCATTTAATGATTAATTAATGAAATGCCCTCATTATAGCGTATCATATTTGCGGTACTTATTTAATAGCGGGTAGTGTCCGACTGCTATCTGCCAATGTTTATAACTTTAACACTGATAAGCTCTTCGTATTCATATTTATTGTATTGTATTCATATTATTGAAATTGTAAACAAAAACAAATGTAATAATGAAAAAATACTTTTATTTTACAACATATATATTAAAATAGACCAAAACATTATAAATACATAATTAAAAAACATTACGAAAACATTGCAAGATATATATCAAAATAAATGAAATAATAAAAATGGCAAAAAATATATAAAAATAGATGAAATAATAAAAAACCACTTAAACAGCATATGTACATATAAAAGAAACACTATGAAGAAACGATATAAACAAAATATGAAAAATTTTATTTTAACTTGATTTATTTTTAAAAAGAAATTCTCGACCCCTCTAACCACCTTCCTTTCCTTATAGAAACGGTTTTGTCACAACTACGAAAGCATCTCCATTTAATCTTCCCGTCGAACTTCAATTGATGACCTTCATCATAATATTTGATAGCCTCTTCTTCTGAAGACGGCAATTCCCACAATGTGACAAAATCCATAATTAAATAAGACTAACTCACAGCTAACACAAGAATCAAAAAATAAACAAGCGAATAACTTAGATTAGATTAGAAGGGAGGTTTTGACGCTACCCGCTATTAAATAAGTACCCAGGTACTTGTTTAATAGCGGGTAGCGTCCGACTGCTATCTGCCAATGTTTATAACCTTGACACTGATAAGCTCTTCGTATTCATATTTATTGTACTATATTCATATTATTATATCTTCGTATTCATGTTTATTGTATTGTATTGATATTATTGAAATTGTAAACAAAAACAAATTTAATAATAAAAAATACTTTTATTTTACAACATATGTATTAAAATAGACCAAAACATTATAAATATATAATTAAATGTCAACGACTTTGCCAAGCCCTCCAATTTTTTTATTCGACCTGTATTATAACATGTCACAGGCACAAACTTCTCTTAAAAATTTGTTCCCTGTTAGTTGTGTTGGATAGTTTGAGCTGTTCTTTCCCCCATTGTATTGTTGTTAAATTATGGGACCACCCATAAATGAATTTTAAAGCCGTTAAAAAAGAAATCCTCGACCCCTCTAACCACGTTCCTTTCCTTATAGAAACGGTTTTGTTACAACTACGAAAGCATCTCCATTTAATCTTCCCGTCGAACTTCTTTTGATGACCTTCATGACAATATTTGACCTTTGCAAATATCCCGGCGTCTTGAAAATATTTTATAGCCTCTTCTTCTGAAGATGGCAATTCCCACAATGTGACAACATCCATAATTAAATAACCCTAATTCCCAGCTAACACAAGAAACAACAAATAAACAAGGGAATAACTTAGGTTAGATGAGATAAGGGAGGTTATGTGAAATGAGATTAGATAAGAAGGGAGGTTTTACCTGCTATTAAATAAGTACCCAACACACCTACAGTCTCTGAGCCTTTCAGTTGATAGAATGACTAACTCCAATTCCAGCATTTTTAAGTAATGTCATTTTAGTGATATTTCTAGTTTAAAAAGTTATCTGTACAGGCAGTGAGCAAGTTGATTCCAGAGTAGGTGATTGCAGTGTTGAAATATAGAACTGTGAATAAAGGTATAAATTTTGCCTCTAGAAAGATCACTAAAATTAATAATAAAGAATATTGAAATTGGAGTTAGTCATTCTGTCAACCGAAAGGCTCAAATATGCCTAGAGATATTTGAAAGTATATTTGAATATTTACATATAAATGATTATGGATTGTAGGACTATTAGTTATTAAACTGCTATTTTCCATTGTAAAGTTTACTAAAATAAAATTACGAGGTTTTCATTGCCTTACCATAGATAGGTCAAAAGTTGTCTCACTAATTGTAAGTGGATAATGTTTGGATTTCACAAAGGGTAAATTCATCAAATTATTCTCTAATTTAATTTTCTAAAAGATTACTTGTTGATTTTTTGGAATAAACGGCCGATAGATACCTAATTGTTTAAACATAATACATTATCTAGAGTTAATACTCTACAGTAAATATATTTGAGGTTATAAACATATCCATGAAATATTTTTACATTTCACTTCTTCTTTCACACAAGTACAATGAAATAGTTTTTTTAACATTGGCATTGGCTTGATTCTCTGGATTTTAAATCCTTTTTTTTCTTTCACTTACCTATATATGTGATATATATTAAATGTAAGTATTGCGATCATGAAAATTTTTGAATCTTATTTTCAACGGAAATAAACATTTTGTGGTCCCCTGAGTCCAAATAACCTAGTCCCAAAAAATGGTCTGTGTGTATGTGAACACTCTAGTATGAAACTGATATTACATATTTGAGATAGATATATACCTTAGATGTCCTGCCACTTTTTCCTTAAATTTGGTTAAATAGAAGTGCCACTTTATATCATCTGAAACACATTTTTACAATTTTCTCAAAAATTGCTCTGACGATTTTGATTAAACTTTACAGGGCTTAAATGCCCAATGTTCATATGCGTCTTACTCTAAAGTACCTTTAATTTGGTTTATTATAAATAATAACTATTTATCATTGTTAGGAGTTATGGAAAAATGCTAAATATAACTTTTGGAAGAATTTGATAACTGAATAAGAGAGAAAAAAATAAAAATGCTTATCCAGGACATAAATGAGTCTCCGGAAATAATTGTCTGAAGGTATACGTATAATATATCGTTGGAAAGCGGAGAATTTTAGAAAAAGCAATATCTAATATAGAAAGTTGTAGAAGGTAAGGAAGAGTGGCCAAAAAATATATAAATAATAATATGTTTTCAAGGAAATTAAAAGAAATTTCCTTACTAAATGTACTCTTTTAAAAACTTTTTAATGTTTGAAAATGTATTTAAAACCCACGGATTCAAGACAATGACATTGTTTAAGATACTATTTCATTGTACTTGTGTGAAAAAAGAAGTGAAATATAAAAATATTTCATGGCAACATTTATAACCTTAAATATATTTACTGTAGTTTAATAACTCTATATCTGACATTAATTAGGTATCTATCATCCCTATATTCCGAAAAATCATTATGTAATCTTTTAGAAAATTAAATTAGTGAATAATTTGATAAATTATCTCTTTGTGATATTCCAACAGAATCCACTTATAATCAGTGTGACAACTTTTGACCTGTCTATGACAGACAATGCAAATCTCTCTATTCCATTTTAGTAAACTTTGCAATGGAAAATAACAGTTTGATAACTAAATGTCGTACAATCCATAATCAACGGATTGAACAATCCGTAATAAACGAATTGTACAATCCATAATCAACCGGTGATATAATAAATAGGACTTTTGTTATTTTAATAGTATTTATGATTTGTTAGCTACAATCTTTTAGCTTTACCTCAGTTAAAAATGCACTTCAAAAATTTTATAATAGCCCAACATGGCCAGAAAATAATTTCTATTCGAAGTTGAGTGGCAAGCGATGAAAGTTGTGTGTTTAGTGCCTCAGATTTTTCATACATAGAAAAACATTTAAAAGTTTACATATAGTAAGAAAATTTCATTTAAATCTTGGAAATATGTAATTTCCGTTAAATAATGTTAGTTTTCTGAATTATTTATAATTTTTTCGCTGCTCACCGTTACCTTCTACAACTTTCTATATTAGATATTGTTTTTTCTAAAATTCTCTGCTTTCCAACGATATATTATATGTATACTTTCTGACTATTATTTCCGGAGACTCATTTTTGTCCTGGATAAGCATTTTTATTTTATTCTCTCTTATTCAGTTATCAAATTCTTTCAAAAGTTATATTTAGTATTTTTTCGTAAATTGTAATAATGAGAGATAGTTAATTATTTAAAATAAACCATTTTAAAGGTACTTCAGAGGAAGACATATATGAACATTGGCCATTTAAGCCCTGTAAGTGACATAAGGAGATAAGACCTAAATGGTATTAAAGACCACTTATTACAGTGATACACCGAGTTAAATCAAAATCGTTAGAGCGTTTTTGAGAAAATTGTAAAAATGTGTTTCACCGTTGATATAAATTGGCACTTCTGGTTAACTGATTTTAAGAAAAAAGTTGCTGCGACATCTAAGGCATATATCTATCTTAAATACGTAATATCAGTTTCAAACGACTTTTGGTTTTTGAGTTAGAATGTTCACATACACACAGACACACAGACCATTTTTCGTGACTTGGTTATTTGTACTCAGGGGATCTCAAAATGTGTATTTCCGTTGAAAACAGATTCAAAAATTTTCACGATCGCAATACTTACCCTAACTATATATTACATATATATATACGTAAGTGAATGTAAAAATATTAACAATACTGCAATATAATGAGGATCCATTATGTATTCTATAAAAAATTTAGTACCTAGTTACTATTTTGTAAAGTTGATCTAATCACCTTAATTTATTTTATAAAATACTTTAAACAATTGAGTTTTGTACAAAATCAAATATTGTAATGATGTTTTCCAGAACTCAGTAAATAAAAACACCTTAGGAGTTGTCATTGTTTATCAATATTTAGCGTCAATTTTTTAGTAATTATTTAGAATGGTGTAATCAATAGAACTGATTTTTGCCCAAATAAATTTTTTTGTCATTATATGTGTTTGTATATATATATTTATATATATATATATATATATATATATATATATATATATATATATATATATACAAATAATATACTGTTAGTGTTGAAGATATATATATAATCTTCAACACTTTGTTGTGTACTATATATATATATATATATATATATATATATATATATATATATATATATATATACACATATATACACCTAGTTCTGCCATAAATACTGTTACAAAAGTTGAACTTTGTTTACATCCTTGGGCATTATTTAGATAATCTTATAGATAATTTACCTCTCTCAGGTTATTTTCTTTACATGTCAGGATAATAATCCCAATTAGTTTGTACTTTTCTTCCGCTCAGTTAACATGGAGTGGGATGATAAAGAAAACCAAATAGCTGTGATTGCCTTATACAAAGTTGGACAATATAGGTCAGAGATTTTCAACACTTTGAAACCTTTGGGTATCAGCTGTATATTCGTATACCGCACTATAAATAGATATAATGAGATCCTATCTGAATGTGACAGACCTCGAGCGGGCCCCCGCACTATGAGAATGGCAGATGTGGTGAGAGCAGTGGCTGCTCGATTCCGAAGAAATCTCATTCGAAAACAACAAATCATGTTTCGGGAAATGGGAATCTCTGTCAGATTAATGTCTCTCGTAATAAAATGTGATCTTGGGATGGGTGCATTTCGAAGAATGACAGGACAAAAGCTAACCACTTCCCTAAAAAAAAAGAGTGGATTGATGCAAAGTGCTCCTTGGCCGTTACACCAATAGTTTTCATCAAAGGATTTTGTTTAGCGATGAGGAATATTTTATAATTGAAGAAAAATTTAATTGCCAAAATGATCGTGTGCACGCACATAGCTCTTAAGAAGCCCAGGAAGTGATTGGAAGAGTGGAAAGAGGTCATCATCCTTCCTCAGTGGTTTGGTGGGGAGTTTGCTTTGATGGCACCACAAAGCTCAATTTTTGTGAAAAAATAGTTAAAACAACCGCTAAAAACTGTTAGAACGATATTTTAGAACCTGTTGTCAAGCCACTAAATGATACTCTGTTTACTGGAAGTCAATGGGTTTTCCAGCAGGTTTCCGCTCCGGCTCACAAAGCCATGTCAACTCATCAGTGGCAGCAAAAGAACATTCTAGAGTTCATCTCTGCCTCGGATTGGCCCTTAGGAAGGCCTCATCCCAACCCACTAAATTATCGGCTTTGGTCCAAACTGGAGATGATGGCATGCCGCAGAGCACACCATAATTTGGAAAGCCTCAAACAATCTCTGGTCCGAGCAGTTGAGCGTTTTCCTCAAGAAGTGCTGGGTGCTGCTATTGATGACTGGCCACGGAGATTAAATGCCTGTGTCAAGGCAAAAAGGGGGACATTTTGAGTAATTTCTTTTTTGTTTTACTCCCTATAGATATACATTATATTTTCTAATAAAGTTTTTGAAAAAATTAATTTTCCTGTTGAAATCTGTATATATTTCCTTGTAACAATATTTATGACAGGACTAGGTATATGTTTATACTATGATTATGCTTCGCAAAATGGTTTATGTGTAATTATGTGTGAATAGCCTAGCTAATAAACGAAAAATCCTAAGAAAGTAAAAATCACGCTTTTCAGGTAGGATATGCCTGGGATGTTACACTATCTTTTTTTACATTAAAATCGACTAACCGAAAGTCTCATTTATTATCTTCGATTTCACACATTATTACAATTTTCTCAAAAACGGCTCTAACGTTTTTGCTTAAATTCATTATATGAGTGTAAAAATTAAGTGATGTTTAATATTAGGCAGATATCATATAGCACATATACATGTGTGGTTTTCATTAATGCCAGCACTAGTATTATTCAATATTTAATTGTATAGATTAAGGCAATATAAAAATCAAGGGAGGGGTGCGATGGTCTTTTTGGTAACCATCGTGTTCTAACCACGAAGTATAAAGTTTGATTCATTCTCTGGGTCTGCCATAAATAAATTTTAAAACCCTCCCAGGCCAGATTTTAGCCCCGCCATTTATCACTTGTGGTTATGCTATGTTAGAGGTTGATAAGATGACACCGCCACGCTCAATCTTCATATCCTGGAAAATTATGATTACCGATTTCTTAATTGTTAAATTAAAATTATATAGAGCCAATTAATTATTCTTACGCCTTTGTGAATTGACTCCAATAGGCTGATGAGCCAGGTGCCTCATCTGTAGCCTGGGGAAGGAAACATGGTGGCTCTTTTTAATGAGTAATAACCACAGTCTTAACTTTGATTATCTATTGCAAGCGCTTCAAACCGTTAGATGTGTACTATGAATAATTATTTAACTTAGCTTGTTTATAAATAAAGCACTCGTTTGTAAAATATGGTTACTAACAAAATAAAAGTTTTTATAGTGTTAAAATGGTTTTTAGTTACAATGTTCAAAAATCGTTTACCATATCTTAATACAAATATTAATGTTTTATGAAACAAATTTTCTTGAGATCCTACCTACAATCTATGAAATTAGCTGTAAGGAATCCTTCGATTCACAAAAAATGTCAGATTCCAGGTTTTACGATCGAGTGCTTCAATTATAAGTTTTTAAAAAATATAATCTTGTATTTATCTTTTCTATATATATTTTTTTAAGGCCTCGAAGTATCAGATTCTGATTCCGATTCAGAACCTGGGATGGCTGTTTACGAGAGATCATGGTTCTGCAGTTCTGGGGAGGGATTACCCAGAGAAAGGCGAGTCGAAGAAGCTCGTGCTTCTCTTCGAAGACGCCTCCATCATACAGTACGTGCGCTGAGGTTAACTGAATTGCCTCCGAAAAATCTGTACACTGCCGTTATAGCCGCCGCCAGAAGATTTCCTAGTGCTACCGCAGCTATCCTCGATCCAACTCTTAGCTTAAAACCACATTTACCAATAAATAGGTACTTCATGGCATTTATTTTATTTTTTTGGCTTTTGTGTTTGGTGTGTGATTCAGTCAAGTGCTGTCTAATTTACTATCTAAATGGTTAACAATTCGTATCCTTTATAATCGATAAAATAAAATTTTGACTGCACTATTTTAGGGAGATGGAGATCGTAGAAATTTATGTATATTTTGTTAAATACAGCCCTTTTACTATTCGAAGAATAATAAAAACTGACTGACAACAAAACTGCTTCCAATTTTAAATATTCTTGTAGTAAATTTACTGTTTGTTTTGCCATTAATTCTAATAAATTTTATGTAATTTTTAATATTATAGATGTTATAGGACTTAAATGAAGAAAAAGTGAAAACAAAAATGGAATTAGTACAAGAAGATTTAGATTAAATTCCACTTTATATGATCTCTCTTATTATGAATTGAGTGTAGGTGTAGAATCAAGCTTTGAAGTATTGATATTCAAAGTGATTGCTCAAATACTGTATATTTTGGGAATATGTATTAATTAGTTACATATTAAAAAATAATCAAAACACGAAAAAAATTACTTTTTGATGTCATAAAGTAAAATGCCTGAAAACCATCACATGAAATTATTGTGGTACATAAAACTGCAGGGCAAAACTTATGGCCTAGAAATATCTATCACTTGTATTAAAATAAGATCTATATATATATATATATATATATATATATATATATATTAATATTTATGGATGCAGACTTGAATTTTACGTTAGTTTAGTGTGAGGATATTCAGCTTATATTTATTTGGAGCAATCAATTTAAATGCAATATCACCATTCCAACTCTAATTAAAAAAGTAGGGTTACCTTTAGTTAGCCAAGAGACACTTCAATCCCCATAAATATTTTAGTATCAAGCTCTGCAGGATCGACTAAAAAATTGGAGCAGGACCAACCTTAAAAAAAATATATATATATATATATATATATAATAAATGAATAAAGTTTTGAAAATAATAACAGTCAAGGGTAGTAGTTGAACAAATAAAATAATTTTCACTGTTAGAAAGTCACAAAAATGAAAAAAAAAAAAAAAAAAAGGGATTATAATAACCTTTAAGGAGTCTTGCTTCTTCAAACTTGTTATAAAGTATCTGTGCTGAGTCGTTGAACTCATTGGGAGCAGTTATACCAGATTTACTCTATCTAAAAACAAACAGAATTCAAGACATAAGTGAAATTAATTGCAAGGTGAGAAATCCTTTCATAAAATGTTGCATATATAATAACAATAATACAATCATTGCATTCAATACAATAAAATAATATTTTTCCTATGTTTTCTTCTTAGACTCTTAACCTTCAGTTTCATTAACAAGCTTAAAATGATATTATTTATGCTTTGATAATCTTTTTAAATGACTTGTAACATCACATTCTCTATAATTTCGATGATATAACAAATTAAGAGTTAGTATTGAGCTGAAACGTAGATACGGATTAGTTGTAAATGATGTAAACAAAGATTAGTTCATCATTATTGAATAGAATCGTTGATAGTGCTCTAAAGTTGGACAATACAAGTTCCAGGGATTAACTGTTTCAACTATCTTGAATTGCAAGCAAATTGTGGAAATAATCACTAAATAGAATCACAGCTGCATTTTTGAAACTATTAATAAAAAAAAAAATTATAATCCACCTTGTTAAGAAGTAAGATTGTGGAAGAAAAAAATAGAAGAAATGAAATGAACATATATCTTATTATTCTGGGACTGTTGTCCCTTTAGAAGAAATTATAAGTACAAATTGCATATCTATGTGGTCATAACTTTTTTTTTTTTAACTTTATTTTTTCATCCACACCTGTCATAAGCAATGACAATTAGCAGGTCTGCTGTCGGTAAGAGTACAGGTAGTGGCTTGAACGGCATGATGGACAGGAATGCCCGGCAGCATCTCTTCCTGTCTTGATTTTAGCATCTTTTTAAGTGAGGAAATCCCTCATCCAGCTCCTTTTGAGCCTCGTAAGTGTGTTTTCGGGCATGGTAAATGTAGCCATACTTTGTATAAGTGTGTTAGTATGTCCATGTATGTTATTGTGAAATCGCTTGTAGTGTGTCCGTATGTGATCGCTAACTGTTGGCATTTGAAGGTCTTTATGTAATGTAATGTTTGTGATGTACCATGGAGCTTTAGTTTTGGATTGAAAAGTTTGTAGTTTTCGTATATGGGTCATTTTGGCTGTCCTATAAATTTGTGAAGCGTTGGTCCATATGGGCTTGAATAGGTAATTGTAAGTGTTTAGTTTTTGTTTTAAGTTTAATTTTGAGAGTCTTGAGAGAAGTGAGTATAACAGTCGTAGTCTGAGGTTTACATTTTTTCTTTTTTTGTTGATATGTGGGCCCCATGTCATTCTTCTATCGAATGTCAGTCCAAGATATTGTATTTTGTCTGTTTGAGGAATTTCGTCATTGTCAAGGTAAATAGGAGGGCATGTTACATGTCGAAGAGTGAAAGTGATGTGTTGTGATTTGTCTTGGTTGAGTCGAATTTTCCAGAGTTTGCACTAATCGTTTAGTTCAGTTAAATGATGTTGTAAAGTCTGTGAGGCGTTTGTTGGGTTTTTATGTCTTCTTAGAATAGCTGTATCGTCTGCGTAAGTCGCTGTAATAGTTCTGGCCCTGTTAGGAATGTTGTGTGTGTATATGATGCATAAAAGCGGAGCGAATACTGACCCCTGAGGAACTCCTGCTAAGGCTGGTCTTATTGAAGAAAGTTCTGAGCCTTGGTAGACAGAGAAAAATCTGTCAGAAAGAAAGGATTGAAGGATAAGATAGTAGGTAGGAGGGAGTATCGTCCTAAGTTTGAAGAGAAGACCCTTATGCCAGACTCTATCGGATGCTTGAGCGACATCCAGAAATACTCCAGTTGCATACAATTTTTGCTCCAGTACTGTTACAATATAGTCAGTCACCCTGTGTAATTGATGGATGGTTGAATGTAGTGGTCGGAATCCAAATTGATGGTCAGGTATTATGTGTGGTCATAATTAAATTATATATTTACAATAAGAGTTAATTCAAAATAAAAATATACAAGAAAGAGATAGAAAAAGACAAGAAAATTGTACATATATATAAGACAGACATAGGAAACTAAAATAACCTAAATAAATTGAGTTAGTCTCTGGGGGGTATTTAGATTGTTCTCTTAGGTATATTTCGTAATCAGTCGGATTGAGAAAGGAGAGGTTTGAAAGAGGAAACTGATTGTGCGTGTCGAATATCAACAGGGATGGAATTCCAGAGGGAGGCGGCTTGAATTTCAAAGGATTTGTCAAATGCAGCAGTTCGGTTAGGAGGAGGATAGAGGTCAGAAGTACAAGATTTAGTGGGACAGGATTGGATGGAGTATTTAAATTAAAAATGGAATAAGCTGTGAAAAATATGGGAGGGTCAATGAGTGATAATGATCTGGTATAGAAAGGTGGCTAGGAAGTACTGACGGCGATAGGATGGTTAGAGCCACTTCAACTCAGTGTAATACTGGGTAATATGCGTATCTCTTGAGATTCCAAAAACAAATTGTGATGCACAATTCATTAGGCGTTTAAGTTTGGCCTCGAAATCTCCCGAGAGTCCACCGTACACCATACATCCGTAGTTGAAGTTGGAGAAAACTAGGACTTGACGGGACTTATATGGAATGAGATAACGTAGACTATTGAACTGTTTTAGAGTGCAGACAGTGCATCGGAAAATTTGGGAGATGTGTGGTTTCCAGGAGAGGGTTTGATCAAAAGAAACCCCCTTGTTTAATGGTAGTGTGGAATAAGATAGTTGATTTGTTCATGAAAAGATTGAGTGATACCAGGAAGGATTTGAGAAGTGAGGGGGATCCGATCAAGATGGCTTTTGTCTTCTTCCCTTGCAGAGTGAGCCTGTTGAGGTTTGCCCAAGCATTTATTCTATGAATATCTTCTTGGAGTTTTAGAATGGCATCTGAGAAATCGGTCAGATTAAAGGAGAGGTAAATTTAAATGTCGTCAACATACAGGTGGTATTGACAGTGCAGGATAGAGGATGGGAGGTCATTTATATATATGGAGAAAAGGGTGGGGGATAAGGAAGAGCCTTGTCGGATGCCTCTGGACTGAGGTAGAGATTCTGATGGGGGGTTTTAGGAATTACAACATGCTGGGAGCGACCGGTAAGGAAGGATTGGAACCAATTAAGGGAGCTAGAAGAAAAGGAGATATTTTCAAGTTTGGTTAGGAGGATGTTGTGGTCTACTGAATCAAAAGCTTTGGAGAAGTCAAGGAGAATAAGGATGGTTAGTTTCTGCTGATCTATGGCTGTGTGAAGGTCTTGGAAAATTTTGATTAGGGCAGACTGAATGGACTAACCAGGCCTTAAACCGGACTGCTAGTGATAGGAGATTATTTAGGAGTGATTTAGGAGATTATTGTACTCTAAAAAATGGGAAAGCTGGGATTGGACTAGTCGCTCTAAAGGTTTTGAGAGGTTTGAAAGAAGGGAAATTGGTCGGAAATCATTAAGAGCTGATGGAAGAAGAAACTTAAGTGAGGCTTTACAAGGCCTTCATCCATCCTTATTTATTCTAGCATCAGAATTATAAATCATGACAAATTTGATTAAAAATTGTATTCACTTCTTTAAAAGCATAATCTTAATAAGATATTTGCCTGCTAACAATTTCTGGGGACTGAAAAAAAGAGACAAATAATAATTAAATATGATGTCTTCGGAAGTAGAATAATTAATTTATCCATATAAGGTGGCTTAAATTTGCCGTGCTAGGACACAAAATACAGAGGCACCTAAAATATTGATTACAGGAACCGGCCTCTGCAAGATCAGTTGAGGGAAGATGTAGTTTTCAGATTTTTAACCAATTTTTCATTCCGAGATTGTATTAAAATTTTAGATTTATTTTCATTTTTTGTGGAAGTAGGCTGAGAATTTACCATCACATTTCTATAGAAATTTACCTCTCATTATTTAA